GTGCAACCCGTCATTGTTTTTCATTAAATCAACATTGTTTATTAAATTTATAAGCGCTCTTCCATTCAAAATTTGGCAATAGAAATAAAGATTTTTAACACTAATTCGACCAAACTGGTGTCAGGATACACTATACTATAGTGATCAATTATTGGTAGTTTGCAATCTCTTATCTATTAGACAAGTCCGTCCGTCCGTCTGTCTGTGGTGCTGTTTCAGCGGCCAAACCGTAAGAGATAGATAAAGAGAATGTTTAAGTTATAAGTTAAGAATAGTCTGATAAGACTACAAACCGGATTTGAGTAACGTAGCACTTCCGGATTTCGAGAAATCACGAATTTCAAACGAAACCACACAAAATCTTTGAAGTTCTCAATTAATTGAATACATTTTTTTTTAAATCAGGATTTGGTGAGCATTTGGTTCACTTGTTTGCTAGTTATTTTTAATGTACTTATAAGAAAGTAAGGCACCATTAAGTATGTATATGTCCTCGGTATGCTGCATGCCAAACTACAATTGACGGTTCGATAAATAGTTCGGCAGATCATAGCGAGCGGTGACACCCGAACTCAAATTCATTGAAAAGAGAGGTAAATGTTAGTTGGTTGGGCGGAGCTTATTAGCGCGGGTGGCCTGCTCTTATTATACAATAAGTTTATTTTAGCTGCTACTAAGCAAATTTTATGTCATTTTAATTACTTAAGTATGTTTCTATATCATTAGTTGCAAATTCTATGTCATTTTTCGAATAAAAGTTCCTATTATTAATATACAATTTGTTTTGTTTAATTCCTTCAGTCAAAGCAAGAGTAATTTAATTTTTCATTACTATTACTGCTTCGGATTTACTGCAGAATCAGTTATTAAACGTGCCATTTATATTTTTTAACTTACCAAAACTGCTATTTACAACTGCCTCTTTAATCAGTGCCAAAAAAGATTGATACCTTTTTTAGAAATAATTTTATGATAAGTATACAATTTTAGTTTGAAGTAATTTTCCGATTAAACCTACCGTTTTGATGAAGATTGCGAAAAACACAATTTACTACCTTTGACCTCAAGTAAATTTGTTTTCAAGTACCGACCGGAACGATGTGGAAATTTATAATGTTATTTTTAATTAAGTTTTGGATAAATTTACTCACTTCCAGGCTCGATTTATATTTAAGTACCTTGACTCTTATTTTTCTATCTAATTTGAGCGGATTAATAAATTAGTAGTAATTAGGTAGGTATTGTTAATAATATTTACTTAATGTAACAGTAATAAAAAAATATAATTTTATCTTAAGTATTTACAACACAATGTAAATGTAATTTAGTTAAGGAATAAATAAATAAAGGAACTGCAAGCATAGAGGAGCTCAAGACAATAAATTTTTGGTCACCCATCCAATGACTGGCCATTGTGATAGTTGCTAAGCTTCTCCGATCGTACCCACCATACTGACCACTGGGCTATTATATATAGCCCCACCCATGAAACGAAATTTTTGTCCGTTTAAAATCAGACATTATAATTTTTTTTTTTTTTTATTATTTTTAAAGCATGTAACTGCTTGATGTTTAAATCTAAAGATCAGACATTATGTTCTTCTCGCTTACTCAGATAATAAATGAATGAATGTGTAATTTGTGTCAACTCAACACGTGCGTGTAAGATAAGAATTCGCGCGAAACCCGAGAGGCGTATTCAAAGAGTACTTAAAGTATTTATTCCAAAAATTACTTACGCCACTAAAAAGCAAAAAATAAACAAATTATAATCTCTGTTTACTTCTTAGGGCCTTAGAGTATATAAAAAACGTGGGGCGCTATTCATTCCAATATTTATCAAATCAATTAATATATGAATTACGTGATTCATAATATATATATATATATATATATATATTAAATTATTCTAAGGTTATTACCAATGCAAAAGAAAAAAAATAGCACGAGGCAATTGAAAACCTCAGGCGGCTAGAAATAACAAAATCAAATCGTAAGCGTTAGCGTTTTCCAAAGCATTCCCGTTAGGCGAATGGCCCCCAGATTGGCCGTCTTATTTTTAGTGTTATTATTTTTAGTTCTTTGGTTGTTTCTTTTTTTTCTGTTTTTATTAGTAGGTTTTTTTATTGTATTAAAAATGGCCAATAGAGGTTTTCATTTTTTCTTTTTCTTTTTTTATGGCATGCACGGTTTGTGCGTTCAAAGGTTTTCATTTATTTCATTCTATTTCAATTTTTTTTTACTTTATAAAATTGCCGATACGATGGCAAACAAATGATTGTTTGCCATCGTATCGGCAATTTTATATAGATTGCAGGCATGAGCCTGCAATCTATAATTGGCGCCAAATCAAATAATGACCCCTCGTTCTGTTTTTGGCTAGGATGTCCGATTTCAGTGATAATAATGCAATTATACGATCATTTATGAGGGGCGTTGAGTGTTTTTATTGAGATGATTACTTCAAATGTATTTAGATTATGACAATGATAACGCAAACAGATAATTATGATGAAAGCAGGAATTGAAATAAATAATGCCGGTACTTCACTAATAATTGAAATGAAATTAAACTTTATTCAAATTGACATACTGAAATCTCTTTTGAATCGTTTAATTTTTTTTCAATCACTTTTTCCCATGTTGGGAAAGGCAAAGGCTAACCACCTATTCAGTTACCAGTATAAACTTGACAACAGTCCTTATCATGCTTTACAAAGAATGAAAATGACAGATTGGTGCTCAATATGATAAGAGGGGGGTATCAGAGTGTACACATCGTCAAGCGCAGTATGGTGTCAATACACTTGGAGAATCATGTTTCAAATGATATGTAACAAATTGAACATCTTAAGACAGATAAACGTTATTAAAGAAATGAAACCATCGCGCGTTGTACTCCTGTAGCGCTCCTGTAGTCACAATCGACACCTTTGCGTACTCTATTTACTAAGGCTCATTAGACGAAGACTGTAAGGCTCTTATTAGGCATCTCCCCACGGGTGTTGTAGTCAGTAAGAGTCGGACATAACCTTGCAGCCGGCTGTAGGGTATCCATGTGGATTTCACAACGCTCCCCCGTCTGGGAGGAAACAAAAAAAAACAGTACCCTTAGTACCAGTTTACAATTACGAAAACTATAATAAGTAGTTTTCGAGAGCTCGCACTCGTACTAAGGGTACTGATTTTATTGTTTTCGTTTCAATACAAATAAACAGTGTTTAAATTCTATCATTAATCATTTGCGCCTTCATAAATTTTAAGAATATTTGGTTACATTTCACCAAAATGGACATAGAAACATAATTTACAATTACGAAAACTATAATAGTTTTCGAGAGCTCGCACTCGTACTAAGGGTACTGATTTTATTGTTTTCGTTTCAATACAAATAAACAGTGTTTAAATTCTATCATTAATCATTTGCGTCTTCATAAATTTTAAGAATATTTGGTTACATTTCACCAAAATGGACATAGAAACATAATTTACAATTACGAAAACTATGGTAGTTTTCGTGAGCTCAAACTCGTGCTAAGGGTACAGACTGATGTCAAATTTACAAAAAGCAAACACGAACAGCCAAGTCAAGTGCCGGCATAAATGAAATTGAATTTATTTCCAACTCCTGTTTATTACGGAGGTCTATAATTATATTACCCACAATATCAATCAATATTATTTATCCTCACTTCAATAATGACATTATTCGCTAGTTATAACCCTATAAGTATAATTGTCATTAAATCCAACCCCAACAAAAATATTATGACAGACTAAGATTTGTGTGCAGTCGGGGTAAGGGTGCTATAAGGGTTTAATATAATTATCTATCCCCATTCCCCATGCTTTAATACCTCGAACACCTCGGTGCTATAGAAACATGAAAGCAATTAGCTCTAGTCACAGATTCCGGCTAGAACTGCATTTGTTAGCACCCAGCCACAAATTAGCCAGTTAACCAACCGCACTTGGCCTGCGTGATGGGATGGGTGGGTCCTTGTGCATTTTCTTTAATCCAACAGGCCCAACAGTTGAGATATTAGTAGTTAAAAGTTTAAAACCTCTATTACACCAGTGGCAATGACATTTCTCAAACTTACTGAAAAAAAGATAGGATTTTTTCAAAAACACGAGTCACGGGGGTCATCCATAAATTACGTCACACGAATTTCATGTCCTTTTTGCCCCTCCCCCCGTACTTGTCACAGCTGGTAACATTTGTAAGACTCCCCCCCTCCCTAGTGTGACGTCACATATTTTGCAAATTTACATTTAGAAATCATTGAATGAAAACAGCGGTTCTGTAATCAGTTTTATTTCCATTTAAATTGTTTTTTCATTATTATTATAATCAAATCAAACAATTAACAAAACAAAAACTTTACCGAACAAAAAGTGATTGACTATGTTAATTAAAGAAATTAACAAAACATAAAATATTAATAGCATTATAATTAAATTAAAGATACAAACTTAATAATCTTGAGTCCATGGACATTGATCCCACTCCTTTAAATTATTTATAACTGGCATAGCACCACTTTGTTCTCGTTTGGGTTGTTAATGCTTTCGTAAAGTAATAGTTTCAACACTTAGATTTTAATATATTTTGAAATGTGACGTCACGAAATTTAGGACCCCTCCCACCCCTTGTCACACGATGTCACATTTCGTCGACCCCCTCCCTACCCCTTAAAGTGTGACGTAATTTATGGATGGCCCCACGCCAGTGATTCCGATAAGAAATAAGAATAGTTGGCTAATTACAAATACCCTTGGGTTTTTGGGTTCTTGGCTTCACACTAGGTTAGTAACCTAGCCGTGTAGTGTTGTGACAAAAATATTCATCAGTTTCGTGAAAATCGAATATTAGCGAAAATTCTAGGGATTTTGCGCGAACACGCATAATTAGGCAATGGCGATACCAAGATACTCTGCTTAGTTTGAGAAGTAAATAATATACTTAGGTACTTAGGAGGAAAAAAAAAGTATAATTCATTACAGTCATTAAATTTATTAATCAGTATAGGTACCACTACTAATTACTAAAATAATAATTTACTTCAATAAAAATATAAATATTTAAGTCTTTGGAAGAAAATTTGGCACAATGTTGACATAATATCTTTGAATAAAACCACAAAATAAATAGTAATAATACCATAGATAAACCAACTTGCGTAGTCAGAATAATATAATTATAGTAATTTTTCGAAGTGCTTTTGTTAGGATGCAAAATTCATATAAATTTTGAAAAAAAAATGCTAACTACGCAGGCTTCGTTATCTTTAGATATTATTTAAGATACGATTATTATAAGATACTTTAGCTTAAGCATAAAGTACTCCTTCGTGCTTTGTTAGTCTTAAAGATAACGAAGACTTGCCGCGTTCCACGTGTTTTTGTATTTTATTTATAGAATTAGTTTCGGTCATTAAATTGTATTCGTAAACAAATGGTGCTTAAAAAAGTTTGTACCTACTGTGGTCCACTCGGCTGTGCTATAGAATATAAAAAAATCTACTGTCCGGTCAATTGTTAAGAAAAATTACCACTTGTCCAGGTTAACTGTAGAGTACTGAAAGAGATTTTAACCATGGCTCTGTCAACCGGACTATCTTAATCATAAATAGATTGATTCTAAAAAAAATGTTGTTAAAAAAATCCACATAAACCAGGCAGCAGACGGGATGGGAATTTTTCTAACAAAATTTTCTTTGCATTCATCTAGCAGTTAAATGCTGAAATAATAAAAATAATAAATTGATTGATTCTTGATAATAAAAGAATAAACTTAATCCACCTTATTAATAAACGAAGAATAAGCTTGGATTAGTTACTCTATGTTTTGTCTCCGTTCATTGATGGACAGATGCAGTGCCGTCTTTGACCTATTGGAGGCCCAGGGCATATTAGGATAATGGGGCCCCTACGACTCCCGTTTGGTGATTTAACAGGAACTAGGGACTTTGTATTTGATCTGAGGGGGGCCTATCGATCGCGGGGCCTGGGCACTTGCCCAAAGTGCCCACTGGGAAAGAGACGCCTGGACAGATGGCACTTAAGTGATATGAACAAAACAGGGCGTAACAAGTCGAAGCTAATTCCTTGTTTATTAATAAGGAGTTTGATTTTATTTGTCACAAACAGAAGAATTTACAATATAGGTATAGGTACCTACAAATCTTTGCTCTTTCTAACATTAGTGTATACAGGGTGTAAAAAACCCATAACAAAGACTAAAACTACGCATTCTGTACACCAAAACAAGTAATATTACAAAAGATTATACGTGGAATTATTTGTATTTTTAAGTTAAATATAAATAAATACATTTTTTTTCCACTACGCAATGTATAGCACGCCGCGCTACTGTGGCGCTACGCAAAGAATGTGCCTGTGTGTATGTGTGTGCGTCAATAAAAAAGTCTAAAAAATCTTTTAGAAAATATTAATGTATAAATCTTGAAAAAAAAAAAAATTGGAACTGACCTTCAATGTCTCCATAAACATAAAATTTCCAGGTATGGTTCAGAAAAAAAAGTGATCGCCATGATGTGGAAAATACGTGGCCTTCGACTTCGTTAAAGGATTTTTTACAACCTGTATAAAGAATAACTTAATGGTACACACCCTATTTAATAACAAGAAAACCTTACATAAACATAATTTCGAAGAAATCTTATGTAAAAAAAATGTACATCATTTACATTTTACAACAATGAATAGCTCTAATCAAGGAACTATTATTTTCTAACGAAAGAAAAAACATAATATCGTAGAATTATATTAAACTATAATTCTTTGGGCCGATTTTTCAAAACTCTGTTAAAACTTAACTGTTCAATAAATTAATTCTTAATCAAATAGAGAGAGATGTCATCCGTCACTTTACACCAAATTTTACCAAAAATGAACAGAAGTCAACTCTTTATATTGTCTGTATAATGGTGTCAATTCTGACATGATGACAATTTGACAACAGTGTATCACTTTCATTCTCTATACAGAATGAAAAGGAGAGATTAATGTTAAATTTAGTTTTAATTTTAGAGAATCATGCCAGAATTGACACCAGTATAATACGATATCAGACAGATAAATTTTATCCAGTGTTCGAGAAATCAGCCCTTAGTGTCGCCGCACATGGGCCACCGGTCACAATCACAAAACGCCGCCACCGGCATATTTCCTGTAGTTTTCATACATTTTATATAGACTCGCCGCACACGGCTAACGCCAGTGGCCGCCACACGCTACGTAGCGAGTCCATATGAAATGTATGATTGTGGCCGGTGGCCCGTGTGCGTGGACACTTACTATTAAATAATGGCGTCGATTCCAGTATGATTCTCTAAACCTAAACTTAAATTTGACAGCAGTATATCCTTGTCATTCTCTATACAGAATGAAAAGGAGAGACTGATGTTAAATTTAGTTTTAAGTTTAGAGAATCACGTCAGAATTGACACCAATGAATTAATTGGCTAGTAAATAATTTCTTATATTAAAGTGCAGTCGGCAACAAGATAAGTTACCAACTTTCTTCTCTAATAATTGACTTTTAAATTTATCTTGTTGGAGCAAGAGTTAGGTAGTTTTAAGTTTAGAGAATCATGCCAGAATTGACACCAGTATAATACGATATCAGACAGATAAATTTTATCCAGTGTTCGAGAAATCAGCCCTCAGTGTCGCCGCACATGGGCCACCGGCCACAATCACAAAACGCCGCCACCGGCATATTTCCTGTAGTTTTCATACATTTTATATAGACTCGCCGCACACGGCTAACGCCAGTGGCCGCCACACGCTACGTAGCGAGTCCATATGAAATGTATGATTGTGGCCGGTGGCCCGTGTGCGTGGACACTTACTATTAAATAATGGCATCGATTCCAGTATGATTCTCTAAACCTAAACTTAAATTTGACAGCAGTATATCCTTGTCATTCTCTATACAGAATGAAAAGGAGAGACTGATGTTAAATTTAGTTTTAAGTTTAGAGAATCACGTCAGAATTGAAACCAATGAATTAATTGGCTAGTAAATAATTTCTTATATTAAAATTAAAGTGCAGTCGGCAACAAGTTAAGTTACCAACTTTCTTCTCTAATAATTGACTTTTAAATTTATCTTGCTCCAACTAACTTTTTCATATATAAATAATATTTAATAAACATCATAATAAGGACGGGATTTTCAAAATAAAAATGGAACAGGCGAAGCGAAATCTTATGGTTTGATTTCGACATGAACTAACATGTCGAAATTATAGAAAAATGTAAGTAAAAAAATTTTTTTAAAAGCTTTCGAGGAACGCCTAAGATTGATGAACCAACACGAAGACGCACGCAATTAAACTGCAACTTCAACAAAGAGATTTTATATTGATTTGCCTATTTGTATTATTTTATTTCCATAGAGCACACGGATTTTTTAATTACCTTAAAGAGAACACAGATAATAAATAAAGAAAACAAAAAGGCGCGCTTTCGATTTGAATTTGGAAGGTTGTCGTTCAAGTCTGCAGATTCTGTTCGCTCTTCAGCTCGAGTGCCCAGACGTGTTGCGGCCAGCCCGTGCGACCCTTGCTTCTCTTCTCGCCCGAAGAAGTCTGTAACAATTGATAATTTCAATTTAATAATGTTTTTATGGTTTTAAATACATGTGCGCCCATGATCTTGTGACACTTGAATAACATTGACCCATCCATCCCTTTTTCCAACCCTTTCACGACGGCAGTAGTGGTCGCACAATCGTCCACAATTAATGGACCAGTTTTAATTAATGATTGGACATTAAATAACTAGTAACCCGCCTTCGCTTCGGATTGAAAATTTTGTCTTTGGACATGTAATTATTATAGTTATAAACCTCGGAAATAATTCCTCTTGAGTCACCCTATAAATAGCTGTATACTGAGATAACCATATATCCAGCAGGAACGACTTCGTTTTATGTTACCTGTGTAAAGATAATAACCATAAGGATTTTTGACATAACATAACTCACTTTCTGACGCAGTAGGATAAAAAGACAAAAACGCGCCAAGATACGCGAAAACGCCTGTCAAACAGAAGCGCGCGCCTCCATAATTGTTTTTTTTTTTACTTTTTTTTTCTGCGCGTCGAAACGGAGACTTTACCAATTGGCCACACGTGCACAATATCGAACATTAGTGCTTTGTATGAAAAAAAGTTAACATGTATCCATGTATCTTTTGACGAACTTTTTCAACAAATCTATTTACGGATCGTTTACAAGATTTAGCTTTTTTTGTCTACGACGGGCGATGTAACGGAACGATGTTAATATTGGGCGTGTAATTGGTGGCACGTTTTTGTATCTTGTAACAAGATACTATTGGGAACAATGAAAACTATTCATGTGGGACGATACAAGCGGTAGGTAATTAACAGATATGTTAGAAGGTTAAAATAAACTTTTTTGATAGTGTTATTTTTTTATTAAAAATATTTTTGTAACAGATTGCTTATGTTACTAATATGTAACCAGGTACTTTTAGATAAGGTAGTTGTGTTAATTTTTTTTCCAAAAGAAGCGGTAACGGTCAGTTTCAATATCTCGAGCAATATCCAGTAACAGATCTAGACCTTCTACAGCTTATTTATCTATTACTTGAGCTTGACATATATATTTAGTTAGTGGTGTCGATTCTGGCATGATTCTCTAAATCTAAACTAAAATTTGACAACAGTGTATCCTTGTCATTCTCCATACAAAATGAAAAAGAGAGACTGATCTTAAATTTAGCTTTCAGTTTAGATAATTATGCCAGAATCGACACCAGTATAGTGGGATAGTATTTACAACATAAATATGGTAGTAGTAATAATAGTAAATTTTCGTTCATTTCGAACAGGCGAAGGTAGTAAGAAAGTAGCGGGATATTCAAAGATGATTTCAAAAGCCTACTTCGGCGGGAGATCTTGTACTGAGAAGAATCAGTCTGAAACTCAGCAAGGGCTGCTTTTTTCTCCCTGTTTTATTTCATACAGTGTTGTCAAATTGAGAGCCGACATCAAACTTGCAAACATGTATTTAGGTCAACTTTCATCACATAATGTCAAATAGGTAACAACAGTTATCAATTAATCAGATTACAATTAGAAATGTAAAAGCGACTTGCTTAAGATGAGCGAAAATTTTTGTGGCCATGTAATACAAGTTTCACTTAAAAAAAAGAAACTAAAAGCAAAAGAGTTGCAAAAAAGTTTTGTTTATGAAATTCTTCCGGCGCGCGCGCGAAAAAAGTTATCGTAGTTCATTGGTTAAGGCAAAGGTATTAAAAAATGAACTGCCGTGTAAAGTAAACAAACAAACTGAGGAAGCAGTTAGATGTTGTAAACAAACACGCACACCTTCTGTTGATTGCTCTGATTTATATTTAGATACGTGTGCACCTACATTAGGTACTTCAACAGTGTTTTTTTTTAATGATTGTGTAGGTAAACGAGCTAACAGTCCACATGATGGAAAGAGGTCACTGCTGCCCATGGACACTTGCAACACCAAGGGTATCAATAATGAACCACTGAAGAAAAAGGTTTACCGGCTTTCCTGAAAAACAAAAAGCAAATCCCACCAACTAAATCCATGACTCCAGCGATAAAAACAGTACCATTTTGGCACATGTTCCGACAAGGAGCATCTCACTTCCAAATCTGGTACCTATTTACTTCAAAGCAAACTTTATATTATATTAAGGTGTCTTACATACATACCTATTGCTTTTATTTCAATAGAGCAGTAGTAAGAAAAGAGTGGCTTGCCCAAGATTTTAATAATTTGATAGTAAATATTGGCACCCTTAGGAAAAAGTTTTCCCATCCCAGATCTAAAACCATATTTCCTCTTAAAAATAATAACTATAGAAGAAAGCAAATCTTTAACAGAAATGCTAAATCAAATTAAAAATCATTTATAAGTCTAGGCTGTTACAAGCACTTGTGAAAGTCAAGAAGCTACGCCATCGGTTCGCAAAACAACGGCGGGATGCCTTGTACTGACAAGAACCGGCAAGAACCGCAGCAAGGGCTGCTTTTTTTCGCTGTATTTTTTAACTTAACGACTCTGTATATAGTATACAGATCAATAAAGTCATCTTCTATTATGTAATTAACGTAGGAACTTATAACGGTTTAAATAAAGTAGAAAATTATAAAAGTCTAATTTCAGCCAACAGGCGACCACCGGTGAATTAGCTACACTAGCCTGTTAGGTAAGGGATAATTTTACATTAAAAAACCCAATGGGGAAATGCTGTTTTTTTTCAAAGACTTTCTTTAAACTTACGACTTAACAGTCGATATTAATTTCAAAAGCGGCGAGAAACAGAGGTAACTAACTAAATTGTATCAAAGACGGTTCCCAGAAAGTTCCTTCCGTTATTTATTAGTGGTGAAACTGGGCACACTTCGTTGGTGTGCGGTGCAAGTAGTAAGCATCAGTGTTAATAAAATGAGCGAGCCTTACAGTAGTCGCGTATGATGTGTAACATTTGAAACCTCATCTTATATTAGAAAAAAAGAAATAAAACCTACTACAAAAGGAATAAGCCATATGAACATTATGTTCTAAAATCAAATCAAATAGCGCGCTTTCGCGACTTCCTGTTGCACACTTCCGTCCCATTTCACGAAGTCACTCCCACAAATTTCAGGAAAACGAGAGGAAAGATGTTGCACATCAAAAAATACGGAGGTTAATACAAAATCATGTTTAAAAATGTCTCGGTTCAGGTTTGGTTAGTGTGTCCGCGGGTTCGAATCCTGAAACCTAGGCCGACTGGAATTTCTTCTATAGTAGCAGCACGCTTTGATGGCTGTTTTGAAGTTTGTGCGTCCATGAAGTTTCGTATGATTATGAATTGAAATTAGTTTTAAAGGTGATTGGGCATATCTGTCCCGCTTAGCTAAAAGTGGCGTACATTAGCCAAAATAGATTTAAACTAAGGAGAATAATATGACCTTTCAAGGCATATAATTATTTAATTTGATGGAGAAAAATGTACAGAATCGTTTAAAAAAATAAAAAATAAACAGTATCGGAGGATTTTATTTCATCTTATAAAGACATGAAAAGAATTCCGATACCATACAGCATGGTGCACGGAGGAGCCAATGTTTAGAGGCATGTATACGCTGTCTCTTTCACACATTAGACAGGTCGAAGAAGTTTCTTTGCGCTCGCGCACTGTCTCCCCGCCCACCGCGCAGCCCAGTCCTTCGTTAACTATCGTTGCGATCTGTACGTTTACCCAGTTTGCTTTTATCTATTGTTTTGACGTGACAACGTCTTAAATTAGGTTGCGGCTGGGAGTCACTTATGAAAAAGTGTAACGCTCGGTAACGTTACGATGAGTCTCTCGTGTTAAGTTTAAGTTTACATGTACAATGTTTTAGTAAACAAAATATATTTCTATAGTTAAAATTTGTGCAATTCTTATTTTCATTCAATTCCTTGTTCCTATTGTGCAATTTAATTATATTCATATCAATAAATATTCTACCGAGAAAAAGACGTTGTCACGTAAAATCTTCGCCCGTAAAACCGACTTTACAGGCAACCATTTTTATCGACTACATTGTGTTACGTGTTTGGGATGATTTAAGAAAGATTTTAAAATATTTCGACACACATATTTTAATGTTGCGATGCGAAACATGTTGCCTGATTTTAAAATAACTGCGGCAATTATTAACGTTAGACGGTGGCCATACGAAGATAATATATACACCTAACATAAGAGAGAAGTATAGAAGAGTATTAGTGCTCATGTGTACACGGGCCGCCGCACTGTCGGGAGCTGCGCCCATATTGCTAGCATAGTTTATTATCTGTCTTGGGTCAGACATCAGGAAGCAACAGATGCACCCGCTGCCTTTTGATCTTATACCTGAGGATCAAATTGAATAAAAAATATTCTAACGAATTTGCATTTTATTCATCTTCCTTAAATCAGTTAATAACACTAGAACTTTTCGAGATTCCTGTGGCTCACATTAATGTGACTAATGCCATAGTAAATCAGAGCCATGTATCAATACACTGTGCTATATTTGGTTTGTGTCCGCTATGGGTATGGTTTACATACTAAGGTGCCCCTTTGAAAGAAAGACGCGTATTTGGTATTTATTTTTTTGTCGAATCGCTAATTTTAGGGCTTAGGTAAAATTATAATTTTGTAAGTCTATATAATAATGTGGTCTCGCATGTTATAGTTATGAAAACCTTTTCAAGTATACAACAATTAAATATAATATCATTTTTAACTCAAAAACGCCAGCCATTTGACAAGGTCTTTAAAAAATTAAGTTAATTAGATTAATTAATTGTTTTAGTGTTATGATTGAGAACTTGTATACTATTCGTTACTACGAGAACTATTGTATATCAGATTCAGCATAGTAGAAAACAGTGGATAAATTTTTCACCTTACGCCCATGTGAATGTAGCGAAATCATCATCATCATCAGCCTATTAATGTCCCCACTGCTGGGGTACAGGCCTTCTCTATGAATGGAACAGGGAGATTGGGCCATGACCCACCAAGCGGGCCCAGTGCGGATTGGTAGGTGCTAACGACTGCAAATGCAGCCGGGACCAACGGCTTAACGTGCCTTCCGAAGCACGGAGGAATTCGAGATAGAAGATTTTTGGTCACCCATCCAATGACATCGGTCATTGGGAATTGCGAAAGTTGCTTAACTTCAACGATCGCAGCCGAACGCGCTAGCCACCTACGCCATGCCCACCGAAATGGCTGAGATATATATTTTTTACTAAGCTGTAGAGTTTGTAATAATTTAGGGCGTGCAGAGTTAGAAGCTTGACTCTCCATGAGATCTGATTTTTGACAGTGCGAGTCATGTGTTATATGTCTTAGCAACATTTTACACGAAAATTGTTTTCTGTGTTGCACTACTTCCATCCCGTTTGGTACATCACATCTGTCCGTTCGTCGCGCGTCGCTTGGACCACGCGCCCTAATCTAATAAAGAGATGCACATGGCCCCCTGTATCTGGCAATTTTATCGTCGAACGTAAAGCAAATTACAATATAAACACACAGAAATAACAGCACGCGCCACGGTTTATCTTCAATACACCTACAAAATTATTTTTTTATCGATTTCGTAAAATAGGAGTCGAGTATATAATATGAAATAACAAAAGAAAGAACAATATTTTCATTAACCACCATTATACACACAATAAATTATAAAAAAAGGAATATAAATCAACAATGAGCTGGTGCGGCGATGGTCTCATCTGAGCTGATGTTCTGACAAGGCCTGATAGGAGTGAGAGACACAAATAAAAATGTAGGCAAAACATGAACAAAGCACAGCAAAATACTCAGGAAGAACGTCACCTACTCCGGACCAGGCTGCATAGAATAGGTATTTATTGCCTTGTAAGAACTGAGAGGAAGAGAGAAAAAAAATATGTAATGTAATAAATAATATGGGGTCCTAGCAATGGATTAAATCTGAATTAAAACAAAATGCTTTTACTCGTATGTATTATTACATTGCCACATTTTTTTTCGTATAGCATGTCGTATAACATTTTTAATTGTCATCGAAACATTCTGACCTAAGTTTCAGTGGTTAAGTGGTAGAAAGCTCACGTTGCACTCGGCGGCCTGAGTTCGATTCTCAGCTTAGAAAAGACTTTTTTATATTTTGATTTTTTAAGCATTTAACTGCTAGACGTTTAAATCTAAAGAAAATTTTAATAGGAAAAAATCCACGCGCTTTAATAATAATTTGGACATCTTTAAGGCCAGAGTGAACAGGTATCTTCTAGGCAGGCGTGTACCATCCTAGGCCTCATCATCGCTTTCCATCAGGCGAGATTGTGGTCAAACGCCTTGCCTATTAAGCATTAAAAAAAATAAAAAAAAAACATTGTGGGTTACCACACAATACAATGCGAAGAGATGGCGTTGCCTTGCAGCTTCAGAAGCACTAGAGAAAATTCGACACGGCCATCAGGGCCACCGTAATATAATGCGATTCGGACAAGGCAGCAGACGTCCCGTCTGCTGCCTTGTCCGAGTGGATTTTTTTTAGTAAAATTTTCTAAATACGTTTTTCATTTTCCACTTTCATAAGCCAAAGTAATATCAACTGGTGGCATGCGTTATTTATTTAAATAAATCTCTTAAATTTGACGCGTATCGAATTCTGTATTCGTTAGTGCTAAGGTCGATTCTGTAAAATGAAATTTCACTTCAGATTTCGATAGCTGTCATTTTAGCGAAGTTTGATATGCATTACGCCATTACACGGAAAAATGACTGTATGTCTGTAGAAGCAGCCAGTGATAGATATTTGGCATTTGTCAGAAATCAGAAAAAATAAATAATATAATAAATATTTCCAACACTCACACCAATTAGCCTAGCCCCAAAGTAAGCACTGTAAGGCTTGTGTGCTATGGTATGCTGGGGTAACGGATAAAATACATACCTATACTGTACATATATAAGTATATTTATATAGAAATACATATTAAACATCCATGAGTGGAGTACAAATGCTCGTATTCATCACACAAACATGCCTCCACCGGGATTGAAACCCGGCGTACAAACCACTCGGCCACGGAGGTCATCAAATGAAAATGAGATCGTAACTGAGATTGCATCTTACAGAATAAAATGCAGGTAGGGCCAATACCTGTATTCTGCTGAACTTCTTTGAAAACCTAAGCTTCCGAATTCTAAATACAAAGATGCATTATCTATTTCATTTCGAGAGCAACTACAGGTTAAAAATACCGTGGAACGGTTTTCAAGTGGGCTTCTCTGATCTGACGTGATTGGCTCAGGCGCCACTGAGTGCGCAACATGCACAGCCATGTGCACTTGTTATTCTGATAACGGACACCCTTTCCCTTGAGAAACTCAACCGCATTATAGAGTAGCTAGGAATAAAATGTTTCAAGTCGAAATTATAAAAAGTAAAAGAATGACGAGACGTTTTTCTTTCTTTTTTTTTTCTAAATGGCTTCGCATGGCTTGTGCATTTAGCCAATGTAAAGATTTAAAATGTTTACAAATACTATTATAGCACTAATTACGGAATTGAGCCGTCAGGTAGGGTTTTTAAAAACTAAACTTTAAATTATAACTTTATTTATTTAAATGTTTTACAAAATTACTTATATTAATTGATCCCGATGATCCGGTCTTACAAACTATACGTCAAGATGCTTCCACGATTGAAGCTCAAGCAACTCCCAAAACTGTCCGAAGGTTTTACATGAACTAAATCTGTCTAATAAGCACTTTTCAACACGATTGCTCAATCGAGCCACCTGCACTTGGAAAACACATAATGTAAGCGTGACGTATGAGTGACGTAGACGAGTCTTGTACTCGTAACATACTCGTGGTCAAAGTAATAAATCAAGTCAAAGTAAGTGGCAGTCAAGTCAATCCCCCTTTCCCTATGTTTTAGTAAAAGTGGATGGTGTGGGGATTTACTGGAACCTCCCCGTGGACTTCTTGAGGGAACGTCGAAAGACACTTTCCGCTATTTTGTTTCACTTGCCAGCACTCGTGCATGTTCCCGAACACTTAGTGGTTAATAATCCACCATTATTAGACACTAACATCCACCACAACACAATTTTTAACAAGAAAAACAAAACTGCTAAAGTGACACTTCCCGATCCCGCCAAAAAGTCCTGACGAGACGAGTTGTTTTTTTTAATCTTACAGGAACCTAAAATTTGTCCGGGATAAAGCCGTTGTGTCTATTTTGTGGCCGATAGATCAGTCAGTCAGTAATAGCTGGTTTTTAGGGATCCGTAGCCAAATAGCAAACAAATAAACCTTTATGGATTCGTCATGTCTGTCTGTCCGTCCGTATGTCACAGCCAGTTTTTCCGAAACTATATGAACTAGTATGCTATACTGTTGAAACTTGGTAAGTAGATTTATTATGTGAACCGCATTAAGATTTTTCTGTGGGGGATAGATATGAAACTAAAAAAATATCTCATACGTGTGGGCTTTCTATGGATAGGTCTTCAAAAATGATACTGAGGTTTTTAATATCATTATTTTCTAAACTGAATAGTTTGCGCGAGAGACACTTCCAAAATGGTAAAATGTGTGCCCCCCCCCCCCCCTGTAACTTCTAAAATTAGAGAGAGATAAAACTAAAAAAATATATGATGTACTATGCATACTTTCACCGAAATTGGTTTGAACGAGTTCTAGTAAGAAGTTTTATTAAAGACGCCATGAATTGTAAACCGCAATTTACCTTTCATTCAATCAACTGAAATTTACTTATCAATAATTTACTTTTAAAAAATCACACTATTATTAAACCATCGATCAAAGTTACAACGAACTACAACAACTATATGTTACTTGCTGCTAGTCCGACTCGCACTTGGCTGCTTTTTATTTATATATATAGAAGACTAGCCTAGCCACCCTCGCTTCGCTTCGGTGTAGAGCTGTAGTGTAGACTACAGTTTTTGTTCTCAGGCTTGTATTATACACAATGACATTCATCTATGATTCTTCTTATACCTGCATGCAAAGTCTCAGCCCGATCGGTTTAAAATTGACAAAGTTTCATACAAACTTTCATTCCCTATTTTATCCCCTTGGGGGTAGAATTGATCAAAATCCTTTCTGCAGGTAGCCCGATCCCTCCAGTGGTTTGGACTGTGCGTTGATAGATCACTATGTCCGTCAGCCACCTTTGAGTTTTATATATATAGAAGATATAGTATATATATATATATAAGATAGATTACCTGCACACTCCCTTCGTTGGTTTTTCTCCTGGGCGGCGTGTGGTGCAGGTCAGCCCTGAACCCACCGGCTGGCTCCCCGTCCGTCTCCAACACCTTGAGCAAGTATGAAATGTAGGATGTGGCCAACCGCAGTGTCTTGATCTGTGGGAACAATAATAATTTTGCCAATATTTATAATTATAGCTATTAATGGGATTGTTACCATGTACCTTGTTTTTTATGAGTCTCTGATATTTCGGCTCTGTTGCAAGCGCCATGATCACGGGGATACGGTTAGTAACTGTCATAAAAATAAGGTACATAGTAACAATCCCGTTAATCGCTATAATCTTAGTGACCATGAAAGTTTAAAACAAAATATTTATATTATAGTAATATATGTTATTAACGGGATTGTTACCATGTACCTTGTTTTTAGCGAGTTTCCGATATTTCGGCACTGTTCGGCACTTAAACCGAAAAAATCAAAAAAGTGTCGTGTCGCGATCCGATACTGTTAGTGTTGTGTGTCGGGAACAGTTTCGAGTGAAAAGACTTCGTCTGAGGGTAGACCGATATGTCTGCCAATAACAGCCTACCCGCAATTACTTCAGTTACTCCATGATCATGGCGCTTGCAATAGTGCCGGAATATCGGAAACTCGCTAAAAACAAAGGTACATGGTAACAAAAAGGAAGAAGTTTTAAAAGAGAATACTGGGTCCATCTCTAACAAGCGCGCAACGCGGGGACGACCGCGTAATAGGCGTTTTTGTATGTCCATGAAAATACTAATTTAAAATTAAAGATTTGTTCTAGGTATCAAAAAAATACATTACATTTTTTTTGGTCTAATACCTATAACATTTATTAACCATTTAAAACCTATTTCCAAAATGGGTCAACTAGCCTACTGAGTTCAGCATAGGTATTCCGTAAGATGCAATATCACTTACGATCTGATTTATTCGAATTTATGACAAATGTTAAATATGTCGAATTGCAATAAATAAATGTTTATTTCTTAAAGTATTTGGTCTAAGGAACCTAAATATATCGATTTCACTTCATAAAAGCAGAAGACTGCTGTAGAAATTTAATTTTAAAAAATAATTTTTAGTCTATACTTTTTAAACACTAAAACGAACAGAGTTCGCTACATCCGCCATGATTGTGACGTCTCTTTGGTAGTAAACAACTAAATGTCTAACTACCGGTTGACGTCATAGCATAGATAATCTATAGACGACCTCCGTGGCCGAGTGGTTTGTACGCCGGGTTTCATGGCTGTCGCCGACTCGAGAGGTCCCGGGTTCGAATCCCGGTGGGGGCAGATGTTTGTGTGATGAATACGAGCATAGCATAGATGTTTACTATGTATTTATATAAATATACTTATACATGTACTGTATATGTATTCTATCCGTTACCCTAGCATCCCATAACACAAGCCTTAAAGTGCTTACTTTGGGGCTAGGCTAATTGGTATGTGTCGGAAAAAATAAATATTCATAGACTAAAATGGCCGACAGCGTTTTTGTATGTCCATGAAAATACTAATTTAAAATTAAAGATTTGTTCTAGGTATCAAAAAAATACATTACATTTTTTTTGGTCTAATACCTATAACATTTATTAACCATTTAAAACCTATTTCCAAAATGGGTCAACTAGCCTACTGAGTTCAGCATAGGTATTCCGTAAGATGCAATATCACTTACGATCTGATTTATTCGAATTTATGACAAATGTTAAATATGTAATACTGGTTGCTTCTACAAACATAGCGACTTTTTGCCGTGTAATGGCGTAATGCATATCAAACTAATATATAAAATGGCTGCTACCGACAATGGAAGTGAGATTTTTTTTACAGAATCGCCTTACTGATGCTTGGATTTGGTTGTAAAAAACCGTGTCACATACTTAATGAACAGTACGGGATATGCGAACATTTCTTGGCCGAAAATTTTAAGAAGTGCACGCTATGAAACTAAACATTCTCAGATTACGTTGTGTTATAATTAACATGAAGTTTAAGAGAAAGGAAGACGTTTTAAAAGACAATACTGGACAATACACAATGACAACCTCCGTCGCCGAGTGGTTTGTACGCCAGGTTTCATGGTGTCGCCGACTCGAGAAGTCCCGGGTTCGAATCCCAGTGGGGGTAGATGTTTGTGTGATGAATACGAGCATTTGTACTCCAGTCATGGATGTTTAATATATTTCTATATAAATATACTTATATATGTATTCTATCCGTTACTCTAGCATCCCATAACACAAGCCTTACAGTACTTACTTTATGGCTAGGCTAATTGGTGTGAGTGTCGGAAATATTTATTTATTTATTATTTAATACGCGTACTTGAGTCCAATCTGGTCTCTCGGTGTCCTCTATTCGGGGGAAGTTTTTACGCGGTACTTTTAACACGTCGTGTGTGACACGCAGTTGTAAGTGTTCTATTTTTGCGGCCCTTGGGGCCAATCGCCTAAAAAATTGCTATGGCTATCGCTATCGCTTACGATATCATTTTGTTATTTTTTACCGCCTTAGATCTTCAAATACCTCACACTCATTTTTTTTAATATTGTTATTACCAATGCAAAAGAAAAAAAAGAGCGCGAGGCATTTCAAAACCTTCGGGGGTCAGAAATTACAAAATGAAATCATAAGCGGTAGCGTTAGCCATAGCGATCCCGTTAGGCGAATCCTTTTATGTGCAGGCCATAATAGAGACAAACAGGGAGTCCGTCTGGGGGAATTAAGCTCCACCTTACAGGAGAAAGCAGTGAAATATTATAGTTCTTGTTATTTTCATAAAAATGTCGCTTCTACGCAGTTAAGATTCTTTCACCCATTCTTGTCAGATTAAAGATGTCATGAACCGGTGGTAGGTAATAGAAAATATTTTTAAAGCGAATATAGTAAAGCAGCGAATATATAAGGTGGATAGCGCCTTTTTTTTTTAAAATTATTTTTGAAGTGAAAACTTCTTTAGCGGCGTTATACACTTATTTTGTATGGGTAAAAAATGTTAAACTCGCGTCAGGTTAAACACGTGGGCTGATCGCATCATGACACACAATAAAATTGGAAAGGTTGTTGACTTTCAATATATTGGACGAAACATAGTAATCTTTTATTTAATCGTATTATAAATCGAAAATTTGTACGACGAAAACAATAAAATTGGAAAGGTTGTTGACTTTCAATATATTGGACGAATCATAGTAATATTTTATTTTATAGTATTATAATAATAAGTCTGTATCTAGGACGTCCAGGTGGCAGCTTTATTGCGAAGAAAATGCATTTTTTTTTACACTAAATGTCGCTAGATGCGCTTAAATGAGTAATTCTGAGAGATAAACTTTTTAATGTAATATAAATTGTCATGTTTGTGTACGATAGCGCAATAAATAAATATTGTATTCTACCACATAAATGATAGTACTTTTATACTGATAATAAAAGAAATTCGTGCAAAATTATTCCCTAACCATTCCAAAATATCAAAAATGCACAATGTTAATATTCAAGTTTCTACTTCTGCCGGCACTCCCGGAGTGCAATCCGTCGTTTTTTTTTATTGAATAGAGTATACTAGCAAACCAGAGAACCAAATGTTCACCAAAACCTGATTTCTCGAAAACCGGAAGTGCTACGTTACTCAAATCCGGTTTGTAGTCTTATCAGACTATTCTTAACTTATAACTTAAATATTCTCTTAATCTATCTCTTACGGTTTGGCCGCTGAAACAGCACCACAGACAGACGGACTTGTCTAATAGATAAGAGATACCGCGAAGTGATTAACTTTGAAATAAAAATTCTAGGTACCTCAAGAGTGGGAAAATAGGGGTGATTTTACACTAACAGCTTTTGATGCTATGTTGTATATTACAAAATTTATGGCCAAAGAAATTAAAAAATTAAAACTGTTAAGTGTTAACGAAAAAATTAAACCGCCGAAAAATCTGATAAGCAGAAAATAGATAATAATACTCTGCCTCTGCCGAGTGCTCCAAGCGGCGCAAATATTCAGCTCTTATTGAGAACTACATATTTGTGCCGTTTGGTGTTGAGACTATGGGCCCATGGGGTCCAAGCGCTCGTTCCCTTTTCAAGGAATGAGGGCTATCGCGTCTGAAACCGCCGCTAGAGGCGCTTGTGTTGCGTGAGGTCTCCGAAATGTCAAATGTTATAACTTGCGGGTTGTCTACGCGGTTTTTTCCTAATTAAAATAATAGTACCAAATAGGTAATAAATCAGACTTATTATGGCAAATATGAGTTACGTGTCAATGATTGTCAGTTATTTAAAAGCGGAGCTAAGAAAAAATATTGTCCTTCTTTTTTCCGAACAAAACGGGACTGCGCAACACTGTGGCATGGGCGATTATGTTTAAGATACGATTCTTTTGTATTTTAATATGTAAACTTTGATATCACGAGCGTGTTTACTAACTTTAAAAGTTACACTTCAGGACCTCACTCAACAGTGGCGCCATCTGGTGAGACAAAAAACGATAGCCCTCATTGTCAAAGAGGCTCACGTGATATGTTTTTTATTTTGTAAATTATTTATTTATGTAGGTAAGTAGGTTAAGCTATGTAGTTTTTAAAGTTTGTGTTATTTTAATGTATTATCTTCGTATTAATAAATAAATTATATTTATCGATAATAAAACTTTTATATCTTTCATCATCATCACCTATTAATGCATCCACTGCTGGGCTGCAGGCTTTCCCTATGGATGGAATATTGGAGGTTTGGCCATGATCCGTTTGGCCAGTGCGGATTGGCGGATGCTAACGACTTCCGAAGCACGGAGGAACTCGAGATAGAAGATTTTTGGTCACCCATCCAATGACCGACCACTGCGAAAGTTGCTTAACTTCAACGATCGCAGCCGAACGTGCTAACGACCTGCGCCATCGAGCTCCTCCTATATATCTTTAGTCAAATTAATATTTGGAGCCGGTGCCATGCCGACCCAAGTAGTAAATGGGAACTCAGATCTAAAGACACCAAATAATAATTTGACTGAAGTTTTAAACAGTTTATAAATATTCTTTTTTCATAAAATTTTCGGCGGTTCAATTTTTTGTAAAGAGTTTTCATTTTTCTTCCTCACATTTTGATATTCTTCTTCAGTTAATGCTAATAACAACAAAAACTCAGCTTTTCAACAGGGGCGTAATAACACTAGGGCCAAAAGGAGCCATGACCCGAGGCGGCAGGCTACGAGGGGCGGCTGCAAGAGCTGAGAGGCGGGAGATATGAGGCATTCGTTACTGAAGTATATTTTGATTTGAGGCGGATGCGATTGGCCATGGGAATTTCAGCATAACAGGCCCTGCCAGAATACCAGCGCTGCTGTGTACACGTTTTGTAGCGTGTTGCGGCAGCATAATGCTGAGGCAGAGTCCTGATTGAACACAAATGGTACTATTATTAATGTTTTTTTTTCTCTTTACTCCATTATGTATATTTTAATTTTTTTTGTATGTTGTTTTGTAAAGGACACCCGGCATTATGTGCCAAAGTTGTATACTTTTTTAATTTTTTTATCTGTGTTTCATAATTGGGTAACGTAGTCTGGCAATATTGCTAGCTGGCAATGTCAAATATGTAGGTTTGTCAATATAACCTCTATAAGTAGCCGGGTCGTCAAGAGAAATAACGGATAAAAAGGCAATCACAGCAGAGAACATTCACAATCACAGTACGCGGGAGCGGATGCGAATGATTTTTATGTTTGTATTTTAGGATTGTTAAATTGACATTTGGTTTTTTATTTAGAAAAAGCAAAGGAATCATGGTTTTTACAGTCACTTGAGTAATATTTTGAAGTAAAATTATGTCCCTTGAAGATTTAGGGTTTCCATATCAAAAAATATTAATCATTATATAACTTCTTTCCACGATTCACTAAAAATAAGGCAAAAGTAGTTTTATGTAGCAAATAATTTTGGCTTTATTTTGAGACCAAATTCAACTGTATACAAGTTTAGCATTTTTTCTATGAAAAGTGCCGGGTCTCCTTTATTAATGTGGTCAATAAGAATGATTCTCTCTCTCTCTCTTCCAGAGCTCTATGGGGAATTACGAGAGGGAACCTGTACTGCCGTCTCAAGCTACCTTTGCTACTGAACTTCAATCCCACTTAACATCAAGTGGGGTTGTATGTAGTGTTGTGCGGTTAGTGGAAAACGAGAAATATTAAATTTCACACAGTCCCGCGAAATTTTCTGATACTCCCGGGACAACGGAAAATGGGAATATTCCGGTAAATTAAAAAAAAAACTTTTTTATTTTAATAATTCCCAGTGGTACATCATTTAATGTTATCTGTCTAGTCTGAAAAAAGAAAATAAATCATTACTCATGAAAAGTGACAAACTAATTATGTTCTTTCCTAAACCGTTGAAAATTAGAGCTATTTTGATGATAAATAAAAGCTTGTTACTACAGTTTAATGTAAAGTTAATTAGTTAATACTAGCAAACCAGTGAAAAAAATGTTCACCAAAACCTGATTAAAAAAAAAATGTATTTAATTAATTGAGAACTTCTAAGATTTTGTGTGGTTTCGTTTGAAATTCGTGATTTCTCGAAAACCGGAAGTGCTACGTGACTCAAATCCGGTTTGTAGTCTTATCAGACTATTCTTAACTTATAACTTAAATATTCTCTTTATTTATCTCTTACGGTTTGGCCGCTGAAACAGCACCACAGACAGACGGATGGACGGACTTGTCTAATAGATAAGAGATTATTCCTTTAAATTAATGTTCTCGTAATTTGTATACATATATTTGTAACAAACAGGGAAATGCCCTTTGGCTACTGGTCCAGGTGCTTCCCTTTATTTTATAAGACACCCTAGTCAAGTGGTAAACTCTCCATTATAATATTCATTACCTAATTATCTACACTTAAAAGTAAATTTGCAGTAGAACATAATATCACAGACTGCTGCAAAGTTTAGTTTTAATTTTAGAGAATCATGCCAGTGTCAGATCTACGTCAAAGAAGAATTAAATGTGTGATAATGAGGCCTCTAGAGTTATGGTCTCGTTATGGTTATATCTTTAGATAAATTTAAGAATGTTAATAATCTATTTTTATGTACAGGGTGTAACGAAAATGATAAACATACTTAAAGGTGTACATAATCCGAATGTAAATCATTAGGAAACTATGAATTGGTGGGGTGGAGTCATTTGTCAGGATATTTTAAAAAAAAAGAATTTTAATATGTTGAAAAATCACTACAACCATATTTAATGAAACAGCAATACACTTGATTCAGTGGCCAAATCAATGTATTATTAAAGATTATCCTCACAGTCTTTTGTAGGTATTTGTGTAAACAAAGTTGTCACGTAATAGAATAATAAGATTAAGTACATATCGACACCATGTGTGAATTTTTAATGCAAAAATTACCAACACGATTGAGACTTTAGTACTCCATTGAATTGTTTGTACTCGAGTCACCCAGAAATCATCTCTGCTGCAGTCTGCTCTAAAGTAGAGGTTATGTTCTCAAATAAAAAGGAGTTTCAATCTATATAAATAATAATCAATAATTGTTCGTTAGCCTCGTTAAAACTCGAGAACGGCTGAACGGATTTATCTTATCTTGGTCTTGAAATGTTCGTGGAGGTCAAGGGAAGGTTTTAAAGGTAAGAAAAATTCTACTCTACAGCTCTACACCGAAGCGAAGCGAGGGCGGGCCACTAGTACAAGATAAAAAAAAACCCGCTAAGAATTTGAAGATATTATGCAGTAATAAATAATATTTATGTTAATTCTGTAGTAAATAGAATGTTTAACTTTATTGATAAGATATGAATGAGAAGTAACAGTGTCATTCCATGGTTTATTTTGGCTTTCGAGTTTTTCTGAATACTTAATGTATAATAATAATATGACGAGATCTGGAAAAGTATAATTTACGAATATCAAACTATGTATTGACGGCTTAAGTGACTCAGTATCCGGACAAACCCAATGTGGGTTTTTGTGGTACTTTTTATTATTTACTGTATTTTGTATTATCAAATAAATGAAAAAAAAAGTATTTTTTGTAAACCGTTTTCGTTACACCTTTACATGAAAAAACAGTGGGGAGATATTTCTAACTAGGTACGCACCTTCGACAGTTTAGTGTCAGCCGGCACGTTCGGTATGCGCCCCTTTAAGGTGGAGAACGCGGTATTGATGCTCAGGGTGCGCCGGTGCTCCTTAACAAATACAACATCCCCTAGACTATAGGCTTTACTACTGACGAAGTGAGTACATGCTGTATATACAGGGTTAATTTTAAAACACCAACAAAACTCTTAGGTGGTGATTATACCCATCAACAGGAACAACTTTGATAATGGGACCAACACTTGAATCGCGAAATAAAAACAGCTGTTTCATACATTTCCGTCGATTAGCTGATGTACTTTTGTATGAAACAGCTGATATTTTTGTTCGTGATTTCAGAGTTGGTCCTTTAATAAAAGTTGTTCCTGTTGATGGGTAGAATCACCCTCTAAGAGGTTATTGGTGTTTTAAAATTAACCCTGTATATAAGCGAGTCTTTTGATAAATAATTGAGTATTTCCGGAATAGGCTATTTGATATTATGAAAAATAAAAAAATACCAATTTTAGTATGTATATTTATTACGCACATTGTGAGCTTTTTCACTGTTCTAACAAAAATGTAGTTGATAATATAGTACTTTATTTTTCATACGTTCAAATAGCATATTTTCTATGGCTCCCCGTTAATACCCTACATTTAATGTTTTACCTTTGTCGTTAGTAGAACAGCCGTTTAGTCAAGAGGGACAGATTAGAAACATCTCCCCAGGGTAACGATTTTGTTTGATGATATATTTTAAAATGTCTTAATTCTAAATACACAACACATACGTATGGGTAGTTCGAAACTGGTCAAGTGCAAGTCAGACTAGTACAGGAGAGTTCAATGTTCAACTGTCAAATGTAAAAAAAGGATGCGTAAAATTAACGCGGTCAAGTCGTCGCGTAAGAATCAGAATTCTTAATTTTTTTAATATTTGATGCTGTTGTGAATAAGGCCGCGTTGTTTGATATATAGTTTTTGACTATTAGTCAATGTCACTTTAAATAAGCGTTGCCTGTTCCAGATTTTGGCGGGACGTAACCATTTTTAAAACAAAATATAATGTCCCACGCGGGACAGGCTCAATCCCGATTTTCGGGATAAACTCGACCGTGCATGCAGGGCACTGTAAAAGCGCGGGCGGGCGTGGCACATACACCTGCCTGGCGCGTAATGAAGAACTCCCAAACAAAGACTCAACTATTTAACGATAGGGTAAATCTGATTGAAAATATCATATTTTTATTAAAATAAGTTTTCTATGGATATTTTTACTAGGTAATTATTGTCGCGTAAACGTAATTTGAACTCAAATAAAAAGATAAATATTCAAAAACTTTTGATTATATACGTTTTTTTACTATGTCCCGCTTTTGACGAAAGAATCCCGCTTTTTTCACTCAAAAGTTCCTAAATCCCGACTTGGCAAAAAAATAATTGGTAACGCTGCTTCAAATACATAGGTCAAATAGTTATTTTTAGGGTTCCGTACCACAAAAGGAAAAACGGAACCCAGTTAGTATCGCTTTATTGTCCGTCTGCCCATCTGCCCGGCTATCTATCTGTCAAAACCCTTTATCGTAGTGCGTGGAGGTATCGAGTTAAAATTTAAACTATATATGTACATAGGTCCGTTGAAGCTGTGAAAAATCAAACTTTTAGAAGTTAACTTAAAAAAGATACGACAGTTTATCTTGCGTAGACTACAAATTTGTACGAAGCACTCGGTGGACAAGTCGGGTTTTTTTCTATAGTTTTTAACTAAAGTCACATTTAACTATGTATGAAACACAGCGGCCTTAGTAACTGACAGTTTGGTAAAAGGTGAGAAGCTTTATGGCGCAAAGTGTTTAGCGCGTTCGGACTGCAAACGTGGTTGCTAATGTGTAAGATGTCTACGGAAGTTACTCCTGTACTTGGGCAATTTTGTTTTTTGACAAAAGTCACAGGGAAATTCTCGAATTCCACTTATTTTGAGAATATGATATTACGAATACTTAATATTCCAGTTGCGAAGATGAGGCTTATGCGGTAGATTTCTAATGCTCTACACCTACCGCCATCCACTCTGGCTTGAATCAAATTCTACTATATTCGATCCATGTGGATTTTTTTCTAGTAAAATTTTCTTTACACTTATCCATCTAGCAGTGAAATGCTTAAAAAATATAAATATAATAATTAACTCCATTACTTCAGAAACATCACCGATTACGAACTACCGTTCCCTGGATTATTTACAAATCCAATGTCCCGGGAATACCTATAGAATTTTTAATGCCCCGAGATTTTTTTTTCCCCCGGGGGTAATTTGTAAATATTCCCGGTATTTTGGAATACGCAAATACGTGGGATTTTTTAATTCCTGTGGCAAATCACTAAATATTACAGAATAATATTATTCCCCTGTAATCTTTCTTTAAGGTGCACTTTGCTTTTCCGAAAACAAACGAAAAATCAATTGTTCTAATTTATTTCTCACTGTTTGTCAGTTTCAATAATCAATCCCCAGCATGAAATAGGTTTAATAGAGCTTTGGTATAGTTATTTTTATTATTTTGATAAAAAAAAACAACTGTTGCTTAGAAATTAAACCAAAAAAATAGGTATAATTTTTTGAAACCACCATGCAAGTGAAACTTTTAAAATCATTCAGAAAAAAGACCTTCGTCAACTGGGCATCGAACCCGGGCCGCCCGCATAGCGAGAGAGGCGGAGACGAGTATTCACACTTTTCACACTGAACCATAGATTCTTATTGGCGAGATCTGTTTTAATTTATAACAATAAAAAATGTAATGCGACTTGCTAAAGATAACTCTAGCGCTGAACAAAACACGGTGGGGATAGCTTAGCTGCGCATGGGTAGGTACGACTGGAGAGCCAATCGGCGCAACGCATGCCCACCCGCACACCTCGTTTCCCCCCAAGACATCTTAATTTTTACTTCTGCGCAATAACGGTCAGCGTTAGTTACGTGCCGCGACTTTTAGGGGAGCCAAAGCGAGAAGCGAGACCTTAAATCATGGCCAATTGATTTTTTTTGCTGCCTTTGACGTTTGGCCCTATATAAAGGAAGGGCTCAGGTATGGTGAGAGTACTTCACAGGGTGCAAGGTTACCCCTGTTATCTGCGCTTGAGTAAATCCTACAATTCCCGCTCGGGTTCTCCTTACGAAACACAGAAAGAGGTTAGAAGGATGATCGTAGACCGTTTTCATGGAAACCGATGTCGCCAGCTCGTCCCCACTACACTTCCACCTTATAGATAATTGCCAATCAATTGACGCGACATCAAACGGTCAAACCAAACATCACTCACACCAGAGAGCGACGACGCAATCAGAACCAAGTTTTGGTCAAGTTATGAGCATTTGCTCACACATAACTGTTGCGCGCCTGCCCCGCCAACAAGGCCCTTCTAACCCCTTTCTGTGTTCTTTGGTTCTCCTACTAGAATAAAAGTTTCACTTTAATAAGTTAACCTTTTACTGGAGGGTGATTATTGGACTAAACTGTACTTCCAGAGCCCAAGTGGTGATACTTCATACTAGGTTAGGTTAGGTTAGCGTAATGACCATAACGCGCGAGCCCAGCGGGAAAAGCGCAGCGCAAGCGGGCGGCGAAGCGCCAGAAAAAAAAGAGACTTTTTCTCCAAAAAAAAATCAAGTATCACCTCTTGGGCCCTGGAAGTACAGTTTTACCGATTATTGAAATTGACCGTAGAATATGACTTCGATATAAGATACAAACCTTAGATAACTTTGTATCCGGTGGCACATTCGGTATACAGTCCCTCAGGTCTGAGAATGCGGTATTGATATTGTGTGTGCGTCTGCGCTCCTTCTTGTTGGCAGTCGATCTTCGTTTCACGACTCGAACGAAGGAGGGTGGCGCCGGCCGTTCGTATTGCAGTGGTAGGGGCTGCATGTCGCAGTCCACTGTTGGGAGAAAGAGACATTATAGGGTAGTATCCTTAGATTAAAATAAAAATTGATGATACGGTACGCTTTTAATATCATCAAATAAAAGCGAGTGAGCTATGGTGGCCGTACCATCAGGCATTGTCCTAATACAACGCGATAACGCGAATGAGCGATGCGATCATCGTACGAGTCGACGATCAAACATATTGATCTAGAATAGGTGTCCTAATAGGCGATCGCGCGATGCATTCGCGCGACTAAAATGTTTAAAAATCTATTCGCGCGATCTTAGTTCGCGCGAACGCGCAATCAAACCTATTAACGATGAATAGGTGTCCTAACTGAAGTTCGCGCGATGATCGCGTCGCGTTGATAGGAAGCGGGGAGAGGGGCAGGACTAACCCGTTCCGTATTCGCGTTCTATTAGGACACCCAGTTCGCGATCACGCGATGGTCGCGTCGTTTAAACGCGCGATGATCGCGTTATCGCGTTGTATTAGGACAATGCCTCAGGCGTATGTTTGTTTGCCACACTTTTAACATAAACATTAAAAAATAACACAAACAAACTCAATTCCGCATTGATAATCTTAAGTTAGGAGTCCATTTATTTACCTGTGTTATGTTGCGTGTAACCATGATGGATTCCATTATGATATGTGTCGTACGGCTCATTCGCCGCCATCTGCATATCCTCATAACCTGATGGAAGAAAACAGTGAAAAATTTAAGAGTTCATGGCTTACAAATTCACAAACTATTCATTAACAATATCACGATAGCATAGAGCAACACGGCTGACGCGGCCAGAAGGGCAGTAGGCATAGCTCTCCCCTCTGTCGGGTTGGGCATACAAACTTTTAGATTTCAAGATATCGCACGTCACAAACAATAGGGTATTAAGTCGGCAAAACCATTTATTTTTTTATTTGCGTATCGAAAACTACCTTTTTTCTCTGTAAACTGGTAAGATAATTGTATTTTAATTCGAAATAGTTTTTGAATTATAGCAACACATGTCGTCAATTTCTAGGCAAAATTTATGATTGCGAGTATTATAACCAGTATTAAGTTAAGCTAATAATACCCTATTGCCCGTTCGGATTAACACAAGTTTGAAGTTTTATTTAAAATAATACCCTCTGGCCTGTTAAATTTTATTTAATATGTTATTTTCAGCGAAATTATTTTAAAATGATACTAGTTTTAATTTTAACATGAGCCATTGAGCCATTTGAACTGCTTATCGGGTATTCTCTCTACCCAGTCACATAAAAGTACTTATAAAATAAAAATTACTGTTGATACACTAACTAAACTTACTCAACACAAAGAAGGTTAATGTACGTTTAAATCAAGGTATCATTTTAAACATTTGAACAAGTAGTTCCGCTTCTACGATTTTTTAAAACTTCAAAACGCGATATCTCAAAACACTGTTTTTGAAGATAATACCCTTTTGTTTGTGACGTGCGATATATTGTGTCATTGTTTATGTGTGAGTGTCGCAGTTACAGTTTTGTTTTATATGCGTATACGTTAAACTGCGTTTTGTGCATATTCCGCAAAAAAATACAGAATGATTTGAATACTAATATATTCGCTCCCTTCCGTGTAATCTATAGGGATATCATGCTATTGAGGTGTCAATACACGAATTATTTTTAATATTTATTTGTTTATAATAAGTAACTTCAATAGAAAGAAAATTTTATTTCAGCAAAAAAAAATACATAAAGTAGTAACTTACCATAATTTCTACTTATGTAGTGTGCATTGTCATGGTACGCTTCCTGAGCATCGAACTCGTGACCCTCGCCGTTAGCTGCGGGCCAGTATACCCCTCCGTCCATCGGGCTACCTGGATCAATCATCATATATATTTATTTTGGCTTAAGCTTAAGCTTTGCGGAACGGAGAAGCCGTTAAGCAGTCCGCGCAGCTTACGAGCGCTTCCGGGATACTGTCCGCAAACAAACCTCGAGTGCAACTGCTCATTCCGACTTAAAATTTTGACATAGAATGTACGAAACTTTTGTCAAATTTGACATTTGTTGCACCTGGATCGTAGTTTTTGAACGTAGCCCTGTGTATTTTGTATAAGACAGCCACGTGAGCAGTAGACGGCGTGTGCAAAGAAATATGTTTCAGAAACTAAGTTTTGTGTATGTGTTTTTGTTGTATGTTTTAAAAAATAATTGCTGAATATCCGGCTTTATTTTTCTAATGCTGCCTATACATACACAGCATATTCGTTTTGTATTATCATCGCTCGGTGTCGTTTGCCCTCCTCGACCTCATTTAGCGACGACATTCGCTGTCACTCGAAACAATTTGTGTTACGTCGTCCATAATAAGTAAACGTGGGCTTCGTAGCGAGCGTCAGAGCGTCAAATAGAATTTCTATACAAATGTACATTGTCAGCAGTGTTGCCAGGTCCGATTTTAAAACATCGGGAGGCGTTGTAGAAAAAAACACTAGATGTATGAAAAGACCTACAAGAAAAACAGTAGATGCAGTAGCGTCCTTTTTGTTTCCGGTTTGCAAACCCCCCCCCCCCCTCTAGAAGCTTGTTTTTTTTAGACAATAACATCTAAGAAAAACAGGAGATTCATGTAGAAAAACAGTAGAACAGGAGAAATTACACAAAAACAGGAGATCTCTTGTAAAATCTGGAGACCTGGCAACACTGATTGTCAGCGTCGGTCAAAGCAGCACTGACGATGTCATTTGCTTAGAAATTCTCTCTGACGCTCGCTTCCAAAGCCCACCTAAACTCCACAGAGCTTCGTATATTGCCCACTTGCACTGGGCTTCTTCAAACTTGCCTAACGTATCAGGCCTATGCTACGCTTGAGTTGGAATAAACTTGCTCGGCCAACATGTATTGGCGGCTATAATATCAAGTAGAGTAGAGTATATGGTAGTTTTTTCTGAAGTGAAATTTCTTGTAAATGGAAAAATCCTATGGAAAAGATGAAATGGAAATGCGTTACGAGCGTCACTTATGTGTGTGTGTGTGGGATGCGTGTGCAGCATGAAAGTTGGAGGGCAACCCGACGAAGACTGAAATGCTACGAGCGTCACGACCGCCACACGCGACAATAAATCTACCGTTCTCAAACAAAAGTGCGGCTAAGAGACATATGGTTGATTTTTCAGTCTTAAATTGCATCTTATACACTTTCTAATTCTCTATCGAACTGTCTTTAACATGTATTCGTATCTCTTATCTATTAGACAAGTCCGTCCGTCTGTCTGTGGTGCTGTTTCAGCGGCCAAACCGCAAGAGATAGATAAAGAGAATATTTAAGTTATAAGTTAAGAATAATCTGATAAGACTACAAACCGGATTTGAGTAGCGTAGCACTTCCGGTTTTCGAGAAATCAGGTTTTGATGAACATTTGGTTCACTGGTTTGCTATCTTTTATAATTTAAGTCTAGAAATCTGTCATGTGATGAATGGTTACAAAATAGCAATAATTTAATAATAATAATAAGTTTACACGTTGTTTTTTTGGCCATATCTCAAAAGTGGATTTTGTCATTTAGCCGCGTTTTAACTTGAGGACGGCAGATATATACATATATATATATATATATATATATATATATATATATATATATATATATATATATATATATATATATATATATATTTGACGACCACCGTGGCCGAGTGGTTTGTACGCCGGGTTTCATGGCGTCGCCGACTTGAGAGGTCCCGGGTTCGAATCCCGGTGGGGGCAGATATTTGTGTGATGAACATGAGCATTTGTACTCCAGTTATGGATGTTTAAATATATATTTCTGTATAAATATACTTATATATGTAAAGTATATGTATTCTATCCGTTACCCTAGTATCCCATAACACAAGCCTTATAGTGCTTACTTTGGGGCTAGGCTAATTGGTGTGAGTGTGGGATATATATAGTATATATATATGTTATATATGATTGATGCGTGCGCTGCTCCATTCCCCCTATACCTTATGCACCGCCTAATGTTAGGTTATTTAGGAAAAGAACTTTCACTTCAGATGTGTGACCCGTGCACACTATTTTTTTTTATTATTAATTGGAGATTGTATTCATCATACAAACGTTTGCTCGGTTTGGCGACACCTTGAAAACCGGTCTACATAGTACATACCACTCGAGCCACAGAGATTTTCAAAAAAATTTGGTACCTGAATGCCAGGATTGGCAGAAGAATGATGGGTCGTGGTCACAGCCTTCTTCTGATGGTGACATGCTGCCGTAACTGGACATCGCCCTTAAACAAATAAACGTACATTAATTATGCTGTTTAAGTATTTAACAGTAAGTACCCTTAGCACGAACCAATATCGAATTCGTAACGTTTGCGGGTACGAAATGTCATTGTCAAATATGTACAGATTTTTAGTTCTCGTTACGTACTTTGTGGCGCTGCTGTTCAAGTTTCCATACAAAATTTAACATTTCGCAGTCGCAAACTATTCGAGTTAGTTAATGGTTCATGCTAGGGGTACAGATTATTATAAGAGGCTTATTGACATCTCCTTAATAACTCTTGTTTTCAAACAGTTACCTATTTATATTAGAATTAGAATTTATTAGAATTTATTTATTTGCATAAGAATATATTATATATTTTTTAAGCATTTAACTGCCAGATGTTTAAATCTAAAGTTTTTTTAATATTTCCAACACACACCAATTAGCCTAGCCCCAAGATACTAGGGTAACGGATAGAATACATATACTGTACATATATAAGTATATTTTTGTAGAATTACATATTAAACATCCATGCCTGGAGTACAAATGTTCGTATTCATCACACAAACATCTGCCCCCACCAGGATTCGAACCCGGGACCTCTCGAGTCGGTAACACCATGAAACCCGGCGTACAAACCACTCGGCCACGGAGGTCGTTACTAGAAAAAAAGCCACGCGGACCAGAATCAAATAGGTTTAATACTCGTAAAGGTATTCATGCGAGATTGTGGGTTGCCTACAATACGAAAAGATGGCGCTGCCTTGCACCCTAAGAAATGCTGGAGAAAATTCGACACGGACAATTAGGGCCGCGGTAGCATAATAGTCAGTGCATTCGCCCGGATAGCGTAGGGTGCGGGTTCGATACCCGTCCGCTGCCTGGTCCGCGTGGATTTTTCTTGTAAAATTTTCTTTAGAGTTAACTATTTGTTTCTTAGGTTTCTAAAAAAAAAAAAAAACATTATTCTGACGATGCAGACCTGAAAAGGCTGATAAATAAAGTTTCGTGCATTAACCCGTAAAAACTAGTTTTATTTAGAGTTAACTATTTATTTATTTCTTATTATACCGCGTTTCCACTTAAGCTCAGAACATTCCTGAACGAGCAAACATTTGCCAACAGAGTCTGTGCGGAAAGAGCATGGGATTTAGATTGGAGGACGCTGTAGTGCTTTTCTACCGTATTTGTAAGGTTTTACCCCTTTTAGACATGATTAAATACAAAAAACCGCAAGAAATCACAACAACAAACAAATCCGTATCTATACAAAACTTTGACGTTTTACAGATTGTTGGGTTTGATTGCCAAATAAAAATCTTAATGTTAGTTCCGTTTTTCGCCACGCCCATTCTCTTTCCGCTCAGACTCTAGTAACAAGCTTTTGCCCGCGACTACGCTCACGTTAGTTTTGATTCTGAGTGAATGAATGATTGTCAAACTTAGTAAATATATAAAAATATACATTACAAAAGTTTTTTATACATAGACAATCATCATCATCATTACAGCCGTACGACGCCCACTGCTGAGCATAGGCTCCCCTAAGGATCTCCACATCGATCGGTCTTGTGCTACGCCCATCCATCAGCTTCACGCGACGGCCATCGGTTCTCCTCGCTATGTGTCCCGCCCACTGCCACATCAGCTGAGCAATCCTTCCTACATAGACAATATTCTTCACTAATCCAGGTGCCAAATCCGCTTAACTACTGATCCCCGTCTTACCCCTTCAAATTAAGTTTTAAAATCCTTACTAATCGCATACCTAGATCACTATAGTGTCTACAATTTCAGCTCAATCCATTCAGTGGTTTGAGCTGTAGAGCGATTCTGTAAAATAAAATCTCTCTTCCGATGTCGGTAATTGCCATTTTGGACAACAAAATGTCGCTATGTCTGTAGAAACAGCCAGTATTAGATATTTGAAACAGACAGACAGAAATCAGAATAAATGAGATCATAACCCGACAACTGTGCGCTCAAAACCCTGTCTGTGTTAGCCCTCCATTTTGTTTTTCACGGCTGATTTTTTATTTTTTTTTTCCAGTCGATTCTTCTTTTATTATTCGAGTTCTACTGTACACCCAGGCTTCATTTATGTCTTAAATCAATCCTGAATAGTTTATCTACAAAGTTATTTTTTTACTATAGATGTGTAAATTAAAAACCATTACTAAATCACACTAATATTATAAAGGCGAAAGTTTGTGAGTGTGAATGTTTGTTACTTCTTTACGTCTAAACAGCTGGACCGATTTTAATAAAATTTGGTATGGAGTTAGCTACTAGCACCTTGGATTAACACATAGGCTACGTTTTACTGCGGGAAAATATCCCTGAAAAACTGCGGGTAACACCGCGGGGAACAGCTAGTAAATGATAAAACGCAATATATGAAAATTGACAATACTTTAACAACTCCTGGCAGAATCTGCCATCTCCACAGACAAGGGTATTTTGACGTTGCCCTTGGTACAAATCTGCCATTTACACAGACCAGGGGTGAGATTGTTTCTTGCAGAATACCTAAGCTGTGCGTTGATAGATCAGTCAGTCAGCAACCACTGCTGGGGCACAGGCCTTCCCTATGGATGAAATAGAGTTTGGGCTATGACCCACCACGCGGGCCCAGTGCGGATTAGTGGGTGCTAACGACTGCATGCAGCCGGGACCAACGGCTTAACGTGCCTTCCGAAGCACAGAGGAGCTCGAGATAGTAAATTTTTGGTCACCCATCCAATGACCGACCACTGCGAAAGTTGCTTAACTTCAACGATCTCAGTCGAACACGCTAACCACTTGCGCCATCGAGCTCCTCACAACTATTTAGCACGGAGGAGCTCGAGATAGTAAATTTTTGGTCACCCATCCAATGACCGACCACTGCGAAAGTTGCTTAACTTCAACGAGTCGAACACGCTAACCACTTGCGCCATCGAGCTTCTCACACCTTTTATAACCCAGCAGATTATCCATTGGTTACGGAAACTTAAAAACAAGTTTTCATTAATAACCCAGATAGGAAGTTATCGTATTATAATCAAAATCTATTTAAAGCCGTTCACATCCAGTCACAATACTGGGATTTGTTACTGTTTTTGTTTAACGATGTAAACACTGTATAGTTATGATAGTAATTCAAAAAATGTGTGCAACACGTGTTGATCACAATATGTCGTCACGTTTGATGTTCAGGAAATGTGTAGTGTGTAGTCTGCTACGAAACTATATTATACCATAGAGCAGTCTTTCTCAAAGTGTGGTATACTAGTTTGGCCCCTCGTGGGGGCTATATACTTATATAAAGAATGCACATCGACAGTGGAAAAACGCCATTTAGTAACTTTGCAGAAACGAGGATCAAAATTTCTTTTTTCACAATAAAAAGTTATAAGTAACTCAGTGTAACATATTCATAAAATTACATTTTCTAAATTTTCCTCCTATTAAAAAGTTACAGAGTGCCTTTACTTTACGAATTAGATGACGCTTAAGCGGTAGGTAATGTTCGACATCAGCGTTGTGAACAATAAAAAACTTCAAAAAATGAGTTTATCGCCAAAAAGGTACTGAAATCTTCACGAAACATAAACAGATCGAGACAGAAAAAATGTGATTAAAATGATATAATGTATATTATATAAATGTAATGTATTATATGTATAACTCATTTTCGACCAAAGTGGCGTATAAGCGATTTTGCCTTTCGCTACCCATATACTAAGGCAATTATCTCACCGCCGACGATCAACGAGAAGCTAGTAGAACTGGAAACTAGAAACGAGTTGACGATCGGCTTCGATAATTTTATCACTGGGCTATAAGAGATGGTGCGAGAACGGGCGATTACTCCTGCCATTCACACGTGGAAGCGAAGGAAGAAGGAGCAAATGCACGCGGGCTAAGTCTGTTGGCCAAGCAAGCAATGCTGAAAAAGTATTATCTATGATAGCCATTGTCGCTTAGCGTGTTATGTTATCGAGAGAGCAAGTTCTCGCCGGCAGTGTGAACAGTCAGCGATGCAACTATTAATATATGCATCTCTTTAGTTTACACGGTATGCATTGTACGTTATTCTTTAGCAAGAAAATAGTTCGACGCTTCCTCGCCAGCGCAAGATGGGAAAACCATTTAAAGACCAAAAAAAATGGATGCGTGTAACTTATGTACGCGCGTGAGAAGTTATACTTCTTTAGCATCATTAAAAATATTTTTTAATTGCATGCAAATAATTAATAATTACAATAAAATAATAAAAGGACTGGAAAAGGATAGTTAACACAGTCAATTAAGTTCAGTTTTAATTTGAAAAATTAAATAAATATTCAAAATATTCAATTAAAATCACTACTGAATTTAAGTTATTAGTCCATATGTAATTAGCACTTGTAAGTAACTAAAACACGTTGTGTCTATATAGAAACTAGAAACATGTGGATAAATATTATAAATATGAAAACAGTGATCAGAGGCGACGAGCGTGCCAACATTGTTTTTGACAACGCGATCATCTTATGGAGCTCCGTTGATCGTTCAAAGTACCTTTCGAACAGATGTCTAATAATGGTGGATTATTAACCACTAAGTGGTTAATAATCCACCATTATTAGACACTAACATTCATAACGCGCCCGCGGCCAACTTCATGGTGTTACTATTGTGTTACAGTGATGCGCGCGCATCTCGAAATTTCACTCACATGATTTTTTCATAACGCGCCCGCGGCCAACTTCATGCTGTTACTTTTGGGTTACAGTGATGCGCGCGCATCTAAAAATTTCACTCTCATCATTTTTTCCTAACGCGCCTTAAGAAGTATAACTTCAAAAAATTGATAACTTTTTAAACGAACGATGAACGAATTCAATGACGGTTCAAAACATTTTAACCCTTAATCAAATATTGGGAAATTATTTCCCAATTGACGCTTCTGTTTTATTTCTTTATTGGTAACTCTAATCAATTATATTGTTGTATGTAAGTTTGGTACAACCTTAAGAACAAAATAATGCTAGAGATTTTTTAAATCGTATCTTATGGCATCATTTTGTACGAAGCCGCGAACTGTCATCGTATATCAATGTCAAAAACAGAGTTTGAAATATTTTGCGAAAAAACCAGTACTGGTGGGAGTTTTGAAAGTAAATATTTTGTTCTCAATATTGAGAATAAAATATTTACTTTAGATATAAGATAATTATGGCTGCTGGCCTACCTACACGTAGGATTTGGTTTGGTATAGGTATCATGAATACCTTACAAGATTCCCGATCTGATTGAAACAAACTTTTCTGTGATAAGGTATTATTAGAAGACTTTTGTGTCTGTAATAATAAAGATAAATCCAAAAAAAAAACAACGCGCAATAGAAAACATTCATTGTGGGTTACCTACAATGCGAAGAGATGGCGCTGCTTTGCACCCTCAGAAAGGATAGAGAAAATTCGACGCGGCCATCAGGGCCGCGGTAGTATAATGGTCAGTGCATTCGCCCGGATAGCGAAGGGTGCGGGTTGAAGTCCCGTCTGCTGCCTTGTCCGTGTGGAATTTTTTCTAGTAATATTTTCTTAAGATTTAAACATCTAGCAGATAAATGCTTAAAAACTTTAATATGTAAAGAAGATAAATCCTACTTAATATTATATATGTGAAACTTTGTATGTTTGCGTGTTTGTAGGTATGTTTGTTACTCATACCTACGCAAAAACCTCTAAACTCATATGGGTAAAATTTGGTTAGGTTAGGCATATTTAGCATATTTATGACCTGGATTGGCAGACGACCTCCGTGGCCGAGTGGTTTGGACGCCGGGTTTCAAGGTGTCGCCTACTCGAGAGATCCCGGATTCGAATCCCGGTAGGGGCAGATGTTTGTGTGATGAATACGAGCATTTGTACTCCAGTCATGGATGTTTAATATGTATTTCTATATAAATATACTTATATATGTATCAGTACTTATCTATATGTTTTCTAGCCGTTATCCTAGCCTCCCTTAACACAAGCCTATAGTGCTTACTTTGGGGCTAGGCTAATTGGTGTGTGTTGGAAATATTTATAAAATTTATTATAACCCAGATTTTTTAGGTTCCTGAGGGATGTACAAAAAACTAAATTTAACGTGGTCGAAGCCGCGGGCGGGTGCTACTAATAAATATTTTGTTAAATTAACTGAAAATTTAAAACCATGTCTTACCGCAAAAAACAAGCGCCTACTCAACTTTTCAACACAAACCAGGTCACAACATTATTAAAACTATTATTTAAAACCACATTACAAAAGAAAAACAATACAACTATCACGCATGAACTTAAAAACCACTGCACTACCTCTAAAGAAGGACACTTAATAGAATAAAAAAAAAAAAGAGAATCGTTCCGTTTCACGTGAGAAGTTTGATTGTCAATATTATGATCAGCGGACGCGAGATGTTCTCCGAATGAGTTTTGACACTGAACTAGTTCGGTTTTCCGCCCTTCAATAACGTGAGGGCGGGAATGGGCATGCCAGAGGCGGGACCAAAAGATTCATTCTAAAACAGCTTATGAGCCCTTTTACAAAATTGCGCCGCTGCCGTACTGATCGGCGCGTAGGTAGATTTGCACTAGTATATATTGCATTTTACGGGTGATGTTTCGAGTCTTTTAACATAATTATTAACGAACTAATTATAAAAATATATACATATTTCAATAGTTCAATGATGGTAGATTAGTTTATGAAAGTTTTTGATAGTATTTCTTTTTAATTCAATATCGAAATACGAGGTATACCTGCATCATTTTTTGGGAAAACTCACGGAGGTTAGATGTTTTTTTTGATAATCAATGAGACGGAAAATCAAAATTCTAATACATTAAGTTACAACAAAACCATATTTCTGATGTCATAGTAATTTATTTGATCCAATTTATTGAATATTTTTGAGAGATTGAGGCGTTTGAAGTTGTGCATATTATCGTTTTTTCCGTAAACTAGCTGCAGTAGAACGATCAGTACAAAAAAGGAAAATAGTATTTGCAAATATTCTACAATAACTTACAATAGGAAGAATATATCTACTATTAACTTTTATTGGAAATAGTCAAATTATTTTTTAAGGGGGTAATGAGGCGCTCAAAAATTACGATTTTTTGCAAAAAATGTGAAAGGGCTCTTAAGTAGCTTTAATTCAGCTTTAAAACATATGTAGCTATGACTCGGGATACAGCACGCGTTCTCGTGAGTTTTTTTGAACTCTCTGTTCTCGGAAGAAGTAAAAGTCACACAATCCCTGTGAAACATAAACATTGATTATCTCTTATCTATTAGACAAGTCCGTGCGTTGGTGCTGTTTCAGCGGCCAAATCGTAAGAGATAGATAAAGAAAATATTTAAGTTATAAGTTAAGAATAGTCTGATAAGACTACAAACCGGATTTGAGTAACGTAGCACTTCCGGTTTTCGAGAAATCACGAATTTCAAACGAAACCACACAAAATCTCCGAAGTTCTCAATTAATTAAATACATTTTTTTTTAAATCAGGTTTTGGTGAACATTTGGTTCACTGGTTTGCTAGTTTATTTTATAATAGTAATATAAGTTATTTACGGGATTGTTACCATGTAGGTAACCTTGTTTTTAGCGAGTTTCCGATATTACATGGTAACAATCCAGTTAATAATTTATATTACTACTTATAATGTTAGTGATCTTGAAAGTTTAACTATCTCGAGTTAATCTGTGCTTCGGCAGGCACGTTAAGCCGTTGGTGCCGGCTGCATCTGCAGTCGTCTTATGAGGACTGAGGACTCAGTATTATCTTTTAAGACTTCTTCTCTTTTTTTAAACTTCATGTTAATTACAGCACAACTTTATCTGAGTGCATTTACTTCCATAGAATGCGCTTTTTAAAAATTACCTGACGACAAATGTTTGCACTTGTTGAGACACGTATGACTAGTCCTCTGCGGATATTTTTTCACGATTCAAAAACTTATGTCGTCCGCGGACAAAAGTCCCCGTTGTAAAAGTCGTCTGCGCATGAATTGGATATTTCACAGCGGCTCCGCCTGCTAAAGCCCCCCCACCTAAGCTCTCTTCCTATTGGCGCTCGAGCGACCAATCAGGTAATGTAATTATCACCACAGACAGACACAATATCAAATTAAGCCATTTGGTTGATTACTTTCGGCTTTCGGTCGTGTTTAATGACGCGATAGACGTGATCAAATGGAGATGTTATGTTTTATTACCTTCTAGCGGTAAGGGGAATATATTTTCTAGATATTATTATTGTTTTATTGAATTATTTAATTATATACGTAGACGACCTCCGTGGCCGAGTGGTTTGTATTTGTGTAGACAGGTAATATTATGGATAATCTACCTCAATGCAATTACATTGAGGTAGATTATCCATAAATTTTAAATGTGTTGCACGGCATAGATATACATATATTCTTTTCTAAATTATTTTTACGTGATATCTTTAGCGATTTCTTTACTTTTTGTTTTCTTCTCTGTTCCTGGAAATAATGCTTACAATTAATGATATTTATGACTCTAATGTTAATGAGTGAAAACTACGTTTATTTCCTTATATATACTGAACCGACATCTTTTTGTGGGAATCTGATGACGATATACAAGCATTTTTATGCTTAGTTTAGGCGACAGTCACTCACAAAGTTCTACATAGCTAGTTAAATAACTACCATAAGTTAATTATGCAATAAGTGTTTAAAATGTACTTATTTGTAAACGAAGGAGAGATAAATAAATGTAATAATTGTTATGTTACGGAGCTTCGACTCCGATTTCGTTAAGTCGGAACTTCCGATTATTATTACACCTTCGGTTCCGATTTCATCTCGAAAACTTTAAAATCAGATATTTTAATCGGAGGTCGAAGCATAGCAAATAGCGACGGCGGCCTGCGTCGACCGTTACGAACTAACGTTCATTTGGGAGTCTGTGTGATAAGTAAAATTTAAAGGAAAATAGGTTATTTTATAATTAAAATGAAAAAAGCTTGACTGAATGATGTTTTTATTTGTTCGTAAATGAAAAATAATCTCTCTTGTGACCAGTTCTGACTCGGCCTCTGGCTACGACTACAACTCCGATTCCGACTCCGGTTCCGACTCCGATAAATCAAATTTAAAAACTCCGGCTCCGACTTTCGTTCCGATAAATACACCTCCGTTACATCCCTGGTTTGTACGCCGGGTTTCAAGGTGTAGTCTACTCGAGAGGTCCCGAGTTCGAATCCCGGTGGGGGCAGATCATTGTGTGATGATTCTATCACTGATAGAATACATATACTGTACACATATAAGCATATTTATATAGAAATACATATTAAACATTTATAACTGGAGTACAAATGCTCGTATTCATCTATCAGTTACCTACCCTAGTATCGCATAACACATGCCTTACAGTGCTTACTTTGGGGCTAGGCTAATTGGTGTGAGTGTTAGAAATATTTATTCATTATTATTATTATAAGATCAACCGTTTGTCTAACTGGTGTTTAAATAACAACATGACGCTAAATAAAAAAATATATATCAAAATATTGTTTGATATTATAATGTACGTAGGCTTAACTCAGGGTGTATTCCGTAATACATACCAGTATACTGGCCACTGCTAATGACGTCGTGAATCGATGCTATACTGGTGAATTGTTCCGAAATATACAGGCCAGTGCACGGACGTCATAAATCGACAAAATATTAAAAATAGTGCGAATAAAGAAGATTTTTTTATTCACCTCATTAATTAAAAGGAATTCTTTTTGTTCGGATGCCATTATTGTTCTTTAAATAAAAAAGAAATAAAATTCGAATGCATCTCACGCACGCTCGGTCATACGCCATATTCTTTACGTCATTATTTTCATTCATTTCATCTGCATTTCATTCATCTGCAGGCAATGGCACTAAATCCCGATCACCTTCTTTGCCAGTCACCCGAGGAGTACCACAAGGCTCACTGCTAGGTCCTCTTTTATTTGTTTTGTACAGTGCAGATATGGTCGACTGCATACAAGAGTGCAGGTATCATTTGTATGCCGATGACATACAACTTTTTTACTCTTTTAAGCCATCCGACGTCACTGAGGCTGTGGAAAGAGTGAATGGAGATCTCACGAGAATATCAAAATGGTGTCGTTCAAATTGTCTAGTACTGAACCCACATAAAACTAAACTTTTGCTCACAGGTACTAGAAACAACATCAATAAGATCAATACTAGCCTGCTGAATATTGAAATAGATGGAGTGCTTGTAGAGAGGGTAAATGCAGCAAAGAGTCTAGGTCTGACTCTGGATAGCCAGTTAAACTTTGAAAAATATATTGTAGAGTGCGCACGTAACTGCTTCTACAGACTGAAGTTGCTGTACAGGATAAGGCAATATCTATCTGAAAAACTCAGAATAACACTATGTGAGGCATTGGTTCTGTCCAAATTCAATTACTGTGACACAGTCTATGGTCCATGTTTACTGGCTAGAACAGCACGGCTTATTCAGCGTGTTCAAAATGCGTGCGCACGCTTCTGTTTTGGCATACCGCCACGAACACATGTCACCTCATTTTTGAATTCAGCTAACATGCTGAAGATGGAGAGCCGTAGGCGAGTGCACCTCACTACCTTAATGTTTGGCATCATACACACAGGCAAGCCACAATATCTGTCAGCTAAATTGGTATGGGCACAACTCGACAGTAAACACCAAAAGAGGCGGTGCACTCGAGTCTTCTCCACCCCCACACACCACACTGCTGCTTTTCGTGGGTCTTTCAGGTTCGCTGCCTCCAGGTGCTGGAATGATCTTCCTCCTCCGATGCGAGATCTGAAATCCAAACAATCATTGAAGACTACCTTAAAACGTCATTTGCTGAATTTGCAATGTACGCATTAATTTAAAGATACTCACCCAATTTTCAGTCTCGACAGTAAGTTATGGGGATTAGATTCGGTACCTGGAGGCAAACTTTTTCGGGTGATAGGCGGCCGCGGGGGTTCTTCATGGTAATCGTGTGATTTGGGTGCACGTTTCTGACGGGATTATATAGCTGCTTCCCTTTTCCATTCAAGTTGCTGAGCAATTACTGAGTTTGTACACTCAATTTCACTGGTTTTGTGCGGTATGTGTGACGACAGTAATAGTAACATTAACAAGTGACAGCCACAGATTACGGAGCGCAGAATTCAGAAAGTGTATTCTTTCGCACCTTGTGCTGGCACGTCATGTGGCTAATCGTGTTTGCTATTTGATAGATATGTATCCATAACGGGCAGTGAGAGGAAGGAACTGCTATCGAGGCGGATGCGATTGGCCATGTGAGGTTCTGGCATAACAGGCCCTGCCAGAATACCAGCGCTGCTGTGACACGTTTTATAGCGTGTTGCGGCAGCATTACGCTGAGGCAGGGTCCTGATTGACCACAAATGGTACTTCATTTTTTTTCTTCTTTTCTCCATTATGTATATTTTCTTATTTTTTTTATATGTTGTTTTGTAAATTTATAATGTGGTCAATAAAAATGATTCTCTCTCTCTCTCTCTCTCTCTCTCTCTCATTACCACTGGTCAGTATACTGATGTACATTTCGGAATACACCCTCAATTATTACAAATAGATGTTGCTAGGGGTGTCCACTCTGAAAAAACATCGATGTATTTTTTGATTCAATACATCGCAACTATACATCGATGTCATTCGATGTATCGGATGAAAACATCGATGTATTTTAAACATCGAGTACTTTTTCTGAAATTATATTACAAAACTCAACTTACTTATGTGTAAAGTGACCCATCTCAAAAGAGGCCATCTTTTCATAGTAAAAAAAATTACTATTGAAGTTTATGAAAAGACCTTAATCCATAATTTTATTATAGTTTATATATTAATCTTTCATAAAATAAAAGAATTAACTCCTTTCATAATGAGTAGGTAAAAGTAAATACAAGTAAAAGCCATGTGTCAGAAAAATCTGTATTATATTTTTTTACAAAAGATCAAATTAAAAAAACACTAAATAACCCGCATAATTTTTGCTAAGTCTATCAAAAGAATATTAGAAATATACTTCAATCTTAGTTTCGTTCACAAAACTAAAGAAAGAAAAAGTATTTAAAATCTAAAGGTGATTAAATGTTCATAAACATAGAAACTCGTAGTTATTTTTTATTGTCACTGCACTGACTCTTGTGTAGTGCTGCCAACATCGGGTCCATATCAGAAAATTCGGAATAATGATGCTTTCATAATAGTAATAAGTAAAATTTTAGTGGTCAAACTTAAGTTTTTTTAATGAGGTCAAATCAAAGAGGATATTATCACTACGTGGTCAAACTCTATTATCAATTCCATGTTTCTTTAAAACATCGATGCATCGAGTATATTGAAAGCTTTTCAAAACATCGGATCGATTCGATGTTTTTCATTGCAAACATCGATGTTTTCGATGCATCGATGTATATCGAATATCCCTAGATGTTGCTATGTCAATCATTCAGTCGTGAATAACTAGCTAACTATCGGTGGACGTATGCTGTTTTCCTTACTGGTTCCCGCCAAAACACTACATTGTCTAACGAGGCTGGCCATTTTAACGCGTGTGATTAATTATGTTGTGAACTATTGTGATCAGAATAGCAAAAATCTCGATAGGACACCTACGCGAGTTTGATGGGAAAAGCGGAAGTTTGTCATGATATCGAAAGATTAGTGGCCCGCCCTCGCTTTGCTTCGATGTAGAGCTGTAGTGTAGACTATATCTTATTGTTCAAGGCTTGTATTATATACAATAACTTTCTTCATAATAATTATAAACCTTCCATTCCAAGTAAAAATTCGTTGCCTAGTTTATCTTCGTGTCTGTACTCCACCGTCACTTAACATCAGGTTAGATGGAGTTATTTGTCGGACCTATTTATATAAAAAGAAATCATTGTCTGTAAAGTCGGTTTACGGGCGATAATTTAACGTGATAACGTGTCATTTGATGTTTTGATCGGGGTATTTTGAAGTGAAACTCCTTTTCGAACGGGCTGTAAAAACGATATTAAATACCATAGATACACCACGTGCGCTCAAAATGTGTCCCTATCAAGAAGTGCTTGAACACGGCTCAAGCACTTTCTGGTTCACAGTCACGCACAGTCACAGTTGAAAAGTCAACATACCGCTGAGCTCCGTGAAAAAATGCGAAATAAATACTCATAGTATGTAAAATGTGGTTTCTTCGACAGGTATCTAATCAATGTTTGTTAATTTAACGCATTTGTAGCAAAATTTGTTTTTATACTTACTATAAACTGATTTAATAGAAAATATTTGTGATATTCAAATGCATGGTCGCTAATATAGATATCTCTTTTCCTCACGGTCCGCACCTGCTATATTACTTATAGCGCATTCAGAATTGTGCGTAGAGTCAAAGAAATAAGGTCTATATTTTTCCGCATATAGCAATAAGTCGTAAAATTTTACAAGATTTTGTTTCGGACTGTCATAGCTCTTTGACGCATACGTTTTAATTAAGATCTTATGCAGTGTGCTTTTAAAGTGATTTTTAATGTTTAAATAATGCCTTATATTGTTTAGACTACTCGGTCATCTTACGGAATTCAGTCCAATGTACCTTTTGGACAGGTTTCGGGCATGATTTTGTTCGTGTTGGTGCATCTAGTGTATTTAATATCGTTGGGTGTAAATGGAAAAGATGAAACAGAAATGCGTGACGAGCGTCACAAGACTATAAAAACTCCGACTCCGACTTTCGTTCCGATAAATACACCTCCGTTACATCCCTGGTTTGTACGCAGGGTTTCAAGGTGTAGTCTACTCGAGAGGTCCCGGGTTCGAATCCCGGTGGGGGCAGATCATTGTGTGATGATTCTATCACTGATAGAATACATATACTGTACACATATAAGCATATTTATATAGAAATACATATTATACATTCATAACTGGAGTACAAATGCTCGTATTCATCTATCAGTTACCTACCCTAGTATCGCATAACACAAGCCTTACAGTGCTTACTTTGGGGCTAGGCTAATTGGTGTGAGTGTTAGAAATATTTATTCATTATTATTATTATAAGATCAACCGTTTGTCTAACTGGTGTTTAAATAATATGTGTGTGTGGTGTGGGATGCGTGCGCAGCTCTTCCTGACGAGCATGAAAGTTGGAGGGTAACTCGGCGAAGGCTGAAGCGCTACGAGCGTCACACGCGGCAACATATATATACGCGCACATATTATCATATATATGAGGTATGCGTGCGCTACTTCATTCCCCTATGCCTTATGCACCGCCTTATGTAAGGTTATTTAATAAAATAAATAAACTTAAGAAAAGAAGTTTCACTTCAGGCGGCCAATCGCCTAATACGAGATTGCTATGGCTGTAGCTTTCGCTTACATTTTCGATAAGATCGTAAGCTATAGCGTTAGCCATAGCAATTCCGTTAGGCGATTGACCCCCAGATGTGTGGTCTGTGCAAACTATTTTTTATTCTTCCAGTTCCTTTGAGCCATAGCACATCTCTGTAGCTCTATGGGGGCCCGAGTTAGGCTCCGCGGGGGTGAAGTAATCTACAAGGGGGGTCAGAGGGGGAGGAGGTCAGGGTTGGTCTGGGGGAACCTCGCCTCACACACACCGAACGAAACGATGAACTAACTCGTGACAACGTGACATTTTATGTCACACTTGCAGCCGGTGTTCATTTATACAGATAATAAAATGGTAGGAAGTCAAAACTGTACATTGAATATTTTTTAAAGAATACTTGGGGTGTGATCTACTGAAGCCAAAAATATAGTTTTTTAGAATTTTTGTCTGTTTGTCTGTATGTATGTCCGGGAGAAACTCAAAAAGTACTGCATGAATCAAATTTGGCATGAATATTATTAAGAAGTCTACATATTGGCTACATATTGTCACGCTTAATTAGAAATAAACCCCCTTTTGGGGTCAAAAAGTATGTGCAAATAACTAACTCCACGCGTACGAAGTCGCGGGTGGCCACTACTCGATTTATAAGACGATATCACGTCAAAAATAAGTGAAAATGAAAGCGCAAATAAATGATACACAATTTAGTTTATTCATTTTTCAGTACACGGTTACATTCCTCATCATGATTGGCATCTTTCTAAACATCGTTTATCTGGCTCTATGTATTCTCAAATGTCTTAGGGCACATCTGGCAGCGGTTCCTTTAGCTATCCTGTAGTTTCTGCCGACTCCTTTGAAAGTGCCTCGACCGAATACTTCGACGCAGACTCGAACCCGTCTCCCGTCGGCTAGACGTTCGGGTTTACTGTGAAAGAGGGGAGAGAATTACGTTTAGACATTACAAATTGGAAATAAGGCTAAAGAAATAGGGATCTTTAAATGTAAAGAAAATTTTACTGGTGAAACTCCCCTCATCAGACAAGAATTGCTAAACCCTCGTATACACCAAGCTATTTAACAAATTTTATACATTGGTGTCGATTCTGGCACGATTCTCTTAATCTAAACTCAAATTTGACAACCGTGTATCCTTGTCATTTTCTATACAGAATGAAAAGGAGGTTGAGGAACATGAAGAGCTCGATGGCGCAAGTGGTTAGCGTGTTCAGCTGCGATCGTTGAAGTTAAGCAACTTTCGCAGTGGTCGGTCATTGGATGGGTGAACAGGCTGATGATGACGATGATACTTACCCAAACTTGGCAGTGTCCGGCTCCGCTTCTAGAAGTTCTCTGATTGGTGATTTAGGTGCGGCTGCGCTGAAAGCTTCCAACTCAGCACCCATTAAGTTTACGTATGACTTCCAGACCGCACCCAATGACATACCTGGCAACAATATATCACTCTATACAGTAACGTGCTTGATTTTGAGACCCACCTAAGGTCGAATATCGGACAGCGAAATCAAATGAGTGTCTTACTACCAAGGTTATCAATATACGATACTTTTACTGAATTTAAAAGCTGTATTTAAAGTTGAATTACTTAAGGAAGAATATTTGAATGACACAACGGCGTGGTCATGATTTCTCCATTGTTTTTGCTTTGTAATTGTTTCCAGTGTCTTACAGATAAATGACTTTAATTTTAAGTAAATATGTTGTGGTTGAAATAGGTGTTGGCTACCCAAGTCGTGCTCTCTTAAAAGTCTCTTCGGTGGTGTCGTATGAGGTGGGTCGTTACGTTCCCTAAAATATGGTTGAGCGAAGCGATGGCTGGTTCATGCGTCATGCTCGTGAACGGGTGCTGCCAGCGGAGATGAGTCTGCCCTAACTACTTTGATATTTAAGATGTAAATGTTTAATTACACCTATTATAAATAACTCTATTTGTATTTATACTGTGTGACACAGCAATCAAAATGCAGGTGAACAATTAATGTATAAATTCACATTATGTAATGAAAGGTGACTTCATGAATCATCTCTGAAGTCATTTTTCAACTTGACGACTCTGTAAATGATAAAACAGGGAGAAAAAAACAGCCCTTGCTGAGTTTCTTGCCGGTTCTTCTCAGTACAAGGTCTCCGGCCGTAGATTTACGAACCGATGGCGTAGCTTCTAGACATTCATATGTGCTTGTAACAGCCTAAACGGAAATAATGATTTTGATTATGATTATCACTCAATACAGTAACGTGCTTGAATTTGAGACCCACCTAAGGTCGAATATTGGACAGCGAAATCAAATGAGTGTCTAATTGCAAATGCCTTTTCGTCAGTTGATAAATTTTAAATGTAAATTCACATATTTATCTTATTGTTTCAGTGAAGTAAATAGCGCTGAAAATAATATAAACAAATACTCAAACAGAAAATAACTACAGGCTATGTATATTTACCAGAGTCCAGGAATATCGCCCCGGCCACAGATTCGAAGAGATCTCCCAACGCTTTGGGCACTTCCACGTCTTCCGCTTGCTCCATCTCATCCTCTTGTATAAGGTAATGCTGGAAATATCTTTGGTTTCAATATTGAGAATACGTCTTTATAAAAAAGGTGATCAACTACGAGTATGTTGCGTACCAGTCAAATTTGATTGTAACCCATTTTTTGATATAAGTGAAATCTTACTTAGTACGATCGCCGAGCAGAAAGAATTTCGTACAATGACCCCACGCTACCACCCTTATCGCTTGCGAGCACTTATGTTGCTGTCTCGCTCGCACGTACCGTGTATAGTACTACGGTGTGCAAGCGTGACAGCAAGATAATTGCGCACGAGCGATAAGGATGGGTAGCGTGGGGTCATTGTACGAAATTCTTTCTGCTCGGCGACCGTACTTTATAACTACAACTTCTTAAACATAATTTATTTTTGTCGATTTAAAAATTAAAGAATCTTTGTTAAAAATACAACCATAGTAAAAACGTGAAATTGTATTTAAATTTTTATGCCATGAATTATTTTTACTAAAATCTTACATCTGATTTCTTCATGTATGTGTGTGTGTGTTTGTGAGAGAGAGAGAGAGAAACAAGTTATTTCTTTATTTTACCTCTTCGCTGATGGAGTGACCGTTCTCCTCTTGTATTTTAACATATCTGGTCAGCACTTCGTTGAGTCCCGGTGACATGTGACGGAAATACCTGTAGACATAATAACATATTATTATTACGTTGATATTCAATGCTATATATTTATTCAATAAATGTAATACATCATATGACAATGTGTATTTCCGTAATCGATAAAGCGACAAATATTAAAATTAAAGAGAGTCTTTATACAAAAAATAGTTTCTTTTGCTTGGACTTTTATTTGCTCTTCTTAAATTAAACTCTAAAAACAATAGCATAGACTTCGATTCACAAAAGCAACATAACAACAGACTCACTTATGAAATCCATGTCTTGCAGCCAGGGTAGCAAAAATAGTATTATTGACTAGAGCTGATCTCAGGTCAGTGAGGGCGCCGGGGGAATGACGTCGGGAATCCTCATACAAGTGGCGAGTTATCAGGTAATCTGTATATAAATAAACGATATTTTTAAAGAGTGTGGCGGCGACATCTACATTCCCCACACTTAGTCAACATGGAGGAAGTAGTCACTCGCCTCCTCAAGAGATGGCGCTACCGGCACTGCGCTTACAACGTATGGAAGCCTACATCGCGCAAGAGAAATTTGGAGACTAACACTCCATATATACAATGCCCGACCAACATCAGTCGGGCCGCGGCCCCAGAGCCACCATCATCCAGCTCGGAGGAATATCTTTCTGTTTGACCTTCCTACAAGAGTAATAAAACAAAGAAATTTGGTGACTCATTTCATTGTCGCACTATCCGTATATGGAATGCTCTGCCCGCTCACGAGTTCCCTCCTTCTTACAACCTGGGATCCTTTAAAAGATGCGTGAAGAAGCAACATGCAGACCGGCAAGGTGTAATCACTTAACATCAGGTGGGGCGAGAGTCATATGTCGGACCTATCTATATAAAAAAAACGAGTGTGCTTATGGACCACACTACTGAAGTGAAATTTCTTTAGCTCCATCTGTATATACTATATCGATATAGATGTGTGTGTGTACGATATATACATATATGTACATACATCTACATACATATTTCATTAACTAGCTATAAGAGAAAGAAAATGTGCGCGTGCACTGCTTTTTCTTGCTTATGGAAGTGGGGGATCCCACGCAACTCCCGTTCGCCTCGCCGAACACACTTTTCGTAACGCGTAATGCATTCGTCAGCTTATCCCCCAAGTTAAGCGTGGGTAAAGAAGTTCCACTTCAAAAATAAAAATCATCAGCACGAATTTCGACTCCGTCATCGTATCCCAACGTCAAAGGTTCTATGAATACTGAGTAGATAAAAATATAGACTGGTAATATAATAGGGTCTTTGACAGTATTAAAAATAAAGTGTCAATTGTTAGCATCTGTGTTTAGAATGAATATTGGCAGGGGTTTTTACTATTTTTTTACAAAAAAATATTCATAATTTTACTAAAAACCCACGAAAAAGATAATAGTTTTCTTATCTATTGTCACGTGACCCAAAACGCTTGGGTTTGGCGGAGCCTAAAATGACGTCACACGCAAGTAAACTTTCGGTTAAAGTGACATTACATTGTATCGTTTGACGTTTTAATAACAGTCGTGTGACGTCACACACTAGTAAGACGCCATATTTTCCAGAAAAACGTTTTCGCGGCAACTTGAAAATGGAGTTTTTGATTTGGTTATTTTTACTGAAATACACAACAGAATGATGAATATCCACTTTTGACGGACTTCTAAAACATTATTCAAACGTGAGGTCGTTTTCTAACACTTGTCAAATACTAGGGTATTGCAAGCGAATAAAAAAAAGATTAAATTCAAACTCACCTAAAACCGCGTCGCCCAAGAACTCTAGCCTCTGGTAACAGTCAGTGAGCCTGTTCGTCTGATGCGAGGCGTGGGTCAGCGCTTGTAGCAACAGCGACCTGTCTCTGAATCTATATTGTAGTGTCTTTTCTAACGCGTCGTAACCTAAAACAAGTCGTGTAAATACGCAGGTGTAGGATAAGCTTTGTCGTATTATTCGTAAGTGGAATTCTTTGCCCGCACACGTGTTCCCTCCTTCCTATAATCTAGGGTCCTTTAAGAGAGGCGTGAAGAAGCATTTTTGCAGTCGGGCAAGGTGAGGATGGTTGGTGTGGCTGTTTATAACTTCTGTATCAGCTATCTTCGCGTTTGGACTTTATCACCACTTAACATAAGGTGGGGGACAAGGCAAAAATAATAGTAACGGCGAAAAAGATAGAATGGGCTCTAAAAAGCTTTCAACCATTTAAGTCAGCAGGACTAGATGGTATATTCCCGGCGCTACTACAATGGAAACTGGACCAGGCAACTAGATACCTACAACCAATCTTTAGGGCCTGCCTGGCCTTTAAGTACATGCCAAAACCATGGAGGGAGGAAAAAGTAGTCTTCTTACCGAAACCAGGCAAGGACGACTATACACAAGCCAAGTCCTTCAGACCAATAAGCCTAACCTCTTTTCTCTTGAAAACATTGGAAAGACTGGTAGATCGACACCTTAGGGATGGAGCACTAAGTAAGGCTCCGCTGCACCCTCAACAACATGCCTACAGAAAAGGCAGATCAACAGAGTCGGCACTGCATGCAGTAGTCCACAAAATAGAGTCGGCAATTACAAATAAAACCTCAACATTAGCAGCCTTCATAGACAATGCACAACAGCATTAACCACGCCCTAAGAAAACTCAAGGTGGACCAAGTCACCAGAGGTTGGATCACCGAACTGGTCGGCAAAAGGGCGGTTCAGATAGTGGGGAACGCTACCACGCGTGCGAAGGTAGTTAGAGGATGTCCCCAAGGGGGAGTCCTATCACCACTTCTCTGGAACATAGTAGTGGACAGTCTCATACGGAGTCTGAATGACAGAGGATACACTACTATTGGTTATGCGGACGACCTAACAATTCTGATAAATGGGAACGCTGAAAATGTCCTTCGCAAGGTTATGCGTTCAGCCCTTCAGATTGTGGAAAAATGGTGTGACGAACATCACTTGTCAGTAAACCCGAACAAGACAGAGCTAGTCCTTTTCACCAACAAAAGGAAGCTACCTGAACTACAGCTACCAAAACTGTTTAATACCAAACTCTCCCTATCAACACAAGTGAAGTATCTGGGCGTAATCCTGGATAACAAACTGAATTGGGCGAGTCATATTGATATAAAAACAAAGAAGGCCTGCATAGCTTTTAATCAGTGTAGAAGACTAGTTGGTAAAAAGTGGGGTCTAAGTCCAAAGATCACCCTTTGGTTATACACAGCAGTCATCAGGCCCTCTATAACCTATGGTTCAGTTGTTTGGTGGCCCAGGACCCAACTGACCACAGTGAAATCCAAACTCCAAAGTCTATAACGCTTGGCGAGCGTAGCAGCAACTGGATGCATGAGAACAACTCCATCGGCTGCATTAGAGTACCTCATGAATTTAAGACCATTGGACCTGGTCATACAAGAAGAGGCGAAAGCAGCAGCCTTAAGACTAAAATCTCTAGGATTATGGAGACTAAATACTGTAACAACACACTCCAATATTCTACAAAAGTGCACAAAGGAGATTCCACTCCTGGATGCACCTATGGATAGAGTATTGAGTCAACACGTTTTTGATCGAAGATACAACATCCAACTTACCGCGGAAAAGGCAGATTATTCTGGCGCCGGGGAAGTTAGGATATACACGGATGGCTCCAAAACCAACAGTGGTACTGGAGCCGGTGTCTTCTCAAACGACCTGAATATAAAAATATCTGCAACCTTAGGCAAACAAAGCACAATCTTCCAATCGGAATGTATTGGCATTACCAGAGCGGCACAGGCGGTTGCAGCCAGAGATATCAGAGAGTATAACATCAAATTCATCTCTGACAGTGTATCCGTGCTTCAAGCCCTACGTAGCAACACAATAAACTCTGTCCTAGTAATGGAGTGCCACAAGGCACTTCAATCCATTGCGGTTAGCAACACGGTAACTCTGCAATGGATAAAAGGACACAGCAGCTCAATCGGAAATGACGCAGCAGACGGCCAAGAGGGGAGCAGACACAAAAGTGTACGGTCTGGAACCTTTGCTGCCCATACCTCAGGCCCAAATTAAAACGTGGCTGCGTGAAATAACTCAAAAATCACACTTGATGGAGTGGAAAACAGGTGAAGGATGCCGGCAAACGAAAAACGCGGTTCCGGCGGTAAATAAAAGTTTTGCCCGCACCCTTACCAGACTAAATAGGGACAAACTTCGCAGGATTATAGGATCCCTGACTGGTCATTGTCCCCTAAACAAACACCTATATACAATAGGAGTAACGGACAGCCCCCTATGCAGAGGATGCATGGAGGCAGAAGAAACGCCACAGCATGTCATCATGGAATGCAGGAGTGTGGCCGACCAACGGGCACGACTTCTCCAGTCACCAGAATCGTTTCCGGAAGCTTGCAGCAGTCTACCAAGGTTGCTTTCCTTCTGGACCGATTTAGGCTGGCTGGAGTAAACGGGAATGTCTTTGAGACACGCACAATGGTCCAATAATTAGGACTAAGTGCGGAAACCGCCCTGAAGAACTAACTAACTAACTAAAAAACATCAGGTGGGGTAGAGTCATTTGCCTGGCCATATAAAAAAAACAAAAAGGCATTGACGGACGAAGGTGTAAATACACATAAGTAAGCCACAACAAGGGCTTGTATTATAGTACTTTTCTCAAATAATGAGCAGAAATTATTACTTTTCAAAATCTAAATTTTCCCTTGCTAAAATGTTCTTTAGTGTGTTTAAAAAAACTGTTCTTTGTTTGCAAGCCAGTTCGAAATTTAAATAAAGCCTTTGATTAGTTCCCTTCTTGGTTCCCATGTTTCGGAGTAACAATTTTAATGCTTTCGCCAAGAAGTCATATACACTAGTTTTAAACAAAACTTGTAGACTACTTGTTGTGGCTGTTTATGAGAACATTCTGCAAAGTATTAGAAAACTTTAAAAAAATAAAATATGGATCCATTTTCATATTTACAGTTTTAACTTCCATTTGAAAGCTTACTTTTTAGGACTAAATAGATTTTGTCGAGTTTTACGGAATATATTTTTATTATTGTTCAACAGTTATTTTTATTTATTTACTAGCAAACCCGGCGAACTCCGTTTCGCCACCAGATGGCTTCGTTTTATGTAACATTTCGTTTGGTGATTAAAAGAAGTTTTTTTTTAATTTTTCCTGAATTTTCTTTGCTATAAACCTCACGAAGCCCGAGACCTTTCCAATGAATGCAAAACCGTGGAAATCGGTTCGTGCGTTCTGGAGTTATAGCGTCAGGAAGGAAAACCCGACTTATTTTTATATAGTAGATTTACCTGATAGCATCCTTTCGAGCTCCCCCTCTGGGTCTTCTATATACCTGAGCAGAGGCGACGGCGGCGCCTTCAGTTCACCAAATATCGGCTGTGACGACATAATTTATTCATAAATAATAATAAATATTTCCAACACTCACAGCAATCTGTAGACCCAGGGAAAGCACTGTAGGCTTGTGTTATGGGATACAAGGGTAACGCATATAATACATATACTGATAAATATATAAGTATATTTATAAAGAAAAACATATTAATGATCCATGACTGGAGTAAAAAAAATTAGGGGTGGATTACCCTTAACATTTAGGGGGATGAAAAATAGATGTTGTCCGATTCTCAGACCTACTGAATATGCATATAAAATTTCACGAAAATCGGTCGAGCCGTTTCGGAGGAGTTTAACCACAAACACCGCGACACGAGAATTTTATATATTAGATATGTGTGTGTGTGTGTGTACAATATATACATGTATGTACATATACATATTTCATTCACTAGCTATAAGAGAAAGAGAAAAAAAAAATGTGCACGCGCACTGCTTTCTCTTGCTTATATCCCCCACTAAACTCCCGTTCGCCTCGCCCGAACACACTTTTCGTAACGCGTAACGCATTCGCCAGCTTACCCCACAAGTCAAGCGTGCGTAAAGATGTTTTACTTCAATAACATTTTACAGCATTGTATCCTTATCATTCACTATACAGAATGAAAAGGAGAGACTGATGTTATATAATAGTTTAAAGTTTAGAGAATCAAGTCAGAATCGACACCATTATCTTTAGAAAAACGTAGCATGACAACTTTTGTGGTGGGGTGGTTTGCATACCGGGTTCCAGGAGTGGTTTGCACACCATAAAGTCGTGGTCTAGTCACAGTGGGTACAGATTTTGAAGTGGCTACAGATGGCTCCAGCCCAGGGAGGGAAGGGGGAGGGGGGGTCATGACCCCCATGACCCCTGGATCCGCCCTTGTCATTGATACGTCAACATTTCTTTTCGCAGTGACACTTATAGATATTGACCTCGACTGAAATCTCACTACATAGGTACCTATTTTAAATAAATACCTGAACCCACTGTCCGTCGTTATTTCTATGCGGTCGTAGGGACCCCACTGGTCTGGCGGGCCATCCCCACTGCTCTTCCGGTGGGATATCTTCCTCTTCCTGCTGCCAGGGCTCGTCTTCTTCCGAGCAGGAAGACTCGGAGTCTGTGGGATCGCGGTTGTTGGGTTTCGACGGTTGAGGTTCGGGTTTCTAAAAGAAAATGTTGAAATCGCAGTCTCAATCAGTCGCAGTTGAACATGAATGTAGGCAGATTGTAAATTTAGTCGTATTACATGGCGGCTCATCGTTTTGTGTCAGTTTGGTGGTAGAGGGGCCGGTTTGAAAAACGGAGACGCTTTGTATTACGGCGAGACTCTGAACGAATCTGAACTGTCTCTGCGCTACGTTGAATAATATTAAACTAGGCTGCATTCATCATCATCAGCCTATTAATCATCATTATTAGGCCTTCCCTACAGATGGAATAGGGAGATTGGGCCATGATCCATCCCGCGGGCCCAGTGCGGATTGGTGGGTGCTAACGACTGCAGATGCAGCCGGGACCAACGGCTTAACGTGCCTTCCGAAGCACGGAGGAGTTCGAGATAGTAAATTTTTGGTCACCCATCCAAAGACCGACCACTGCGAAAGTTGCTTAACTTCAACGATCGCATCCGAACGCGCTAACCACTTGCGCCATCCAGCTCCTCAGGCTACATTACACAGGCTACATAAGTTTTATTTCCAAAATAAAATATCTAAACTGATAGGCAACATGAAATATTGAAGTGTTGAAAATTTTATGTCTTCTATATTTATTAAATAATAAATAACGAGTATATACTTTTAACAGCGTTTCGGAACGAATACATAGGCGATCAAAGTGCAAGTAGAGTGTTCAAGTGCGACTGTTTAGACTTGTATAGTGTAGTACAGTGTTTAGTGAGTGTATTGTGATTAACATTGTGTGTTAATTGTGTGGTGAATAAAGTACTTTCCAGCGTGAACTAGCATATAATTTCGAGACCCAATCCCGATGCGTAACAATATCTATAGTCGTGTGACGCTCGTGACGCATTTCCGTTTCATCTTATCCAAAGGTTTTTTTTATTTATGCCACTTCCGAAAAGGAGTTTCACTACAAAAAATCGGTTGTCTGTAAAGTCGGTATACTGACGATAGTTGAACGTGACAACGTTTTTTTACAATGTACCTACATAGTTCTATTCAATATTAATTAAATTTCACGAAATAACAACTATTTCGTGAAATTTAATTAATATTGTTAACTTATTGTTATAATTTTGTCAATTATAGCATAACCTACAATCGCTGCACTAGCGGACCGATGCTATTTATTATAATGATGAAAGCACGAATATTCCAGAATATATCACTGAACATATATTTAATATCGAAAGAATCATTACCTTTATAAACAATTGACACCATATTCACTTTTCACTGCACTTCATACTTGACGAAAACATGTAAATGTATTATTGTATAGCAGCTGTCCACGCGGACGCATCGCTCACTCAAGTAGGAGAGAGACAGATTTCCAACGCTGCCAAACGCGGAGGCCGATTGTGCCCCTTTGTCGCTCGTTGCGCGCTCTCGCTTGCACTTCAAGCTTTAAATAGAACTCCTCAGAGCGAGGTAACGAAGCATGAGTCATGTTTTTTCGTGCGTGCAGCCGGCTCCATCGAATTATAAGACGTTGTCACATCAAAAACACATTATAATATTAGTTTAGATTAAAATGGAATAAAAAGACTAACCTTCTGCACACGGCTTTCCTCTGCCACCACGTACGGATGATTCGCGGGTAACGGTAATACATGACGGGGCAGTACCCTTATTCCCAGCCACGACATAAATAGTAAGGCACCGCGAGGTCCACATTCGAGTAAATAAGCCCCGATCAAAGCTTCCACACAATCGGCTATTGATTTATCTGTGGAGTAAATCATATCATTATCAGCCTATTAATGTCCCTACTGCTGGGGCACAGGCCTTCCCTATGGTTGGAATAGGAAGATTGGGCCATGACCCACCACGCAGGCCCAGTGCGGATTGGCGGATGCTAACGACTGCAGACGTAGCCGGGACCAATGGCTTAACGTGCCTTCCGAAGCATGGAGGAACTCGAGATAGAAGATTTTTGATCACCCATCCAACGACCGACCATTGCGAAAGTTACTTAACTTCAACAATCGCAGCCGAACGCGCTAACCACCTGCGGCATCGAGCTCCTCTGGAATGGAGTAAATCATGGACTGACAAAAGGGTACTTGACAAGTTTTATCAAACAATCACAGGTTATTTATTAATGTTTATGGACTCCATAAAAAGTGAATATTTTAAATAGGCTAGTTGACTCATGTCAAATTGCACAATACAAATGTGTTTATGTCTTATTATTTTTGGTATGAGGAACCTTAATACATCGATTTCGAAGAATACAGTATTGTACAGTATTATACATTTAACCTTCCCCTTGAATCATTCTATTCATTGTTAAAACTGCATATAATTAAGGTATTAAAACGCTCGCCTAACGTATACTTTATCTTCACTAACGGAAGTAAAGATTGAATTATTTTTTTGCAAAACTATTCTAAAATCCCGTTTACAAAAACACGATCGGCAGAAAATAAACAGACTCTCGTATTTTAATAACCCGACTTATATGACAGTAGTATAAACTACTATTAATTATATTTATAGTAATATTGACTAACCTGGTATGCTGTGTTGAGTGATAAGATTATAAGGTATGAAGCATCCAGACTTGTCCACGGTTCCCTCGGGAACATTTGTGTTTTGTTCCGAGTTTTGTTCCTGTGAAATGCGAACTCTGATTATAATAATGCTAATAATAATGGTTTATTTATTCTCCTCACAATCCCATGCACAAAAAAAAATTCAAACTCAATTGATTAATTTTCTTTAGACAAGACTGTGGAGAGGCTGGTATCTGAACTAGGCCGCAGCCTGTATCTCAAAAGACCAGTACTCTCCCCAGTGCGGTCTTTGACCTATTGGAGGCCCTGGGCATATTAGGATAATAGGGCCCCTACGACCCCCGTTTGGTGATCTAGCAAGAACTAGGGACTTTGTATTTATGATCTGAGGTGCCCACCTATCGATCACGGGGCCCTGGGCCTGGGACTTGCTCAAAGTGCCCACTGGGAAAGACGGGTCTGACTCTCCCCTCGTTACAGTGGTACATAATAAAAAACTTACATGTTCTGAAAAAATAACTGTATACTTACAATGTTGAAGAGAACTATATATAGATTAAATAGCAGCATTTAGATTGACAAATATTACAATAGGTAAGAGAGGCGTGAAGGAGCATTTCTGCAGGCCGGCAAGTTGGGGATGGTTGGTGTGGCAGTTTATAACTGCTGCTTATATCAAATTCATATGACAAAATGGCTGAAATTGAATATATCTTTTAACAGGATAGGAGATCGATTATCCTGTTACGTTAACTCTACGCTCACCTTACTGTGTTGAGTATGCGGCGGTCTATGGCACGGTGGAAGCCAGTTGTCATGGGGCTCGAATTTACTGGCAGTCATTCTAGCGCCCAGTCTACGCGCTCTACCTAGACGGTATAAGTTCTGATTGGACACCTGCGTAAGGAGAACATCGAATTTGACAACATCGAATAACAATAACATTGTTTAAAATACTAGCTTAAGACAAAAAATAAATAAATATAAGTTATACTAGAACAATGAACCTAAAAGTAAAAATCTACAAAAAATATATAAAAAACGATCGAGCCTTACAGTAGTCGCGTATGATATGTAACATTTGAGACCTCACCTTACATTAGTAAAAAAAGAAATAAAACCTACTACAAAAGGAATAAACCATTTGAACATTATGTTCTAAAATCAAATCAAATAGCGCGCGCTTTCCAAACTTCCTATTACACACTTCCGTCCCACTTCACGTAATCTATTCCACAAATTGCACGAAAGCGAGAGGAAAGATGTTACACATCAATAACTAAAATACATTATTAAAAGGAGTCAGTCCCTTTAGGCAAGGTTCCGAAGATACTGGCAGCGTTCCCCCTTTGAATAGCTAGACTAATTATTTGTCCGAGTTAGCTGTCAGATCTTCGGTCTCCTGTGATGGCAATAATATTATAATAGGAATTATTGACATTTATATAGGTATGTGGCGGCGACATCTACATGCCCCACATATAATCAACATGGAGGAAATAGTCACTCGCCTCCTCAAGAGATGGCGCTACCGGCGCTGCGCTCACAACATATTTTAGCCTACATCGCGCAAGAGAAATTCGGAGGCTAACACTTCATATATAAATATACAATGCCCGACCAACATCAGTTGGCCCGCGGCTCCCGAGCTACCATCACCCAGCTCGGAGGAAAATCTTCCTGTTTGGCCTGCCTACAGGTAATCGAATAGAATATTTTGCATGTTATATTTTTATGACTAAATAGGTTAATATACAATTTAGATGAAATGTAACACCATTATTTGTAGCCTATTAAATGCAAATAAATTGAATTGAATTCAGAATAATTGTACGATTTCTTACACTCACACCAGGGGGACTACCGCCTATCGAGACGCTATGGCCATAGCTATCGCTTACGATTGCGATCGATTGCCATTTTGTTGTTTCTAACCAAAGTCAAAGTAAAAAATACTTTATTCAAATTGGATACACAATTTAACTCTTGACCGAAGAAGGGTTTAAAATTCCGCGCCATCCTTTTCAAGTCCACGGCGGTAAGAAATAACAAAATGCAATCGTTAGCTATAGCCATGGCAATTCCGATATGAAGTAGGTCCCCAGCACTGTAAAGCTTGTGTTATTGGATGTTGAAATGCAATGAAATTATACTTTCCCTTATAGGTAAGTTTAAAGTGAGAAGTGTCAGGATCTTCAGGTGCGTTGTGGGCAGCAAGATAAAAACAGTTTTATAGAATAAATTAAATTTATTCGTGGAGACAAGTTAAAGTAATTTCACACAAACCGCCATTACACGTGTGTGTGTGTGTGAGAGAGAGAGAGAATATAGTAACAAGGGCAAAAAAATAATTCTTGTTGGTGTTGCCAACAATAAGTAAATTTAAAACTTGAAGTAGTAATCTCACCTGTTTACTTCTCATATGACTCAGTTTCCCCTCATGGACGGTAGGATGCGCGCAGTATAAATAAGCAGTTATAGCGAACTTCAGAAAACTGTCACCTATAGTCTCCAATCGTTCTAGGTTTATGCCGTCATTGGCGTTAGACATCGTTAGAGCCTGTAAAAGGAATAGACTTTAATAATGTGCTAGTGTAGTTAAAAAAATGGGTGCGTGTACTTATGTAGGTGCGTGAGAAGTTATCCTTCTTTCGCATCGTTTAAAATTAGTTTTTAATTGCATACAAATAATTAATTACAATAAATTAATAAAAAGTCTGGAAAAGGACACAGTCAATAAAGTTCAGTTTTAATTTGAAAAAATAAATAAATAATCAAAATATTCAATTAAAATCGCTACTGAATATAATTTATAAGAACATATGTGATTTGCACTTGTATGAAACTCAAACACGTATTCCGAATATACAAACTAGAAACATGTGGATAAATATTATAAATATGAATACCTATAACTGTTACTTTATTACAAAAAATAAAGATGTGGTTTTTGGTTCTACTACACCAATGGTCAAAAGATGGCGTTGTAGTCTCCTGAATCGCGCTTTGGTTCCGTTGTTCCAGATTAATAAATACTTTTGATATTATAAATATGAATACCTATAACTGTTACTTTATTACAAAAAATAAAGATGTGGTTTTTGGTTCTACTACACCAATGGTCAAGAGATGGCGCTGTAGCCTCCTGAATCGCGCTTTGGTTCCGTTGTTCCAGATTAATAAATACTTTTGATAGGCCTTCACAATGCAGTCGTTAGCACCCACTAAATAGAGATTCTATTTCTATTTTGTTGGTAGATTTTCTTAATGTGCGGTAAACACAAAAGTAACAGCATGCAGTTGGTCGCTAAAGCGACCAACTTCATGCTGTTAAAATTTTGTGTTACAGTGATGCGCGCGCATCTTAAAATTTCACTCTCATCATTTTTTCATAACGCGCCTAAAGAAGTATAACTTCAAAAATAAGTACACTCAACCACAATGAAAACGGGCCACCCGCCATACCTTAGAACTAAGACACGATTTTCTCAAAAAGTATCAAAATGAAAATCTTTCTTAGTCGATTATGAACCGCAAATAAAGCACAACTAGCAAACCAGTGAAACAAATGTTCACCAAAAAAAAAAAAAAATAAAAAAAAATGTATTTAATTAATTGAGAACTTCGGAGATTTTGTGTGGCTTCGTTTGAAATAGAAATCACGTGATTTCTCGAAAACCGGAAGTGCTACGTTACTCGCATCCGGTTTGTAGTCTTATCAGACTATTCTTAACTTATAACTTAAACATTCTCTATATTTATCTCTTACGGTTTGGCCGCTGAAACAGCACCACGGACGGACGGACGGACTTGTCTATTAGATAAGAGATAATACTCAAAGTCAATTGGGGAACTTCAACAATTTTTGGTAACTTGATGACTGTCGTAATTTCACACATATTAGAGTAAGCTTTTATTGTGATCAAGTAAAGGTTGATTATTCCATACCTCTTTGATCAAGACAAGCAAGCGCCCGCGACTTCGTCCTCCTTAAGGTCTTTTAATTTTTCGAGTTCATATATAGCCTATGACACTGACAAATGACGTGGCTTACTATAAGTAAAAGAATTTTCAAAGTCGGTTCAGTAAATCCAGATATTATGCCCTACAACCTCACAAACTTCACTTCTTTATTCATTTAAACTTTATTGCCACAATTACAAAAAATGACAATGGCGGACTTAACGCAAAAAGCATTCGCTGCCAGTCGACTATAGTAAAACAGAGTGATAAGATACCATAAAAATACATCAACAAAAGCTTCTTTTTAATATTTGTAGACAACTTACCTGCAAAATAACACTAGGACTTGGCCCCGGGTGTCCTTCCAACGGCGGTTGGTAATCAAAATCAAACTCTTTCCCTTGAACTCTACCCTCATTGTAATACGACTTGAATTCCTTCACACTATCCCATCTACTAATCTTATCCTTATAACACTCTTTAGTATCAAAACCTACGTTAGCCACTTTCTCATTAACATAATTAGGCGAATCTATGTCAACATCTATCATAGAAAAGCAATTTAGTTTTTTCACCTCTTCTTTAGGTAAACTACTCTTTAGTCTATGCAGCAAGACTCTTTTATTCTTCTCTATGCTTTCCAAAGTTATTTGGCCGTCGCATGTTTTTAACTCTTCATCCCCGTAAGGAAATAAATTGGATAAGACTTTCTCGTCTATGGCAAGATGGCTGTGTTGTCTACGGTCCTTTGTCTCTGGTAAGATGTCGGTAATGTGCTCGTTTTGGGGCACTAAGTTGCCTTGTTTCACAATTTCCGTTTCGTGTTTTGACACTGAGTTGCGGAATTTCTCTATGTACTGAAAAATGGAAGATTTATTAGGCGCTTTGCAGACAACGAGGCGGGGCGGGCATTTTGTCCGCGAAGCAATAAAAACCCCGTCTGCCCGTCGATGTCTGCAGCTGCCCTCGCCGCGTACACTAAGCACACGACGGGCAGAGGCAGTCAGTTCAGGACGTTCGTTCTAGTGAATAGTCCATCACTAAAAAGCGCGCGGCGCGGACTGAGCTAGCCGCCCCGCGCCGCCGTCTGCGTTACTGCATATAAACTGGTTTGTATGATCCACGGCGGGCAGCCGCGGACATGCGCGGTCTTTTTGCCCTCTGTGTGCGTTTGTAATATAGGATTCACTTTGTGTTATCGTTCGCGGCGAAATTGACCGGCCCGCTCCGCCCCGCCGTCTGCAAAGCGCCTTAATGTTCTTTGACAATACAAATATAAAACACTTCTGTATCCTAAGCACGAACCATTATCGAATTCGAATATTTGAATTCGATCTATTTTATGCGTCAAATGAGTACTGTACCTATAGCACGAACCAAAATCGAATTAGTAACGTTTGCGAGTCCGAAATGTCATTGTGAAATGTGTACTGATTTTTAGTTCACGTTACGTCCGTTGTGGTGCTACTGTTCATGTTTCCATATAAAATTTAATACTGACATTTGATTGATGATTTAGATAAAATTTGGTAAAATTGAAAGTTTCACCACCGGTAAAAGACATAAGATTAGTTTTTTATCACAGAAAACTAATGAAGTGTCTATCTGTCTGCCTGTTACCTCATCACGCTTAAATTGATTCAGATGAAATTAGGTATACAGATAGTTTGAGTCCCGGGATAGGACAGAGGACACTTTTTATTCCGAAAAAAGATTCCTGGATCAGTCTACATAACTCACCTGCGCAGGCGCATTCCCTTCTCTAATGCAAGAGTAGTGTGTCCGTTTATCGATATCATCGTCTCTTTCATCGGGTTGAGGGGCGGGGTTAACTTTTTTCTTTCTTTCTACGTCTACCGCTTCCGCTTCGTGAGCGGTTTTATATTCTATGCGTACGCCTAAAGCTACAATAATAGATAAAGAAGTTCACATTTTAAAAGCTTTTATTTAAATGATAATTGGAGGCAGATGTAAGTATAAATAAAAGTAGTTTTAACGGGATAATGCACGAACTTTATTTATTTATTGACGTTCGCAGCCTTTGCAGGCCTGCATCGTCAGAATCATCGTCAGACCTGAAAAGGCTGCGAAACGTCAATAAATAAATAAAGTTCGTGCATTATCCCGTTAAAACTAGTTTTATTTAATGAGTGATATGCGTGAAAACCTAGGAAACAAAGATGTTGTATACTTGTATCTCGGAACCATATCATAGGAATGTACGCCATCTTTTTTTTTTATCACACCCAATTAGCTTAGCCCCAAAGTAAGCACTGTAAGAATTGTGTTACGGGATGCTAAGGTAATGGATAGAATACATATACTGTACATAAATAAGTATATTTGTAAAGAAATACATATTAAACATCCATGACTGGAGTACAAATACTCATATTGATCAAACATCTGCCCCCACCGGGATTCGAACCCGGGACCTCTCGAGTCGGCGACACCCTGAAACCCGGCGTACAAACCACTCGGCCACGGAGGTCGTCTGCGGTCGATTAGCGGTGGGTCTTCCACCATATTAGGTTTAAAATTATGTCACTTAGCTAACCATACAAAGGTATCAGTTCTGGCATAATTCTCTAAGCCTAAAATTTAATTTGACAACTGTGCATCCTTGTCATTCTGTATAGAAAATGACAAGGAGAGACTGATGTTACATTTTGTTTTAAGTATAGAAATTAAGGATAAACTCCAGAGCATATATTTTGCCGAAACTTAACCTAAAGCTACTAACAGATCATATGGAATTTATTATAATAAAGATTCCATCATTATATGGTGCCCAAACTTACATCCTTTACTCCAAAATCCGCTGGACTCCGTATCTTCGTCGCTATCAGAGTTTAAATCGGAATCGTCTGTGTCGAAATCACTGTGAAAATATCACATTTATCATTAAATATGTCAATATGTGGGGGCAAAACCTTTCATACTCCTTTTAAACATATTTCGCTCATGGATTAATGTACCCACTACTGAGGCACAGGCCTTCTCTATGGACGGAATAGGAAGATTGGGGTAACGACCCACCACACCCAGTGCGGATTGGTTGGTGCTAACGACTGCAGATGTAGCCAGGACCAACGGCTTAACGTCTTAATTTTTTTGTTCACACGTGATACTAAATGTATAAAACATGTAGTATCCAATACTTGCATCAAAAATGTTGGATACACAAAATATGTGAAGTAAATAGTGATTTATACACGTAAGATACTTATTCTCTATGAAGTGTAAACGAAAGAATGTCACAAAAAGTATTATATAAGTAATATATGTTATTAACGGGATTGTTACCATGTACCTTGTTTTAAGCGAGTTTCCGATATTTCGGCACTGTTGCAAGCGCCATGATCACGGAGTAACTGAAGTAATTGCGGGTAGGCTGTTATTGGCAGACATATCGTTCGATAGGTACTCGTACCACTGTTCCCGACACACAACACTTACAGTATCGGATCGCGACACGACACTTTTTTGAGTTTTCCGGTTTTTACACATACGAACCACAGGATTCCATACACTCAACAGTTTAAATCCGTCCTCACGATTGAAATTTTTATGTTTTGTTATTTCAATCGCTTCCCTGACCAATCTTGGTATGTAGTGGCGTTCTGTCGAGATAATCTGTGGGTTATGGAACTCGAGTGAATAGTGAGAATGTGAACAGTGGTACGGGTATCGAACGCAATAAAAGACTTCGACGGAGAGTAGACCGATATGTCTGCCAATAACAGCCTACCCGCAATCCGTGATCATGGCGCTTGCAACAGTGCGGAAATATCGGAAACTCGCTAAAAACAAGGTACATGGTAACAATCCCGTTAATAACATATATTACTATAATGCTAGTGACCATGAAAGTTTAAAATAATTTCTACAAGTTTTGTGTAAAACTAGTATATGACTTGTTGCTTGGTATAAACGAGGGGCAAGTCTGTAAAACCCCAAACATTAAAAAAAACGTCTGTTTATGATTTGTTTACTCTTTACTGTATATGTTTTTGATGCTAAAGTGCCAAAATAAAGAAAAATATAATAAATAAAACGTCTTACCTAGACATGTATGAGCAGTCGCTCTCCGCCATAGAGAACGTTCTGGAGGGATTGTATTGGCTCTTTGGTTTCTCTATGGGCTCAGACCAGTTAGTACCACCTAGTGGAAAAAAATACATCATCATCATCAGCCTAATAATGTCCCCACTGCTGGGGCACAGGCCTTCCTTATGGATGGGTTAGGGAGATTGGGCCATGACCCACCACGCGGGCCCAGTGCAGGTTGGTGGGTGCTAACGACTGCAGATGCAGCCAGGACCAACGGCTTAACGTGCCTTCCGAAGCACGGAGGAGCTCGAAATGGCAAATGACCGACCACTGCGAAAGTTGCTCGACTTCAACGACCGCAGCCGAAAGCGCTAACCACTGGCGCCATCGAGCTCCGCAATAAAAAATTCAAACCGCCTTAATACAAATCGTAGGTTAAACTTAAAAACTGAGGCTGTCACTTTAGCTTGCTAAAAATAAGACAGAAACAACATTAGATTTAAACCAAGACTAACTTTTGTTAGCGTTTTGCAATAAGGCGGAAAGGCCACATTACCTATAGAGCCTTAATAGTTCGTTAAAATTTCTTGGTATTTGATGGGTGACCAAAAATTTTTTTTATTGTCTTAAATAAATAAATGTTTTATTTATTTAAGATAATTGTAGTAAGAAAGTCGCATACACTACTTGATTTTATAAATAAAGTAGTGTATTGCATTTAATTTAGGTATTAAAACACACACATTACATAAACAGACTCTCGTGTTCAAAATATACTTATGTGGCAATCGAAAAAACTATTATTCTACCAAACCATATTAAAACTGGTATTTTAAAGTTTAAGATGTGTTAACTCCAGGAAATAACAATCCCAATCTTGATTATATTACATGCATTTAATCTTCCTTTAAATTTGTTGATTACAGATTTCCTTTTTCTTATAAAATATAAACCTTTAATGTAAGCAAACGAAGCGAGTACTTTTCCGTTGTAACAAAAAAAAATTGTTGCCGACAACGCCCGTCGGCCGCCGTCGTGATCATTCGGCAGCGTTCGGCGGTTTGAATATCTCCACGCGTAGTTTAAGCGCGAACAGATGTTTTATTGCAGTTCCCTTCCTTTTTATTCAAAACACATAATATACAATTTGAAGCTTAACCCTTGTCGATTATTATTTCCCCCTCTACCGCCGAATACCGACGCAATTCAACTCACCCGAAGCGGAAGTGCAGAAGGTGAGGTTTGGCGGCAACGGCTCCATAAACTCGTTGTATTCCATAGCATCAGGTATCGAGGAAGCCATGTCGTTACTCCATGTGCCTATTTCGAAACCCTGCAAATGTCATTATCATTTAAAACAATTCACAATAAAAAATGTGTGCATAAACAAGACATCTAAAGAGAAACATCTTTTCTTAAATAACCTAACATTAGGCGGTGTATAAGGCAAAGGAGAATGGAGCAGTGCACGCATCACTTATATATATATGTATATATATCTATTGTTGCGTGTGACGCTCGTGACGCTCCTACCGTTTCTGCCTTCGCTGAGTTACCCTTCAACTTTCATGCTCGTGCATGAAAGTTGCTGCGCACGCATTCCACACACACACACATTTATTTATATCGTGTGACTGACGGTCCTTTCGTTACGTGCGCAAGGTAAATGGTTCAAGTTACACAAAAATCATGGTTTTTTTTTTTTTTTATTCATGCTTATGGCCAGAAGGGCCTTACAAGCTTCATCTGAAGCGATCAACCCCCGAGAGGGGGAAGATGCGGCGCTGCGTTAGTTTAAACTAGTGCATAGTTTAAAATAACGCAAAATGCGCTTAGAGGACAAGTGCACTCAGATGTGCACTTGAAACGGGAGGGGACTGAGAGGAGTCGAACCTCTCAGTGTCGGGGGGGCGGAGGAAAATCATGGATAACGGAATTGTTCCCCTTTAATAGTTCTATAAAAAAGTCCGCGACAGCATATATCCATTTATTAAGTTTGACTCACTGTAACATTTTTCCTCAAATTAACGCAGGTGAAACCGCAGGGGATCTTTAGTTGTGACGATGATTGCGAACTTTTTCGTGCTATTGTTGTCCTCTTTAAAACTATAGTTCATCACTTTGCTCTATTGTCTATGATTTCCGCAGCGTACGCACACATTGGGTTACAATAATCGAAGTTTTCATACGGAACCCTAACTTTTTTGAAAATAATCTATAGCCTATGTTCATCAGGGATACTGTAGGATTCTAAATATGTAAGAATTTTTCAATTCGGTCCAGTTGTTTTGGAGCCTATTCAATACAGACAAACATCGAGCTAAAAAACAATCAAATCTTTCCTCTTTATAATATTAATAAATGGCCTGGATTGAGACAAAGGAATTTATTTTCCTGGAAAAATGTTAGATTCCTGTGGGAATCTTAAAAAAACAAAGTTAACACGGACGAAGACGCGGACGGCCGCTAGAGGGCTCTATTTTATCGCATTAAAATAAAGTTCACCCATGCAAAGCCGCGGCGAATCGCTAGTCTTATAAGTAAAGACCAAAAGCACAACTCACACTCTCTGCTTCCTCCTTCTCTTGCAGAATATCATTGATCGTCTTCTCTTTCGCTGGTTCCTCCATCTCTTTCGGACTATCGTCTATCTCGCTCTGCTCCTGTTCTCTGCCACAATGACATTGATTTTGACCACAAGTACTTCATTAAAAACGGCAGTTAACGAAACATGAATACTTTTACAAGTATTAAACATTTGAAAGAAGAAATAGCAATTATAATTATATTTTTTGAGCATGGAACTGTTTGATGTTTAAATGTAAAGAAAATATAACTAGAAAAGAATCCACGCGGACCAGGCAGCAGACGGGATTCGAACCCTTCGCTATCCGGGCGAATGCACTGACCAATTATGCTACCGCAGCCCTGACGGCCGCCTCGCCTGACGGACGAAACCTTGTTTTTTTTTCGATTTATTAGTTGACCCTGACCCACTCCTCACTACCCCTGGACGTCTTAAATTTCAAAAATTGGATATGATATCAAAGTCGGATACAGGTAAGGAAATTTTTTTTACTGTGTTTTAGGTGACCCAGACCCGGTGACCTATAGTGCGAAAAAGATCTTTTTGAATGTGGCGAAAATTGGAACTAACAACGCCGTCTTTGTAAACGTCATATTTGTATGCCATTATGGAGGTTAGAGAGAAGGAGAACGATCGCTATAGAAAATTGTGTCCCAGAAATATGGACAAAATAAGTGAGGCGCTGCGCTAAGTTGTCTCAATAAAAGTGGGCTGTTGTGAGCTAATTTGAAATTTGTACATTGGTACCAATGCTGGCGTGATTCTCTAAACTTAAAACTAAATTTAACATCAGTCTCTCCTTTTCATTCTGTATAGAGAATGACAAGGATATACTGCTGTCAAATTTAAGTTTAGGTTTAGAGAATCATGCTAGAATTGACACCATTATTCAACTAACTTCACCTACTTGTACTCATAAACAGCTAACTTCACAGATACTACTTACCGACGGCAGCGCGGCTGATGGCTGAAAAATGAACTATAAATTCTACAAAGGAGATTGCTTAGCTTCCATACATGTTTGGCCTAAAGACCAATAATCATGAAAAATTGTTTCCTAGATTCGAAATTTTAAATAAATTACTGTAGAAACAAATATTATTGACGGGCACCCCTGAGAACTTCTAAAAACCATATACACTAAACATATTAAAATAATAAAAAAACAAATAAGTTATATAGTAAACTAGGGAAATCAAGCCAAGTACCGAAATTATGGATTAGATTCAGGTATATAGAGCATGTAGATTAACAGATAGTTGTCTGTTTTTAAAGTTAATGCATAAGAGTAACTTTTAAAATCAGGTGTCATTTCGGGTTATAATAAGGTACTCTGTGACAGAAACTGTGTGATGATTGTGAATGAGCCACAGAGTAGAGAGAATTTTTAAACTCTCGTTAATCAAAGAAAGCTTAGAGATTTAGGTTCTATAGCCATATATTCAGTAGCTTCATTATTTTTGTTATGTTTTTAAGATAACCATATCTTATATCGTTAGTGTATCACACCTTATAATTTTATTTATTTATTAATTTGTAGTCAGGGAACGTAGGCCCATAGATAGATACCTTAAAGTCTAACATATAGATTATAATATGTTTGTGGAGGTGTTTGGCGAAAAATGTATGGCAATAGACTTGATGATGTCGCCTACCATCTATAATAATTGTCTGAGCACATTTGCATCTAGTGAAAATGATAATATAGTTGTGGATATTAATACTACAGTGTAATAAAAAAAAAATGATTTATTTTATCGATCTTTACGAAATAGATTTGTTTTTATGTTATATAAACAACTTCGATCAGTCTTCGGCTGTATGTTATGTGAAATGATTCGTATGTTTTCCAAACCGGTAAAATTAAAAGTCCTTTTTAAAATAAATATATTATACAAAGGTGTCCGTTGAAATCTAATGACTGTAAATTAAATTATAAATTACGCCAAGAATTACCATGTATGTCAATATTTTTTGTGCATTTGGGCCAATTTGAGCAATCTCCTTTTCAGGGCGCCTGACCCCGGTCAGGCTTTAGCACATAGCGGCCGTTCCCCTTATCTCTAACCTCCATGTATGCCATTAACGTAGATAGTACCACCCTCCCTGAATTGTCACTCACACTCATAAACATCCTGATCGCACTGTAGATAGAAAACTATGAAACGCAATATTGAAAACGGGCACTTTAGATTTTTTTTTCTCCACCAATGAATATAAAGAGGTTTTATTAATTTGACGATTTATTGGCAATTTCATATGTTATTTGAAGTATCCTGCCATAATTCTATGCGTTCCGAATTTTTAATTTTATTTTTTTAGATGGGTCCAACAAATGACTCCACCCCTCCTGATGTTAATTTAATATTTGCGGACAACTCCACGATATACAGGTGGGCACGAACCACATTATAGATTACAAAGGTGTATGACAGTAAACTATTAAACACAATATATAAAATTAGCTATATTAAACGAATATTATAACTGTTAGCCAAATTACACACTCGTGTTTTTGTGAGAGAGTGAGGTTAAATTTTTAACCAGTTTTGAAATTCATATTCAAAGGTTTAGATTTCAAAAAAAAGCTCTAGTAGCCGGTATCGTTAATGCTAGCCAACATAAAGACAAATAAATACACCAACAATTGAATTTCTTACCCGTTCTCTATTATCTTCTCTTCCTTCTTTATGTCTTCTTCGTCTTTCTTCTTATCGCATTTTTCAGTGTCAGCACTAAGCACCTACAATAAACACTGAATAAATTTACATATGGTGAAACTTTACATTAAAACAAAAATGGAAGATACGGCACTCGTAGCTCAAAAGTGATCCGCTTAAATTGTGGTGCATGACCACAATTCGCTTAAGTTACAATTGGACATTCAAACACGCTGCATGTGCACTCAATATAACAATATTGCGTATATTCTGTGTTATAAAGATAAAACAATGCCTTAGATGCTTTTATAAAGAAATGGTTCAAAATCAAATAACAAATGCCTCGGCAACACTTTTCATTCGTAAAACTGTAAAAACTTTTTTCCTCAAAAATCACGTTTTGTTTGTAATCGCCATATTGTTATGAAGAAAAGGACAACAATACAGTACCCCTAGCACGAACCATTATCGAATTCGAATAGTTTGCAAACCGAAATATCAATGTCAAATTTTGTATGGAAACTTGAACAGCAGCAGCACAAAGTACGTAACGAAAACTAAAAATCAGTACACATTTGACAATGACATTTCGGACTCGCAAACAATACAAATTCGATATTGGTTCGTGCTAAGGGTACAGTTCAGCCGTACGGAATCGGAAGCGGACTCGCCGTTTCGCTCGCGCTGCGTTGAAGCGCACAGTTCAATCTCGCTCGCTCGATTGAATGTTTATATACAGACGTGTGCGTGTGAGAGAGTTGCTTATGCAATTAAATCGTATCATATTTTATTTGATGCTAGTATGAGCGTACTGTATCTTCCCTTTTTGTTTTAATCTAAGGGTGAAATGTAACTAACAACCTAGAGCGTTCGCGTGGATGTTTAGCAACTTCTGCAATAGTGTGTTTGAGAAGTTGTAGAAAATGATCTCACGTTATTTACTTATGTTTATAGTGTCCATAAAAAGTAGATATTTTTAATTCTGTAGTGTATAAATGTAATTCAGTAAAAAGAAATAAATTGAAAATGCAATTTTCATGTTGCCGCGAAAACGTTTCTCTGGACATTATTGCGTCTCACTAGTCTGTGAGGTCACACGACTGTCGTTGAAACGTTAAACGTTGCAATGTTATGTCTCTTTGGCCGGAAATTTACTAGCATGAGACGTCATTTTAGTCTTGGCCAATCCCAGGCGTTTTCGGTCACGTGGCCATGGAGCAAAACAAAATCATTTCTATCTAATGATTTCACAGAAAATTTTATTATTTATTTATTCTTACTGAATAGTAAAATCGCAGCAAATATTCATATTAAGTAAAGATGCTAACAATTGGTACATTATTCCTCATACTGTCGAATAGCCTATAGTCCATCAAAAATTAACTATCTCAAGGCGTGGTTATAATACGCGCATTCAGTTAACTAAAAAGAATTTTAATATTGATAATAATGGGACGTGTTATGAGGAATTATTTAATTTGATGCCCACCGCTGCTTTCTACCATTGCACCGGTTACCATCGACAAAGAGTTTATGTCCACGCCTAAGTGCCCAGTTGTTCACCTACAGTACGATTCCGAAGACACTTCCTCAGTTATGTTATAATTATGATTGTAAGTTATGGTTATAATTCCATCTACAGGGAAGACCTGTATGATGTTTTCTTTTCAAGAACTTTTTTGTTTAATAATGCTATTGGTGGCCTATTGTTCTTATCGATTTATTTTAGTTTTAAACATTATTGACTTTCTTCTATCAAAGCAATAAATCTCGCTCTCCTCCATTCAAAAATGCTTATAATTACATACAAAAGTTTTTTTTTGAAAAATCTCATACTGTTCCTAGCAGAAATTGTGCTTATTAAAATGAAGTAAATACAAAATGAGGAACTCTATGGCGCAAATGGTTAACGCGTTCAGCTTGCGATCGTTGAAGTTAAGTTTCTTTCGCAATAGTCGATCATTGGATGGGTGACCAAACACATATATATTATCTCAAGCTCCTCCGTGCCTCGGAAGGCACGTTGAGCCGTTGGTCCCGGCTGCATCTGTAGTGGTTAGCACCAACCAATCTGCAATGGGCCCGCGTAGTGGGTCACGGCCCAATTCCCCTATTCCATCCACAGGGAAGGCGTGTGGATCAGCAGTGGGTACGTTAATAGGCTGATGATGATGATGATGACATACAAAGTTTTTCTTATATTTATATTTTTAAGCATTCAAACGCTAGATGTTTATATCTAAAGAAATTTTTTACTAAAAAAAATCTAGGCGAAGCAGTCAGCAGACGGGACTCGAACCCGCATTCTTCGCTATCCGGGCAAATGCACTGACCATAATGCTACCGCAACCCTATAAAAGTCAGTGCATTCGCCCGGATAACGAAGGGAATCCGCGTGGAATTTGTTCTAGTAATTTCTTTTTTCATATATTACTAAGTTACCTCAGCCAGACTCCAACCGAAGTCCAGAGGGGGCCACGTGAAGCCAGGGCATGAATCCTCGTCTATTTTGGGCACGCCAAGACCGACTTCTACGGCAACGGCGCGACGTATCTCGTCGGCTATGAGGAGGGCGTTGATTCTACGATATAATACGTTGTCTTGTTATTCGTTTTTTAATGACCAACTCGTAAGTTGTATCGAATAGTGGCCACATATCACAAGGGTACAGATTTTTTACTCCTTCGCGCGTTTACGTAACAACGCTGAAAAATTTGGGGCTGAAGAACTCAAAGTCAGGCGGCGCATTTCAAAAACACGAGGTCAGCTACGGACAAGTTTAAAAAAATATGGAGAAAAAACACAAAAGCCACGAAAACACGACTCGTCAGGGCATTCCTGTTTTCCATATTCCTTTATGGTGCTGAGACGTGGGCCTTGCGAGAGAGTGAGAAAAAGAAGATAGACGCTCTATAAATGTGGTGTTGGAAGGAAAGGAAATGCTTGGCATACAGTGGACACAATTCCGAACCAATGAATCCATCCTCTATTGAACTACATCTCGGAACTGTCTATCAAACAACCTCTTTTTTCCATCGTACAAGCAACGATATTAAATACACTAGATACACACGTCCGCTCAAAATGTGACCCAATCAAGAAGTGCTTGAACTCCACTAAAGCACTTCTTGGTTCACAGTCACGCGCGGACCGTTGAAAAGTCAAGTTGCCGCAGAGCTCCGTGAAAAAATGCGAAATAAATAGTTACAGTATGTAAAGTGCCGTTTTTTCGACAGGTATTTAATCAATGTGTGTTAATTTAACGCATTTGAAGCAAATTTTGTTCTAATACTTACTATAAACTGATTTAATAGAAAATATTTGTGATATTCAAATGCATGGTCGGTAATATAGCCGTCTCTTTTCCTCGTGGTCCGTATCTGCTATATTGCTAACAGCGCATTCAGAATTGCGCGTAAAGTCAAAGAAATAAGGACTATATTCTTCCGCATATAGCAATAAGTCGTAAAATTTTACGAGATTGCATTTCGAACTGCCATGACTCTTTGACGCATGCGTTTTAATTAAGACCTTACACCGTATGCATTAAAGGTGACTTTCAATGTTTCAATAATGCCTTATATTGTTTTTGACTACGTGATCATCTTACGGAGCTCCGTGGATCATCCAATGTACCTTTTGGACAGATTTCGGCCACGATTTAGTTCGTGTTGGTGTATCTAGGGTATTTAAAATCGCTGCGTACAAGGTCGTACTCTCACTTTCTATGGCCACGTCTCACGTCAGTCAGTGGAACGATTGATGGTGCAGGGCAAAGACGAGGCTGTAAAGATGCGCGGCAGATCACCAATGCGTTGGACAGATCAGATAAAAGCGGTACTGAACGGTTCACTCCACGAGTGCACCAGGAAGATCATGACCACCAGCGTTGCCATTGATACGGCAATTACCGTAATATACAGCAATTGGAGCTCATAATTTCAGATTATACGGTATACGGAAGATTAGTAATTGCCGTTTAATAATACTAACTACCTATAAATTTGAATAAATAAAATTAGATAATACGGCAAAATCATGATTTTTATTTAAAAATACGGCAATCTGATGTATCGAATACTGCAACTCTTTCAAACTTGATGGCAACGCTGATGACCACTCTACCTAGCGTGTAGCACCGAAGAAAAAGACTAGAACTATTAACGAGTGACGTCAGTGCAACATTGATAGGAGCTGTGCTTCATTTGCTCCGTGTATGTGTTCTAACAGTGGGGATATTAATAGGGAATAATGTTGATGAATATTAACTCACCTCAATAAAACGCACGGTAAATCCACCGTGTTCCTTTTGGCTCGTCTCGTTCGTTCGTTCGTGCAAGTTAAGCGGCTTTCAATGGCTGGTCATTGGATGGGTGACAGTGTTCCAAGCAATAGTATAAAATATCGTTCGTCTATCGATTCTATCGTGGACTTGAAAAGCTGTCACAATATCGATAGGCCTATCGATTATATGTAAATTCAATAGTATCGATATAATCAATGGTTTTAGGTTTCATCAATAGTATTACAAACTGTTGACTATCAATAGTATCGATGCTATCGATTGTCCAATCGACATTGTGACTGATTTTCGAGGTCAACTATCGATAGTTTAGCAACGCCAATGAGTGACCGAAAAGCTGCATATGCAGTCGTTAACATAATCCTAACTGGGCCCGCGGTACCGATGTTAATCGGGTATGGTATATATGCGTCTGCCTCCAAATTTCACTAGCGCGATGTAAGCTTTCCATACTATTGAGTGTTTCTATCTTACTTTCCAAGACTCACCTATACAAAACACATTGTAAAGTGAACTCTGCACAGTCCCGGTACGGGGATCTGTTTCTAGTCGAGGCGGACCCTATTGGCCCGTCTCGTGCGCTCGTGGAAGTCAAGCAACTTTCGCAATGGCCGGTCATTGGATGGGTGACCGAAAACTTATTAACTGGAGTGGAGCTCCTTCGTTCTACGGAAAAGGCACGTCAACGTTAAGAAGACTTCCATCCCTGCTGCATCTGCAACCGTTAGCACCCACCAAACTGCACTGGGTCAGGATGTTCAGTCAGCCATGATCTTATCTTCTAGGCTTAGATTAAAACAAAAAGGGTCGATACGGCACTAGCCTCACAAAAGTGATCCGTATGAATTGTGGTCCACGACCCTAATCGCTTTAGTCACAACTTGACATGCAAACGACGTACATGTGAACGCCAAAAAGAAATATTGCTAATATTTTGTGTTTATATGATAAAACAATGCCCAAGTGTGTTTTTCAAAAGTGCTCAAGAACTAAAAATAAAACCCACGGCATCTCTTCTCATTCGTAAGTAGTATAAAATATATTTTTTCATAAAAAATGCTGTTTGTTTTGAATCTTATTCAGTAGTGACGTCGAGTACTGGTCGCGTGATTGGTCGGTAATGTAGTGACGCGGATCTCGCCGTCCCGTTCGCGCTGCCGTGGGATCAGTTTTTGTTTGATGCAAGTATGAGCGTACCGTATCTACCCTTTTTGTTTTAATCTGAACTTCTAGGTGTGAGCGTTCTAAAGACGAACCGGTTTCAAGGACCGTCTTGTGTTCCGCGACGATAGAACCGTTTTACGTTTCGGATCAGAACAGTCTTAGTCGAACAACTAGTCCTCGGATTGTCTGCACGCCAATATGTACTTTATGATGAAGTAAATACAGTCTATAATAGAACGCAATGATATGAGGCCGTTTCGTTCTATGATAATTAAGCTTTGATTTTACAATAATATAATCTTTATAACTGAACATTTAAAGTCGATTATCGTATAACACAACATTTATTTCAACATTTATTTCGATGTTTCGTCGTCTCGTTCGCAGCAACGAAACAAACGCTAACAAGATTTCATTTCGTTCAGTTTCTTTGCGTTACATTCGTTCGACCGTCGCGTGTCGTTTCGTTGCGTCACCCGGCCGCAACCAAAACCAGTTGCGAACGAGAACCGTTTCGAGGACTAGTTTTCGTTTAAGAAAAACGGTTGCTTTTCGTCGTCAGAAAATTTGAGAATGACCCACCGCTATTATCTTCCTATTCCATCCATAGGGAGGACCTATGCCCCAGCTAGCATACACCAATATGTATTGGGCCATCGTTCTCCTATCGAAATAGGTGATCTTAGCACGGGGACCGCGACCCAACTGTTGTTGGCCGGGCATGGTATATAAGAGTCAGCCTCCAAATTTCACTAGCGAGATGTAGGCTTTCCATACTATTGAGTGTTTCTCTATCTTACTTTCTAAGACTCACCTATACAAAACGCATGGTAAAGCCACCGTTGCGAACCACAATGGTGCAGCGAACGGATGAACTCTGCACAGTTCCGGTACAAGGATCTGTTTCTGGTCAAGGCGGTCCCTTTTGGCGCGACGAGTGCGTTCCGAAGACACGGGAAGCGCGACGCCTTTTCTGTTCACGTATCTGTGAACGGAAATGACAAAAATAATAGACTACTCTTGTCCTGTTCCTGATTGGGTCTTTTTTGAAGACCTATCCATAGATACCCCACACGTATGGGTTTGATGAAAAATATTTTTTTGAGTTTCAGTTCTAAGTATGGGGATCCCCCAAAATTTTTTTTTTCTATTGTAGTGTGAAAATCTTAATGCGGTTCATAGAATACATCTACTTACCAAGTTTAAACAGTATAGTTCTTATAGTTTCCGAAAAAAGTGTCTGTGACATACTGACGGACAGACAGACATGACGAATCTATAAGGGTTCCGTTTTTTGCTATTTGGCTACGGAACCTTAAAAACAGCTGTCTAGCATGCCTGGTCAAGTTAAAATTATTTAAATCAGTACATACCTCGGCGTGAGTAGATTCAGTCTAGCGCTAGTATGATCCACATCCAGCAACGGCTGTTGAGGCTGCGTGAGTTTAGCCCCGTATTTTTGCAGATAGTAGGCGCGGAAACTGGTGTGAGCGGCTGAAGGGAACGCGGAGTCCGGCGTTAGGTGCCAGCATATCTCCGCCACTAGGAAGAACTGGGAGAAAACGGGGAGTATTCGTATTAAAAGAATTTAAGTAATCTAGGGATCTAAAGAAAATATAACTAGAAAAAATTCCACGCGGACCAGGCAGCAGACGGGACTCGAACCCGCAGCCTTCGCAAACCGGGCGAATGCACTGACCAATTATGCTACCGCGGCCCTCACGGACCGCGTCGAAATTCTTCTAGCCATTCTTAAGCTGTAAGGCAGCGCCATCTCTTCGCATTATAGGTAACCCACAATGTCAAATGAATACTTTTACAAGTATTACACATTTGAAAGAAGAAATAGCAATTATAGTTATATTTTTTTAAGCGTATATTTATTATCTCAATTTTTACTAGTTATATTTTCTTTAGATTTAAACATCAAGCAGTTACATGCTTTAAAATAATAAAAATTATAACTAGGGATGGATATCAGTGATGAGGAGCCCGATGGCGCGGGTGGTTAGCGCGTTCGGTTGCGATCGTTAAAGTAAAGCAACTTTCGCAGTGGTCGGTCATTGGATGGGTGACCAAAAATTATCTATGTCGAGTTCCTCCGTGCTTCGGAAGGCACGTTAAGCCGTTGGTCCCGGCTGCATCTGCAGTCGTTAGCACCCGCCAATCCGCACTGGGCCCGCGTGGTGGGTCATGGCCCAATCTCCCTATTCCATCCATAGGGAAGGCCTGTGACCCAGAAGTGGGGACATTAATAGGCTGATGATGATGATGATGCTGAAGTAATCTAATAGGTTATATATAGTTTTAGCCTATTTTATTGACATTTAATTATTGAATTGACTGTATTGACATGTATTAATAGTTTTAGCCCAATTTATTGTCATTTTTTAATGTAATGACATTTTCATTTTTTCATTTGAATTTTAGTATAATAATCTTATTTATACTCGTATGTAAAAATCAATTGTTGTTCGTTAGTCTCACTAAAACTCGAGAACGGATGAACGGATTTATCTTATTAACGGAGGTCTAGGGAAGGTTTAAAAGGTGGGAAAAATAATTATATAAAGAAATTCATTGTGTATAATACAAGCCTGAGAACAAAAACTATAGTCTACCTACACTACAGCTCTTCACCGAAGCAAGGGCAGAACACTAGTTATGAATATAAATAATAATCAATTTGTATGCCGATATTGGCACGACATGTAATGTACTTAGCTAATTATCACTGAACATCTTTCTTACACATGTTGATTTATATAAATTTTCATTCTTTCTTTATAGTTATTGTATAGAACTGTACATTGAATATTTTTTTAAAAGAATACTTGGGGGTTTGATCTATGATCGATACCGAAGCCAAAAATATAGTTTTTAGAATATTTTACTGTTTGTCTGTATGTATGTCCGGAATAAACTCAAAAAGTACAGCATGGATTTACTTCAAATTTGGCATGAATATTTTTAAGAAGTCGGGTCAACATATAGGCTACATATTATCACGCTATCACCTACGGGGAACGAGCAGTGAACCTTTATTTCTACCTACCACCACGCGTACGAAGTCGCGGGCGGCCGCTAGTATGCATATAAAAGTTTAACAACTTCTTCACTAACCTGTGGTTGATCTTGATTCCTGTACCAAGGAGTCACGACTGCTTCCTTATACTTTTCTGCGTCGAACACAAACACCTCGCCGTCTTTTAGGAGGGGATTCTCCATCTCTTTCACTTTTCCATCTCGCTCTTTCTCCTTCTCCACCTGTAAACGGTACAAGAGGAAAAAATTTTTACAGACGACTTATACCTGGATGAGTATCACGAGTACATTTTAATTTATTTAAAATTATTTAGAAACTAAATAAAACAAGTTTCGGTATAGATGAATTGATTTATTTATTTATTGACGTTTCGCATCTTTTCGATGATGCGTCGTCTGATTGATGATTTTATTGTGCATCTATACCGTTGAAACTTGTTTTATTTAATGAGTGGTGTGGGTGAAAACCTGAGAAACAAATATTATCTAAAGAAAATATAACTAGAAAAAAATCCACGCGGACCAGGCAGCAGACGGGACTCGAACCCGCACCCTTCGCTATCCGGCCGAATGCACTGACCAATTATGCTTCCGCGGCCCTGATTGTCGAGTCGAAATTCTTCTAGCCATTCTTAATTCTTATTTCGACGCCGACGACGACTTGTGTGAATTTGACTTTTATATAAATTGCATGCATTGTACCATAAACAATATGTAAAATCTGCTTTATATATAAAGGGTTGATTATAAAACACCAGCAACCTCTTATGGGGTGATTCTACCCATCAACAGGAACAACTTTTATTATGGGACCAACTCTGAAATCGCTGAAAAATAAATTAGCTGTTTCATACATTTCGGTCGATTAGCTGATGCACTTTTGTATGAAACAGCACATTTTTTTCGCGATTTCAACGTTGTTCCCATAATTAAAGTTGTTCCTGTTAATGGAAAGTATCATCCCCTAAGAGCAGGGCCGGATTTAGGATTGTGGAGGCCTCGGGCCACTTAGGATTTTTATTCTTGTTAACCCATCGAAATGTTGTTATTTCTTAAGCTGTTGTGAAGGCCCCTGGGCCACAGCCCCACCTGTTCTGCCTTAAATTCGGCCCTGCGGGCAAGTACCACCCCACTCAGCCATTTAGCGATTGGGGTACTCCCTCAAGATGGGTAGTGAATTGGAAGTGCTTATCAGGGCCATTTGAGATTTTGATATTTCACTGATTGCCTGATTGGAGTGAACAAATATAGATCAATGATTTCTGTTATTTAAGATTAATATAATCAAATAATCATGTATGTTAGCTGTACAAAGTACTGTAGGCTGTAGGTAAAGGTAAAAGAGCAAAAAAAAATATCAAAGGAAAAGATGTTTACTAGTTGGAATTTGAATGTTTTTTTTCCGAAGTCTCTATTGTGGGGCCCCCCCGTTTGTGGAGGCCCCTGGGCTTTCGCCCCGGTTGCCCTCCCCTAAATCCGGTAGTGCCTATGAGGTTGTTGGTGTTTTAAAATTAACCCTGTTTACATATACCATCACAATTTTTGCAATAAAGAAATCTAATCTATATCATTCAAATATTGTATAACAGTATAAAGGATATTATACTGTTATAAAATATTTGAATGCTAAAAAGGCCTGGTCGTCATTTTGACCTTCAGAAAATTTTCAAAGTTATATTAAACTTGTCTCCTCATGAGAAGTACAGAAGAGAACCTTGCACTTACTGTTCTTTATATACTCGCTCATGTATTTTGAAAATTGTTTACTTGATATATCGTAGCTTTTGTATATTTATTGTTAACTATTTTATATTATCTGTTGGAAGTGGACCTCAATACATGTTTATAAGTTAGATGTCAGCTTTAAATTTGACGACACTGTATGAAATAAAACAGGTAAAAAAAGCTGTTATTGCCGGTCCTTTTCAGTACAAGGTCTCCCGCCGTAGTTTTGTGAACCGATGACGTAGCTTTCGACTTCCACATGTGCTTGTGAAAGCCAAAACTGAATATTATTTGAATATTGATTTGAATTGAATGAGAGAGGGAGAGGGAGAGAGGGAGAGAGAGAATTTTTTTATCAACCATTACACGAGTAGGTATTACAACAAGAATGAAAAAACACATGATGATGACGATGGAATAACGAACCTTTTTGTCAGGCTGTTCCACCTCCTCTTCATCTTGGTTCCACAGGATGGGTTTCTCCAGTTCCGATAGCTTCTTCTCTTCAGTATGCTGATATATTAGCTCTAGGAACGCCCAATCTATGTCTATTATGGATGTTCCATCTTCTCTAGTACCTGAAGTAAACAAGAAAAACAAGCAATGAAAATAAACGACCGCCGTGGCCTAGTGGTTTGTACGCCAGGTTTCATGGTGTCGCCGAGTCAAGAGGTCCCGGGTTCGAATCCTGGTGGGGGCAGATGTTTGTGTGATGAATATGAGCATTTGTACTCCAGTCATGGATGTTTAATACGTATTTCTATACAAATATACTTATATATGTACAGTTTATGTATTCTATCCGTTACCCTAGTATCCCATAACACAAGCTTTAAGCCCAAGTGTTGGAAATATTTATTTATTATATCCAACGAACGTAATAAGTAAATTGAGGAGTGTTCGGTTTGCGATCGTAAGTTAAGCAACTGACGCAATGGTGTAGATTCTGGCGTGATTCTCTAGACCTAAACTTAAATTTGACAACAGTTAAGAGGGTAAAGGGGATGGGAGGGAGGTTTGGTGTGGGAAACCAATTTTTCTACGGGCACCACGGAATACCTGTTAGACAGTCTATGAGATTCATTCTACATGCTGAGTGGGCTGCCTTTTTGGAAATTCAAATGTTAAGACCCAAATTACTGTATTCAGGTATAAATGTATATATATATATATATATATATTCAGGTACAATGTTTCATGTATTATATATACTAGCTGACTCGGCGAACTTCGTATTGGCCAAAACCACTCGGCCACGGAGGTCGTCAATAATTTGCAATAAAATAATATAGCGACTAATAATTGAGATGTAATTTAAGCTATCCTATCTTTCTAGTATATAGATCAAAGTGCACACGGTGTGCAAATTTGACTAAAATCGGCTAACTAGTTTAGGAGTCCATCCCGGACAAACAACGTGACGCGTAATTTATATATATTAAGATTTGTGTCACTGAATAAAACATTTTTTTTCTTTCTTCTTTCCTTTTTCAAGCAAATCAAGAGATATAATTTAAAAAAATTAAGCAATTTTTCTAGTAATATATCTATTATATAGATTAAAATATCAAGCAGATGCTTAAAAATTATACTTACCTATAATTGCTATTTCTTATTTAAAATGTAATACTTGCAAAGGTATTCATTGGACATTGTGGGTTACCTACAATGCGAAGAGATGGCGCTGCCTTGCAGCTTAAGAAAGGCTAGAAAGGATTCGACGAATCCACCAGGGCCGCGGTAGCATAATTGGTCAGTGCATTCGCCCAGATAGCGAAGGGTTCGGCGGGTTCGAGTCCCGTTTGCTGCCTGGCCGGCGTGATTTTTTTTCTAGTAATATATTCTTTAAATCAAAAGATAAATAATAAATATAAATATTTCCAACGCTCACACCAATTAGCCTAGCCCTAAAGTAAGCACTATAAGGCTTGTGGTATGGGATACTAGGATAACGAATAGATAGATAGATAGATAGATAAATTCTTTATTGCACACACACAAAAGAATACAAAAATAAGGAAACAATTACATAATGTGGGCAAAGGCGGCCTTATCGCTTTAAGCGATCTCTTCCAGACAACCTTTGCGGTAAAGGATAACTAAATGAAGAGGAAGTTGTAGTATGCCAGCAAGATAAAATAAAGAAATGTACATATTTTCTTAAACATATAAAGATTATATACAAATAAATAACATATACCTACACAAATATATATACCATATATACCTACACAAATAAATATATTATGCAATATTATATATTTATAGATATAGCAGACTAGGATTTGATTAAAAGAAAATCATGTAGTATATTTTTAAAAATGTTAAATGATTTAGCGTGACGGATCTCAGACGGAAGCTTGTTCCAAAGCTGTGCAGCTTTAATCGAAAAGGAGTCCATATAATACTCAGAGCGGGTGAGGGGTATCTCTAACACATTATCGTGTTTTGAGCGCAAAACGCGATCGTGGTCCACACCAAGAAATTGGAAACGTTCCTTGAGGTAAGTGGGAGTGCGAGGGTCATACAACACCTTATAAAGTAATAAGAGGAGATGCTCTTCACGACGCAACCTAATGGGAAGCCACTTGAGCTTTCTCCTAAATTCAGAAACATGGTCGAACTTGCGCAGGCCATAGATAAATCGAATGCAAAGATTTTGAAGTCTTTGCAGCTTATCAAGTAGATTTTCTTTGAGATCTACGTTACAAACATCTGCGTAGTCCAGAATCGGCATTAAGAGAGATTGCGCAAGTTCAACCTTGGTGCTCACCGGTAGCAGGTTTTTCCATCGGCGCAACGAGCCCGCAGCAGCGAATATCTTCCTACTGACCTCAGAAACATGAGGTGACCATGAAAGGGTGGAGTCAAAGAAAACTCCAAGATTTTTGACAACATTGCTGTAGGTCAGTGGAATAGAGCTGAGATAAAGAGGAGGCAGAAGTGAAGGATCCAGCTTAATAGATTGTTTTGACCCACCAATGATGATGGCCTGCGTCTTACAGGGATTAATTGAAAGGCCGTGGGCATAAGTCCATTCGTGAATAACCCTAAGATCGTCATTCAAGTTCGCAATTACATTCCTGACTTTATCAACAGGTGCCTGACGGTAGATCTGCAAGTCATCAGCATACAAGTGGTACTGGCAGGTAAGGAGAGAAGTGAGAAAGTTAATGAATAGAGAAAAGAGGAGAGGGGAAAGGACTCCGCCCTGAGGGACTCCAGCAATAACTTCACAGAAATCAGATCGTCTGTCGTCGGTACGTACACACTGCTGCCGGCCAGCTAGATAACTTCGGAACCAGTCCACCACCACATCCGAGACAAAGATCGACTTCAGCATAGCCAAGAGGATGTCATAATCAACGGAGTTGAAAGCATTGCTGAAATCCAGAAGCACAAGCATAGTCACCCGTTGTTTAGACATGCCCTCACGGATATCATCAGAGATCTTGGTCAAGGCCGTAACCGTGCTATGCCCCGGGCGGAACCCGGACTGAAAGGGGCTAAGAATATTCTTGGAGTTGAGGAAGACGCTTACCTGATGATGAACAAGACGTTCGAGTACTTTTGAAAGTAATGGGAGGATGGATATAGGTCTAAAATGACTGGATAAGGTAGGATTGGAGATCTTAGGGATAGGAATTACGGCCGCTCGACGCCAGCAGCTCGGAAACGAGCCTGAACTAAGAGAGAAATTGAAGATATGACAGAGGAGCGGAAGAAGAGTCGTAGAACCATACAAAAGCATTTTTCGACTAACTCCATCCAGCCCTTCGGCATTTGATGTAATAGCGGAGATACTCCTCTCAACTTCACTTACGGTCACAGATCTAAAAGAAAAGGCGGACTTATGAGGATCGAAAGCAGCAGATAAAGTTTGCAATGTAGATTGCTTGACATTGGAAGGAATAGAGGAAGGTGCAGTAAAGTACAGATTTAAAGAATTAGGATCAATATTATGAGGGAGTGACAAATTAACCTTACCAATACCACAGGACTTAAGAAACGACCATACTTTTGCAGGACTGCTGTTTGATACTGAGGCATGTATATAGCACCGCTGTGCATCTCTGCAAACTCTACTACAACGGTTACGGAGCTCTTTGTACTTGCGAAGCGTTACGTCAGTAGGGTTATTTCTATAACGGGCTTTAGCAATATTGCGCTTCGACATCAACGCCTTAATATCCGCTGTCAGCCAGGGAGCAGGGAGATGCTTCAGTCGTACAGGACGGAAAGGAGCATGCCTGTCATATACTTGAATGAGCAACGAGTTAAATATTTCCATTTTCGCTTCAATAGTAGGGGCGTTAAACATCACATTCCAGTCGATATTATTAAGATCAGCCAAGAAACTGTTCTCGTCAAAATTCTTGAAGTTGCGTTGCATGATCACTCGCAGTTTGGGTTTGGGACAACGGATTTTGTAAGAGAGGAAGATGAGATCATGATAAGAGAAGGCCTCTGCGGGCAGTTGGCCATGGGAGCCAACAAGATCAGTGGAGGAGACAATGGCAAGGTCAAGCAAGGATGGCTGGCAGCCTGGAAAATGGTGTGTTGAAGAGGAAGGGAGAATATTAAGGTTGACAGAATCTATAATTGAAGACAATCGCAATGAGCGAGAATCATGTTTCATCAAACAGGTGTTAAAGTCTCCCATAATTATAATGTGATCGACAGTAGGTACGAATTTCTCGAGTAAAGTTTCAAATTTCGAAAAGTAATCGATGTGGAGGTTGGGGCTATAGAAAACCCCTAAAAGAACCTTGAGATGACCTAGGATAACCTCAATAAAAAGATGTTCAGAAGATTCGGAGTACTGAGAAGGAGAATTGTCGAATAGAATACATATACTGGACATATATAAGTACATATATTTATATAGAAATACATATTTAACATCCATGACTGGAGTACAAATGCTCGTATTCATCACACAAACATCTGCCCACAGCGGGATTCGAATCCGGGACCTCTCGAGTCGGCGACACCATGAAACCCGACCTACAAACCACTCGGCCACGGAGTTCGTCAAATAAACAATCTATATAAAGCACTAAACCACTGACAGTGTCTATATAAACAACTCACTTCTAACTGTAGGCACTATATAGTAGTTGTTCTGTGTGCATCCTTCGCTGCTCAGCTTCATACCGCGGCGTCGCACGCGTAAAACTTCCGCGAATACGAAACGCATGAACCTTAAAAAAAATTAAATCAATACAATGAAGGTTTTCTGGAATGACAGACACCAGGTGGCAGTACTGAGACGAAAGGTCTACCCATCCGTCAAATCGCATATTTTCTCATTTTCTATGGATCAATTTAAATGTTCGTTCGATTAGTTAGATGGAGGTTAGAGAGAAGTAGAATGATCGCTGTAGAAAATAGTGTCCCAGAAATATGGACAAAATAAGTGAGGCGCTGCGATCGCTAAGTTGTCTCAATAAAAGCGGGCTGATTTGAAATGACCAATGCCAATTAAGCAATTTGCTTAAAAAATAAATAAAATCATAACTATAATTGCTATTTCTCCTTTCAATTGTTTAAAACTTGAAAAAGTATTCGTTTGACATTGTGGGTTGCCTACAAGAAGAGATGGTGCTGCCTTGCAGCTTAAGGCTAGGAAAATTTCGACGCGGCTAATAGGACCGTGGTAGCATAATGGTCAGTGCATTCGCCCGGATAGCGAAGGATGCGGGTTCGAGTCCCGTCCGCTGCCTGGTCCGCGTGGATTTTTTCTAGTAAACTTTTAATTTAGTCCTTTTAATTTTTTTTTTCTTGAATCTTAATTGTAAATAAGTTTCATCTCACTTGCACTTGGCACAAATAAAATAACAAAATTAAAATCCTACTTATATCTACTATATAAAAATAAGTCGGGTTTTCCTTCCTGACGCTATAACTCCAGAACGCACGAACCGATTTCCACGGTTTTGCATTCGTTGGAAAGGTCTCGGGCTCCGTGAGGTTTATAGCAAAGAAAATTCAGGAAAAATTAAAAAAAAAAAAATTTTAATCGCCAAACGAAATGTTACATAAAACGAAGCCATCTGGTGGCGAAACGGAGTTCGCGGGGTTTGCTAGTAAAGTGATAATTTTGTAACTCGTATGTCTCTTACTCAATCACGCAAAAACAACTGCACGGATTTTGATAAAATTTGGCATTCTTATAGTTCGTAACTTGGTTGAGATTAGAGGAATTTTTATTACAGAAAACTTTAAATTCTTGTGCGTTTTCGTAAATAACTAAAGTTAATACGGACGAAGTCGCGAGCTGAAGCTAGTAGGCTATAAATAAGTACTCGAGAAATAATAACAGTGAATGTTGTTAATATTAACTGAGAATATCAGTACCCCTAGCACGAACCATTATCGAATTCGAATAGTTTGCAAACCGAAATGTCAATGTCAAATTTTGTATGGAAACTTGAACAGCAGCGGCACACAGTACGTAACGAGAATTACTCGTAAAAATCAGTACACATTTGACAATGACATTTCGGACTCGCAAACGATACGAATTACGACGAAAATATTGGTTCGTGCTAGGGGTACAGTAATAAAACTTACCTCCTGACCAATCTCCCCCTCCGAGGGGACATCCTGACGTCAGCATCAGGAACGTATTCCACAGATACCCTCACTTCACCTGATCGAGTGTAGACAGGGAACGCTGGGATCTGGAGACTGGAGACAACATGTAATAATAAAGACGATAATTGTTTGGTCTAAAGCCAGTGTAAAACAAAAATACAATAGTACAATTTTCACTCAGACGTTTAAATTTTGACATAGAATGTACGAAACTTTTGTCAAATTTGAAATTTGTTGCACCTGGATCGTAGTATTTGACCGCAGCCCTGTATATTTTGTGTACGACAGCCACGTGAGACTGTCGTACAGTAGACGGCGTGTTTAGAGAAACATGTTTCAGAAACAAAGTTTTGTGTACGTGTTTTTTTTAATGTTTTCAAATACACTTTAGCTGGAGACTCGACCTTACTGATATCTTGTACCTACTGATTACATGTTACAATTTTAATTTATTAATCATGTAACTGCTCGATGTTTAAATCTAAAGAAAAAATAATTCCACGCGGTCCAGGCAGCAGACGGGACTCGAACCCGCACCCTTCGCTATCCGGGCGAATGCATTGACCAGTTATGCTACCGCGACCCTGAAGGCCGTGTCGAATTTTTGTCTAGCCTTTTTTAAGCTGCAAAGCAGCGCCATCTCTTTGCATTGTATGTAAAACACTTATCACATGTTATTTAAAACTAACTGCCGCCCGCGACCTCGTACGTGTGGAGTTAGTTAGAAATAAAGGTTCACTGCTCGTTCCCCGTAGGTGATAGCGTGATAATATGTAGCCTATATGTTGACCCGCCTTCTTAATAATATTCGTGCCTTTTTTGAAGTAAATCCATGCAGTTCTTTTTGAGTTTATCCCGGACATACATACAGACTAAAAGACAAAAATTCTAAAAACTATATTTTTCGCATCGGTATCGATTGTAGATCATATCCCAAGTATTCTTTAAAAAAAATATTCAATGTACAGTTTTGACCTTCCTACCATTTTATTATAATGTATAGATAGATAGTTTTGACGTGACAACGTCTTATAATTCGATGGAGCCGGCTGCACGCACGATAAAACATGACTCATGCGGCGTTACCTCGCTCTGAGGCGTTCCATTTAAGGCTTGAAGTGCAAGCGAGAGCGCGCAACGAGCGACAAAGAGGCACAACCGGCCTCCGCGTTCGGCAACGTTCGACATCTGTCTCTCTCCAACTTGAGTGAGCGATGCGTCCACGTGGACAGCTGTTATTCAATAATACATTTACATGTTTTCGTCAAGTATGAAGTGCAGTGAAAAGTGAATGTGGAGTCAATTTTTTATAGCAACGATAATTGCGGCGAAAAAGGTAATGACATCACACGTGTTTAAAAGTTGCAAATAAAAGTTGTAAAACTATTGCTCACAGCACATTCATATTTGTAAAAACTATGTACATTGTAAAAAAATGTTGTCACGTTCAACTATCGTCAGTAAACCGACTTTACAGACAACCGATTTTTTATAATATAATCACTCACTCATCGTTGTGTTCTCTCGCCATAAGTATCCCAATGGCTTGGCTCGCATGTTGAGGTGCATGTAATCTCCTGCCCCTAGTGTTGTATCTCTCTGGTAGAGCGCACCATAGTTTCGACACTATGGCATATAGCATGTTGCGTTTGTTACCTATGAAATGAGTTTATAATTAAACATCTATTTTAAAGTTATGTTTTTTATAGTTTTTAAGCAGTTAACTGCTAGATGTTTAAATCTAAAGAAAAGTTTACTAGAAAACAAGCGGACCAGGCAGCAGACGGGACTCGAACACGCACCCTTCGCTATCCGGGCGAATGCACTGACCAATTATGTTACCGCGGCCCTGACGGCCGTGCCGAATTTTTCTCTAGCCTTAGGCTGCAAGGCAGAGCCATCTCTTCGCATTGTAGGTAATCCACAATGTCAAATGAATACTTTCTCAAGTAATAAACATTAGAAATAAGAAATAGCAACTATAGTTACATTTTTTTTTGTTTTTAAGCATTTTTAAAACCAAGCTTTTATAAATCTAAAGACATTCATCTCCACCCTGTCCTGTCTGATACCTAAACCGAATAAATTTTTGAAGAAAAACCTCTATTGGAAGGGGTGTGAAAAATCCCATGGAAAAGAAACGTTAATGCGTCACGAGCGTGACATACACATAGACATATATGTGTGTGTGTGTGTGTGTGTCGGATGCGTGCACAGCTTTTCCCGACGAGCATGAAACTTGGAGGGTAACTCGGCGAAGGCTGAAACGCTACTAGCGTCACACGCACGACAATATATAAATATATATGAGTGATGCATGCGCTGCTCCATTCCCCTATGCCTTATGCACCGCCTAATGTTAGGTTATTTAAGAAAAGAAGTTTCACTTCAGATGTGTGGTCCGAGCACACAATTTGTTTTTTTCTGCTAAAATATTCTTTAGATTTATAATTTCAACTGTTTACTGCTTTTTAAATTAATTAATTCAATAACAAGCTTTCTCTATAAAAAAGATGATTGAATGCAGGCGTTACTTAATACGTGTTTTTGTCAACAAACCATTTTAGACAGAAAATCAATTGCACATGAAGTCCAAATTGTATTGGATTGTACAAAAGGTTTTTGCTTGGATTGTAATATTTTGAAGTGAAATTTCTTTACGCACGCTTGACTTGGGGAGTAAGCTGGCGAACGCGTTACGAAAAGTGTGATCGGGCGGGTTGAACGGGAGTTAAGTGGGGGATATAAGCAAGAGAAAGCAGTGCGCGCGAACATTTTCTTTCTCTTTTTCTCTTATAGCTAGTAAATGAAATATGTATGTTTACATACATGTATATATTGTACACACACATATATATATATAGTTACAGATGGAGCTAAAGAAGTTTCACTTCAGTCGTGTGCTCATTATTAGACTCCTTTTTTATATTCAATGGCATCTTACTCTTTTAGGTGGGGCAAATATGGATTACATTGAATAGTATAGTAAATTTCATAAGTTTTTTACCAAACTATTAATACTTAACTTATTTAAAGATATGGCAATACTCACCCTTTTTTACAGGCTCGGTGTTTCCCTCCTCAGTCTGCGTGACGTCACTCTGAGGGTCTATCTCCGAGTCTTTCGTGTCTATGACTGGCTGGCAGTCTGTGAACGCCCACGCTGTCTATGGTAATGAGAAAAATGTAGCATTTATACATGTTGATTTAAACTCAAATAGTTTTTAGGTTTCCGTACCTCAAAACGAAAAAACGGAACCCTTATAGGATCACTTTGTTCTCCGTCCGTCCGTCCGTCTGTCAAGACCGTTTTTCTCAGGAACGCGTAGAGATATCAAACTGAAATTCATATCTAATACTCAGGTCTACCGTCCCTTGGAGCTGTGAAAAAATCAAACTTCTAAGCCAAAGCAATCAAAAGATACAGCCGTTTATGCCGCAAATTTTCGTAACTCGTACGGGAATCAAACCCTTCAGGGTCAACTTCCCGTGAACTTTCTTGAAATTTGGTACGAAGTAACGTCGAAACGCGAAAACCGTAAATATTTAGTTATATCATATATTTTTTTTAATAATTATTAAAATATAGCTACAGATTTGTACGGAACCCTCGGTGCGCGAGTCCGACTCGCACTTGGCCGGTTTTTTTATACTAAAATTTTCTTGATATATAAATCTAGCAGTTATATGCTTAAAAATATCAATATAACAAATTCAACTCTGCTCTAGAACAGTTAAGCATTATTTTCCATACGTCATCTTTTCCCTTATTAAATTTCAAAAAGTTATATTATGTGTGCACTCGTTCGTAGCACGCTAAATGAATAAAAACCATAAAACAAACCTTTTAATACCACGACCTTTTTGTTTGCCAATCTTTATACATAATAAAGTGTTATAAGCTTGTTTAGAGGAGCTGGATGACGCAAGAGATTAGTACGTTCGGCTGAGATAGTTGAAGTTAAGCAACTATCGCAGTGGTCGGTCATTGGATGGGTCACCAAAACTTTACTATCTCGAGTTCCTCTGTGCTTCGGAAGGCACATTAAGCCGTTGGCCCGGCTGCATCTGCAGTCGTTAGCACCTACCAATCCGCACTGGGCCCGCGTGGGTGGGTCATAGCCCAATCTCCCTATTCCATCCACAGGGAAGGCCTGTGCCCCAGCAGTGGGGACATTAATAGGCTGATGATGATGAAGCTTGTTTAGCCAAAATAAATAAAAAGTTCTGCCTCCTGGAACATTGCGTCATCTCTACCAATAAAAGCAGATGTGACCCATGTTATACAAACGTTATTTTCTAATACTTTCACAGATTTCTCTCGCAATTTTATATTAATATTTTGTTTTGTAATTAACAATCGCAATATACACATTTCAACAAGTAATCTAGCTTTTTTGACAATGATATTAAATACCCTAGATACAACAACACGAACAAAATCGTGGCCGAAACCTGTCCAAAAGGTACATTGGACGATCCACGGAACTCCCTAAGGTGATCGTGTAATCAAAAACAATATAAGGCATTATTTTAAACATAGAAAGCCACCTTAAATGCACACTGTATAAGGTCTTAATTTAAACGCATGCGTCAAAGAGTCATGGCAGTTCGGATTGCAAGCTCGTAAAATTTTACAAGTTATTGCTATATGCGGAAGAATATAGTCCTTATTTCTTTGATTTTACGCGCATTTCTGAATACGCTGTTAGCAATATAGCAGATACGGACCACGAGTAAAAGAGATGGCTATATTACCAACCATGCATTTGAATATCACAAATATTTTCTATTAAATCAGTTTATAGTAAGTATTAGAACAAAATTTGCTTCAAATGCGTTAAATAAACAAACATTGATTAGATACCTGTCGGAAACACGACACATTACGTACTATAAGTATTTTTTCGCATTTTTTCACGGGGCTCTGTGGCATCTTGAATTTTTAACGGTCCGCGCGTGACTGTGAACCAAGAAGTGCTTGGGTGGAGTTCAAGTACTTCTTAATTGGGACACATTTTGAGCGCACGTGATGTATCTAGGGTATTTAATATCGTTGTTTATTGAAGACCATTTCCAATTTACCTTCTTAAAGTAGTACTGCCGTCGTTTCGTGCTGCCAGGGCGCGCTGCATCGTTCGGATCGGTGGTTTCAGTGTTACTGTTGTTGCAAGCTAAAGTAGTCTCTAACTCGGCCGCTTTAAAGTTCTCTTTGCCTTGCAACAAAAAGAGACTAGGTAATTGAAACGAACGCGTTTGTATTATAACTTTTGGACGTGATAACGTCTTATAAATCGATGAACTCAACTTAAACAAGCTTTAACCCAAAGCAAAATGACAAGACGTCGTCATATCAATTTGTGATCCTTTTTATGGGTTCACTAAAACTAGATTTAGTAGTTTTAGTTAAATCTGAGTTTTGGCAATATTGTTACGCTTATACAATAAAGTCCCAAGCAATATCCAAAAGTTAACCATAAATAAATTTAAAGATAGTATAAAAAAACACTTATTAAAAGCAAAGTGTCTGATTATATTACAGACAAAAATGCTTGGGTTTGAACTGTTCCAATCACTCCAACAGGTTTTCTATATTAAATAAATCATAATTGTATTGACGTTGTAACAACATAATAATTTGTAAATGTAGTTACATTAGACTTTAAATGTTGAGGAGTTTTTTTCGCTCGTTGTTCTCCGCAGCTAAAAAATATGTCCATAACGAGTGGTAGGGAAAAAAAATTTTGGACGATTCAAAAGAGTTGTACTATACATCCAATTTGAATAAAGATATATTGATTTCTGATTTCTGTTGCAAGTGAACTTTAGTAATAAATTACTACATCAAATTACCTATTGGCATCAGCTGGTTGTCCAGTTCACCAGACTTGTGTAGTATTCTGCAAGCTTGCAGTGCTACCATACGTCTTGCTAATACCCTTGTGGGCATCGGATGACCCTGGGGAAGAAAATGTATATGAATAGTACTACGCTACCACGAGGAGCTCGATGGCGCAGGTGGTTAGCGCGTTCGGCTGCAATCGTTAAAGTTAAGCAACTTTCGCAGTGGTCGGTCATTGGATGGGTGACCAAAAATCTTTTATCTCGAGTTCCTCCGTGCTTCGGAAGGCACGTCAAGCTGTTTGTCCCGGCTGCATCTGCAGTCGTTAGCACCCGCCAATCCACACTGGGCCTACGTGGTAGGTCATGGCCCAATCTCCCTATTCCATCCATAAGGAAGGCCTGTGCCCCAACAGTGAGGACATTAATAGGCTGGTGATGATGATGATGATGACCACGATATACGGCCAGTTAAAGGTTTCAATAATCAGCCTCCAGTAAAAGTTTAAGATTCCTGGAGGCCTACTCTATTTCAACGAAAACTAAATTTCGATCGAAACTTCGCACGTTTCTTACTATGTTTCATTTTCATTTCGAAAATTCGTTCATCCGAAAATAGTTTGACAGCTAAATTCTCCAAGCCTACTCTAATTCACAAAACTTTCAAAGTAAAAGTTGAATTAGCATATAATTGTTCGAAATTTTAACCTTAAATTGACGAAATGAAGTGTTACCTTTTAATTTTCGTTTTGGAACTTTTGTTTAAATTAAGCCTGAAATGACTGCTAGAGTATTTTTAATCAAGACTGCTTAGCATGAGGAAATTTTTTTAGCATGTCAAATGAACAAATACACCAAATTTTAATTAATTATTGTATTTCTTATACTTCATTTAATGAAGTGCATCAACTCTACAAATTAGTCGGCTAACTCTGTCAAAGAAGGTTCTTTTTATGTCATCAAAAATTTTGTAGTAAAGTAATATTGTTCCCAAGTAAAACAGGTAATCTAAAAAGTGGAGATAAAAGAACTCACAAACATGACTCATTCCATGCGTTCACGAAAATTGTCTGTGATTCCGAACTTTAAGTGCGTGTTCGAAAATGAAAGAGTAGAGTTATTAGCGAAATTTCGTTTAAAATTCGTTCGTTACCGAAATTTCGTTTCGGAGAATGAGAGTAGAGCTCCTGGTCTCGTTTTATTGGAAGTAAAACTGGGCAAATAAATGTATGGGAAACGAATTGATTGGGTGGTCCATAGTTCGTCCATGTATTGGTTGTATTTTTTCGTTTTCTAGATAATAAATTGTCAACTTCATGCGAGTGTCGCTCAGTAAATTTTCTGTTATACGTCACAACAAAAATTTAACCTTGTGAAAAAATACTTGAGGTGGTGTTACTTGAGTGCAAGATTTTGTCTTTCTGAGTTAAGTACTAATAGGTGAGTATTTCATTAAGGCCCACTTGCAGCAAATTTGCTAGATCTTGATTTAACTAAAACTAGATTTAACCTATAAAATAATGACAAAACGTCGATGTCAATTTGACGTTACTGTATGGGCTATATCTAGATTTAGCAAATTTGGTCCAAGTAGACTTAAAGCCCACTTGCAGCAAATTTGCTAAATCTCGATTCAACTAAAACTAGTTATATTCAATAGAAAAAAGTCAAAATATCAATGTCTTTTTGACATTATTGTATGGGCTACGTCTAGTTTTAGTCATATTGAGATTTAGCAAAATTGCTTCAAGCCTACGAGTGTTTACAAATTCTCACTTACCACAATATTGTATTTAACGGGACAATTGAGTGGTAATCTCAGCGTGCACACATATGCTGTCCTAGTATAATCAGAGCCTGGTGTGGGCAGCTGGACTTTCTCCATCCACCACTGCGGGGCCAGCCGCGTGAAAGTGTCTGATGGTAGCTTACCACAGTACCTACATACATAAATATGCTTTTATTTTTTAAATGAATATAATTATGTGTTAATCTACAATGCTAAGAGATGGCGACAGCTAAGAAGTACTAGAATAAATTCAACACAGACATTAGAGTCTCGGTAGCGTAATTGGTTAGTGCATCTGTAGAAAGGCCAGGACAAATCTTCCTCCGGGCTATGTGATTTTAGCTTGGGGTTCCGCAGCCCTACTGTTTTTTTTTTGAGTGTATATGCTGTTGGTTGCAGATGACCTTCACAGCGTCACCGGGTTTGGGGACGGCTCGATAAAGGCTAAATCCTAATACTTAATCTTGGTTTATTAAAGTAATATGACCAATTTTAATTGAGTTTTCTCTAAAAGTTATCTTTGGAATCTGTACTTGCTAGCGAGTGAAAATTAAAATATTAAATTCAACTTCACACAATACCCTATACATATATTTCAACTTACCTATTAATCAGTGCTATAGCAGTGCTCAAGTCCACACTCGCGACTTCGCAATCACTTATCTTCTTGCCGTCCCTTTCCACTTTATTATCCGTCCTTCTCGCACTACTACTGACACTTCGCATCAAACAAGCGCACTCTACACTATCACTAACTTTTAAACTGTTACACCTGTTGCAATACATGTTCATATTGGCACATTTACTGGAATCTTCTATTGATTCATTAATAATTTTACTTATATCACTATCTAGATTATTTTCGTCAATTTTCATATAATCCAATTCGTTTTCTATAACACTGCATTCTACATCTTTTTCGGTGTCTTCATTTGTCTTCTTGCTAAGATCGCTTGTCTTTTTGCTGTGTTCATTTGTTTTTAAGTTGTCTTTTAGAATTGTATCTGTTCGTTCAACAATGTGTTCTTTGTTTATTGTACTAAGATTAGTTTCATCTATTCCGTTAGTTTCACTGATAGTGACTTGTTTTAGAAGATCTACAAGTGAATTATCATTTTTGACTTCATTGGTTTTAGTGTCAAGTTCTTTTGTCATCGCATTCTCGACTATGTGCTCTTTATGTTTATGTTCATTATGTTTCGAAGTTTTATCTAGTTCTTGAGGAGTGTAAGGTTTGACGACCATTGTGACGGTATCAGCTGAGCTCTCTTCCGATTCTGGTGGTTCATCTTGTATGCCGCAGTCGCATTTCCTACTGATGATCTGTAAAGAAAATAAAGGTAGTACTCTACATTAGTAAGAATTTACAGATTTTTATTTTAAATTTACTAGAAATACTAGTTGATTGTTAACGTTACTTGTAAAGATATGCTTGTTGTCATTATAAATCAATTAATGTCTCCACTGATGGGGCACACACCTTCTCTAATGGATGGAATAGGGAGATTAGGCTATGAACCACCACACAAGCCCCGTGCGGATTGGATAGCTTAAGATGTCTTCCGAAGCGTGAGATATCAAATTTTTGATCATCCACCTGATGACAGACTATTGCCAAAGTTGCTTAACTTTGAACATGCCAAACATCAAATCCATCGACTTCCTCATTAGATACACAAATTTCCGAGCTTCGGAAAGCACGCTAAGCAGTAACTAGCACCCACTAAATCACACTATCACTGGGTCATGATCCTTCCTTCCCATTCCAGCTATAGGGGAGGCCTGTGCCCCAGCACCCGGGACATCAAAAGGCTGATGACGATGATGATAAAACCTGATCTAACTTCCTGTAAATGGCCAGGTCATTCACTAACTCTTTAATGGTCGTTCCATCACCATGATTCAGAACTACACAGGTAGCTCTAGAGGCAGGCGCTTTATACAGGATGACAGAAAAACTCGACCTATTCCTTGAAAGGGGTTATACTAGAGATCAATTTAAACGATTAGCAACAAATTAATTCCAGTGAACAAGGGATCAAAACTTTCCAATAATATATGACGAAGTTCGGGAAAAATACAAAAAATAAAAAATATTGTTACTAAAGTCTTTTTATTACTGAGATTGTATAAGTTTTGAGCAAGCTTTTTAAAATCATCATTAATTTATCATTGAACTGATGCTTTCAGAAAAGTATCAGTTCAATGTTTAGAGTGAGTAGTTAATTCACAATTAATGGTTTTTGGCAGCAATTCAGAAAAAAAACAAAAAAATCGAAGAACCGTCAAAACTATGTAACCATACAGTTTTGAGTTCTAGTTCACTGGACTTAATTTCTTGCTAATGACCTCTAGTATAACCCCTTTCAAGGAATAGATCGAGTTTTCCTGTCACCCTGTATATATATCGTCGTCGTGTCTTCGTTTGAGGGGTTTTCCCTTACCAACTTTCACCCCCTTAAAGGTTTTCTTCTGAGATAAAGTCCCATGTCAAATTAATTTAGATAAATAAAATTTCAACTTAATCGGTTCAGCGGTTTCATCGTGAAGAGGCAACAGAGAGACACTTTAACATTTATACGAATCGAATTCGAATAGTTTGCGAGTGCGAAATGACATTGTCAAATCTTGTATGGAAACTTGAACAACGGCGCTATAACGGACGTAACGAGAACTAAAAATCAGTACACATTTGACAAAGTCATTTCTCACTCGCAAACTATTTTAATTCGATTTAGGTTCGTTCTAAGGGTACCGATCCAGCTCCTTAAAAATGGCCAGGTTATGGACCAACTTCTCAGTGATCGAGCCATCAGAACTACGCAGGAAGCTGTTAGAAGGACACAGTCTAGCCAAAACGTAAAAAAACCATAAAGAGGTATTTTAAAAGATAAATTTTATACACATAAAAAAACATAATTACAAAAAAGTGACACTAAAAAGTCCTACCTATTCCCAAACTTTGAACACATTGTACTCGTAATACTACTAAATTGAAGAGTAGTGGTAAAGCAAATAATTAATGTTGAAATGGGAAAATTTGTTATCAGTTTGGTTACACCGGTCATCTTTACTCTTGTTAAAAAGTTTTTAAAACATCAGTTTATTTCTTTACCTATTTGCTCAAAGGAAGTTGAATAGAGTATAGATGTAAAGATACAATACAGGCAGTCCTCGTACTTACGGCATGTTAGGTTCTCGAAATACGCGACGTAAATCGAAACGACGTAAGTCGAGACATCCCCACGGACATTGACCTCGCGACAAGTGAATTCTCCTATGCCGGATATAGAAACAATTGACGTATGCTTGAGGAATAGCGTCAACACATTGTTTAACGTAACTTGAAACAACGTAAATCGAAACGACGTAAGTCGAGGACTGCTTGTACTCATTCAGTTACCTGATCTAACTCCCTGTAAATAGCCAGATTATGGACCAATTCTTCAGTCGACGTGCCATCACCACGGCTCAGAACAACGCAGGAAGCTCTAGAGGCTCGCGCACGACCACGAGACAAACCATATGATCTGTACCTATTGAGAAAAAAGAATAACAAACTAATTAATATACAGAGCGTGCTAAAACAATTAATTACATATGGTATAAAACAATGGGGCAGCTTATTAAATGGGATATTGTGATTATTTTTTTTGTCATTTCTGAATTAAAGTAAATTGTTCTAGGAAAATAATACCTGTATCTCCCGGAGGAGGAGGAGGAAAAGGAGGAGGAGGAGGAGGTCGATGGCCCGGGTGGTTAGCTGCGATCGTTGAAGTTAAGCAACTTTCCCAATGGTCAGTCATTGGATGGGTGACCAAAAATCTTCCAGTTCGAGTTCCTCCGTGCTTCGGAAGGCACATTAAACCGTTGGTCCCGGCTGCATCTGCAGTCGTTAGCGCCTGCCAATCCGCACTGTGCCCGCGTGGTGGGTCATGTCCCAATCTCCCTATTCAATTCATAGGGAAGGCCTGTGCCCCAGCAGTGGGGACATTAATAGGCTGATGATGAATGAATGAATACCTGTATGTAAATACAGGTCCAAACAGGATCATTTTCCAATGGTATATTGATGTTATGTGGCTGACTGTACATATTATGGTATAAGACGACCTCCGTGGCCGAGTGGTTTGTGCGTCGGGTTTCATGGTGTCGCCGACTCGAGAGGTCCCGGGTTCAAATCCCGGTGGGGGTAGATGTTTGTGTGATGAATACGAGCATTTGTAGTCCAGTCATGGATTTTAAATATGTATTTCTATATAAATATACTTATATATGTATTCTATCCGTTACCCTAGTATCCCATAACACAAGCCTTACAGTGCTTACTTTGGGGCTAGGCTAATTGGTGTGAGTGTTGGAACTATTTATTTATTTATTTAATTAAGTAGTAAAACTTACGAAGGTGGCGTATCCCAGCGTAGTACTAGGTTGCAGCGCGGAAGGTCAATACCCTCTTCCAGCGCTGACGTCGCCAGCAGCAAGTTGCATTCGTGCATACGAAACCTGACATAAAATTTAACAAGGAAATAGAAAAAAACAGGTATCGAATCTTCTCGTAGACAGAAAGCAAGTCAATTCATTAATTAAAAAGGAGAAAAAGAACAGTACCTTAACATTTATTTCATGTTTTTATGCACATTGAATGGTAAGAAAACACTTTTTGAAAGGGTATCTATCAAGCGCGACTTATTGGTTTTTTTAATGTAAGACTTGCGACTTACCTGGGGGCCATTCGCCTAACGGAAATGCTTAGGAAAACGCTTACGCTTTCGATTTCATTTTGTTATTTCTGACCGCCGAAGGTTTTCAAATACCTCACGCTCATTTTATTTAATATTGTTATTACCAATGCAAAAGAAACAAAAAGAGCGCGAGGCATTTGAAAACCTCAGGCGGCTAGAAATAACAAAATGAAATCGTAAGCGTTTGCGTTTTCCAAAGCATTCCCTTTAGGCGAATGGCCCCCTGTTCAAGAAGTGCCTTACATAATACAAGAGACGATGACCAAAAATGTACTATTTGTTTCTTAGGTTTTCACGCACATCACTCTTTGAAACCCGTTGAAAATTGTTTTATTTAAAAATCTACTTTCTCAATCTCTCTTTCGTGGTTCGGGAGACACGTTAAGCTGTTGGTCTTGAATGCATCTGTGCCTGGTGGATAGCGATAATAAAGCAACTATATTTAATACGCTAGATACAACATCACGAACGAAATCGTGGCCGAATCTTATCCAAAAGGTACATTGAACGATACGCAGAGCTCCGTAAGACGATCGCGTAGTCTTAAACAATATAAGGCATTATTTGAACATTCAATGTAACCATTAATACATATTAAATAAGATCTTAATTTAAACGCATGCGTCAAACAGTTTTGACATTTCGAAATACGAGCTTGTAAAATTTTACTTGTTGCTATAGGCGGGAGAACATAGACTTTATTTCTATGACTCTATGTCGTAATTCTGAATCCGCTGTTAGCAATATAGCAGGTACGGAGCGCAGGTACGAATTTTTGTTTGTGTGAATTTCTTAATTCGGTTCGCAGAATACATCTACTTACCAATTTCACCACTATAGTTCCTATAATTTCGGAAAAAATGGATGTGACATACGGACTGACAGACAAACAGACATGACGAATCCATAAGGATTCAGTTTTTTTCCAATTAACTACGGAACCTTAAAAACGACACTACTTACTATAAGTAAGGCATGTTGACTTTTCAACGGTTCCGCGCGTCGCTATGAACCAAGAAGTGCTCGAGTCGTGTTTAAGCACTTCTTGATTACGACACATTTTGAGCGCCCGTGGTGTATCTAGGGATATTAAATATCGTTGTAATAGAGACTAAGATGCACAGTAAATGCCTGATTTATCTTGTCTAAAAGACATCCAAGTTATATCGTTCAAGAGAAACAGACGCAAACTTCGATTCTCTTTGATCCCAATGTAGCCTATGTTAGTTTTATCTATGAACTCACTTCTTCAGTACCTCCTCTTGCTTCTTGCCTTGTCGCTGACACTCCTTGGGCTCAGTACCGGGGTCAGCTGGGGTCTCTACTGCACAGTATTGAGCGCAAAGGTAAGACAACTTGGGATGAGCTCGTGACATATCCTGGTAGATATTGAAGTGTCTTAAGACGAGAAATACCAATCCAAAAACAAAGTATTTGTATACGAAATATAATACGCCCAGTCATCGTCTCATGAGCTAAGCGATATGATATAATTTCATTTCATTTCGTTTTTATCACGTCAAATTGTTAAATACAATATAACGCGTACTAGAAACGTGAATATCGCAATACTCATGAGACGGGGGCAGAGCTTTTTTTTAGCCATGTAGGCAAATGACTCTACACCACCTGATATTAAGAGGTAATATAGTCCAGACGCGAAGACAGCTGGTACAGCAGTTATAAACTGCCACATCAACCATCCTCACCTTGCCTGCCTGAAGAAATGCTTCTTCACGAATCTCTTAAAGGCACCCAGATTGTAAGAAGGAGGGAACACGTGCGCGGGCAAAGAATTCCACATGCGAATAGTACGACAAAGAATTGAGTCACCAAATTTATTTGTTCGCGTAGGCTTGCCTTTCACTACCAAACTAATTGGTAGAAAAATTGGCCGGATTACAATCCAGCGAATTTCATGATTTCTAAATATCATGTGGGTTTATCTGTATAGCTTTCCTTTCTCCTTTGGTATTTTTTCAAGACATATATATACCCGAAAAATGGTAAATTCTGGCATTGAGCCATAGGCTACAGATAGTGCAATCCACGAAGATGCGCCCCATCAATTTTTGGTTGAAGGATAATTAGAGCTAAAAAGATAATTATTATTATTTATTATTATCATAGATAATTAGTGGGTACCGATAACACTCAAATAATGGTGGACGCTGGCACATATTTACTATAAACGGTTAGGAGGAATAGTGGGGAAAGTCTTCGTGGATTGCAATATCTGTACCCCATGATGAAAATTCCGCAATGACTTGTATATCTGAAATAAGCAATGGACTATTTATTTAAGACAGTTATAATTAGCTCTAGGATTCCATTTTCAATACTTTCACTTTGTCTACCTCTCAATATTTCACCTTTGAAGCTCTACCACCGTTAACATCTTTACAGTCAGGTAAAGAAACAAAAACTTACCACAATCAACATGAACATAATCTTCGCCATGAGAGCTTCTCTCATAAACACTATTCCACATAGCGCATCCGGGTTCTGCTGCATCTGTTGAACTCTCGCCAAATTACCCCTCTGAGATCGACCCCTACCCCTAACCCTACCCCCAGATCTTCTAGAAAACCCATACTTCCCAAATTCTCTAGTACTTCCCGTAGTGTCTAACTTACTACTCGAATCACTGTTCTTCGCAATGACAACACTACTATCCACAAAATCACTTTTTTCATTCACACGCACTTCACTAGTCACTTCCGTTTTACTACCTACACTGTCTATGTCACTACCCGTCTTGTCTAAGTTACTACCTGGCTTGTCTAAGTTACTACCCGTCTTATCTAACTCACTTCCCGGCTTATCTAACTCTGTTCTCGCACTGTCGAAATTCGTTTCTTTATCTACATTAGCGTTGGTATTGCTTCCAACACTATAGTCTTCCAGATCTTTCAAATTCGCTTCAATACTGTTCACTCTATCTTCTATTTTATTCCCAAGACTAACAAAGTCACATTTCTCTAAATCGCTGAGCATTTTCGCTGTATTCTCTTCTATGCTCTTCTGCAATTCTGGAGGTTGGAATTTGAATAGTATTTCGGCAAATCTGAGCACCTTTGGTGTAGAGAATAATTTTATTTTGTCCCAATCTGATTCATATTTTGAGAATATTTGGTCAGCGTAGCATCTCATTTTTACAAATACTGTTGTGCAAAGGCATAGCAGAATGAAATGTCTCTCGTATGGCACTTTGATTTTGAGTTTTTCTAGTTTTGATAGGAGTGAGAATGCTGCTTTGTCCGCTGCGTAAGGACCTACAATAAAGGTATTGTTTTGTTGAAACAAACAGACTTTTTTTATTTCTTGGATTAGAAGAATTTGATAGCTCTCACGTAGTTTTTAGATTTTTTCCCCTAAGGAGAACTCAATCCAAGTTTAACAATATCTGTGTGCCTAAATTAAAACCAAATGTGTTCAGCCATTTTTAAGTGAATAAGTAAGAAAACATATAAATTGGTTTCTTATGTTTTAATATATTATGCATTTAACTGCTAGATGTAAAGAAAATTCTATTAGAAAAAATCCACGTGGACCAGTCAGCAGACGGGACTCGAACCAGCATCTTCCGCTATTCGGCCGGTTGCACTGACCATTATGCTACCGCGGCCCTAATTGTTCGTGTCGAATTTTTTCTAGTATTTCTTAGACTGCAAGGCAGCGCCATCTCTTCGCATTGTAGGTAACCCACAATAGCAAAAGCTTTATAAACGGGTTTAAAGAACGATTTTCCGATTTTTTTTGACGTGTCGTTTCCAACACAGGCCCTGTGGCCAGTCTTGTGATACTGGATTCTGTGAAAGATCCGAATCGTCGAAAATAATGTATAATATCAACAAAGCGCTCTTCGAACCCTTTGAAAACACATTAATAAATCAAATAAACTTTTACATGTACAACATTTTTAGGATATATCGATAGTGGAAAAGCAAAATAGCATATACGCCATTTTGGTGCTGCGTAAAAATAAACATTAAATAAAAACTGGAATTAAGTTAACTTTTAAGGAGCATCAAAGTGGCGTATAGGTAATCGATTTTGCTTTGCCACTGTCGATATCTACTTAAATAGGTACTAATGAGCATTTTTAATTTTTAAACTGCTGAAATTTTATTTATAATTGTTATTGTGGCTGCGATATCTACATGCCCCACATATAATCAACATGGAGGACATAGTCACTAGCCTCCTCAAGAGATGGCGCTACCGTCGCGCTCACAACGTATGGAAGCCTACATCGCGCAAGAGAAATTCGGAGGCTAACATTCCATATATACAGTGCCCGACCAACATCAGTGGGGCCGCGGCCCCTGAGCTACCATCACCCAGCTCGGTGGAAGATCTTCCCCTTTGGCCTTCCTAAATTATCTATACACATATATAAAACATATATAAACTTACCTAATTGATCTAACACATATAAAAACTGTGAGAATATATATTTTGGTTCTATAGTTGGGTCTGGAATGTTCTTGAATTCTTCATATAGATCTTCACCATAGATTTCAGTAGGATCATATCTGTTAAGATAAAAAAAAACATCTTCATTGCTATGATGAATCCCTTAAATATTAAACATTAATAATATTGACGACCTCCGTGATGTGACTGGTAAGATAGGTATATATCATAGGATGATTTAATAAATCGAATTTTCGCGAAAATCCTAGGGATTTTGCGAAAACGCGGATAATTAAACAATGCCGATAACGCCAATCCCTAGGATTTACGCGGAAATTTATCAAATCATCCTGCGCAATATATCTTCCTTTCAGTAAATTGATTTATATCCTTAATCCTAATATCCTATAACACAAGCCACACAGTGCTTCCTTTGCTAGGCTAGGCTGATTGACATGAGTATAAAATATATATTTATGAAGTCAAAATATAAAGAAACTCGCTGTGCCCCGTAGTTTGACCCGCGGTTTATTAGGGATATTTCTCCGCAGTAAAACGTAGCCTATGTGTTAATCCAGGGTGTCAGCTCCATACCAAATTTTATTAAAATCGCTCCAGCCGTTTAGACGTAAAGAAGTAACAAACATATGTAGCTTCGCTCTGCATCTTCTATCGCATTTATCACGGGGAGTGTTCTGAGGAATTGTTCGGATTAATTCCAGCTGCTGCATTTCGCCATCGTACATCGCGACAAAAATTTCATCCCCATCATCTTGATGCGTGGCTATCCACAACCGTGCGTTTTTGTCGAAATTTTTTACCACGTACGACAAAACTGTGGAATATGTTGTCGCCAGCAGTATTTCCGGACCAATACGACCCAAGAACCTTCAAAAAAAGACCGTACTCCTTCCTTAATCCGGCATCCCGGCATCGCATTTGTGATACTCCTGGTGTTGCAAGTGTCCATGGGCGACGGTGATCACTCACAAACTTTATTAGTGTGATACTCACCTATGCTCCTTGATGAAATCCAAAGCATCTTTAACTGTATTCCTCATGAAGCTATCTAGTTCAATATATGCTTCAGGTAAAGAATTGTACGGTAGCGCCTCAGCATACTCTATGACTAACTCCTTTGGCTTCGCTAGAGTCGAGGACAATCTAAAAAAAATATTCATTATCATCAGCCTACCTATAATGGAGAGTGACTTCAGAATTATCTCTCAAGTCATTTTTCAATTGGACGACTTTTTCGACATTAACAAGCGCTTGTAACAGCCTAGACTGAATAAAGATATTGAATTTGAATTTAGGGGATATGGCGTTGGGGTAGGCATAGTTTTACTGCTAGATCTACTCAGGGGATAGGAAACTCCATTTTGATTAAATCTAAAAGCAGTTCAACTACAATTCATTATTACCGGAAGTCAGAAATCAATATATCTTTATTCAAATTGGATGTAAAGTACAACTCTTTTGAATCGTCCAAACATTTTTTTCCCTACCACTCGTTATTGGACATATTTTTTTAGCTGCGGAGAAAAACGAGCGAAAAGAACTCCACAACATTAAAAGTATAATGTAACAATATTTACAAATCATTATGTTGTTACAACGTCAATACAATCGTGATTTATTTAATATAGAAAACCTGTTGGAATGATTGGAACAGTTCAAACCCAATCATTTTTGTCTGTAATATTGTAATAAGCACTTTGTAATAAGCTTTTTAATAAGTGCTTTTTTATACTATCTTTGAATTTATTTATGGTTAACTCTTGAATATTGCTTGAGACTTTATTGTATGAGCGAAAACAAAGACCTTTAAATGAATTATTGATTTTGTGAAGCCTAGTAGCAGGTAAAGTTAGTTTTTTTTGTTTCTTGTAATAAGTGTGTGAACATTTTAAGAAACAAATTAATATTTTTTCTTACAAGTAATAAATTTTCATATATGTATTCTGATGTGAACGTCATTATGCCAAATTCTTTAAACCTATCTCTTAAGGAATCCTAACTTTAAGATTATAAATTGATCGAATAGCTCTCTTCTGCAACACAAAAATAGTTTGAATGTCGGCGGCGTTTCCGCACAATAAAATTCCGTACGACATTACACTTTGGAAATAACTAAAGTACACTAATCTGGCCGCTATAAAAAATAAAGCTAAGTCTATTTCACAATTTATCAATATGTGGGCCCCGTTGAAGCTTAGAATCTAAAGTAATACCTAAGAATACTGTGGTGTCTACAAGGTCCACATTCCTATCCTTTACATTCACACTGGTTTTTACCTGTTTTACATTAGGTAATACAAATTTCATACATTTCATTTTTCCTTCATTTAGTAATAATTTATTAACATTGAACCAGTGGACTACCTTAGAGATACAACTGTTCACGTCATCAATAACTGTTTTCTTACGTTTGAGTTTAAATAAAAGTGATGTATCATCCGCGAACAATACTATCTCATGCTTATCTCTTACATAGTAAGGTAAGACATTAATATAAATTAAAAATAAGAAAGGACCAAGGATCCCAAAGCCCTGCGGAACACCCATCTTAAACAGCGAACCCGAAGACTTATTGCCATTAATGTCAACCTTCTGAATCCTATCCATCAGTTATGATGCAATAAGATCCAGATCAGTATCTCTAAATCCAGTGGTGGAGTTTCCTGAGTAATGTTTCAATAAAAACGCAATCAAAAGCCTTGGACAAGTCGCAAAACACACCTAGAGCGTCCCGCGAGTTCTCCCAGGCGTCAAAAATTTCTTGTATAAGTTTAACACTGGCATCGGTTGTTGAACGACCCCTTGTAAAACCAAATTGTTTACAGTGAAGTATATTATGTTTACTAAAATGTGATTTCAGTTGATCTAAAATGATTTTTTGCAAAAAATTTACTAAATGTGGGTAGTACAGAAATTGGTCTAAAGTTTGTGGGGTCTGATATACTTCCCATTTTATGCAAAGGAGTTATTTTACTGTATTTCATGAGGTCAGGAAAAACACCACAGTCAACACAATCATTAAATATGCAAGCTAAAATAAGAGTAGCAAAAGCATACAGAAGAAGCATACAGAAGAACAGGTTTCTTAGCCTCGCCTCGCCGAGGTGTACGGAGGTGTTATCGTAAAATTATTATTAGTATTGTTTAGTTATACTCTGTAACAAACACCTCGCAAGGAATTTAATTATACTGATTGACCCAGAGACCACTCATATTATAGACCTTAAACAAGGGACCCACTTGTGCCAAGCTTATGTAGTAATACTGCATAATGCATATCATTTGATCGATCCAACCAAAACGCGGCTTACTCTTCCTGTACACCGTCAACTTTGGAGAGGTCCCGGGTTCGAATCCCGGTGGGGGCAGATGTTTGTGTGATGAATATGAGCATTTGTACTCCAGTCATGGATGTTTAATGTGTATTATCTATATAAATATATGTACTGCATATGTGTTCTATCTGTTACCCTAGTATGCAATAACACAAGCCTAACAGTGCTTACTTTGGGGCTAGGCTAATTAGTGTGAGTGTTGGAAATATTAATTTATATATTTATTTGGTGATTTCGATTTCCAACAAAAAAATAGTAATCTGTGAATTTGAACTTATGATTGTTTACTACATTTTCATTAAAAAAAGAACAGTATTATACCAACCTCTTCCCACCATCTATATCTTCCGCCAGATCCATATCACAGCACAACTGTTCTTCCAACATCTCAATCTTCCATTCGAGCTTCTCATACATATCATAATCATCACAATTTACGTCAACTTCAGTGAATTTGTTTGTTTCAACAAATTTAACTAAAGCTTTTTCATTATTTGCACAATTTATATCGACTTCACCGACTTTATTCTTTTCAAATTTAACTAAAGCTTTTTCATTATTTTCACTTATTACACTATCATCTTTATCATTCATTGATACATCAGGAACTTCGGTTAATATTTCATCATCTTTTTCATTGATTGCTTTATCAGTATCTTCTATCACTACTTTTTCTTCTTCCTGTTTAAAATCTTCTTCTTCTGCAGTTACGTTTCCATCCAATTCTTTATTTTGCTTTTCTACTTTTGTTGTTCTTTCCTGACTGTTATCAAAATTTTCGTTTGACATTTTATCGTCTAATTCATATTTGTTTGGTGTAAACAAAGGGTATGTTAAAGCCAATATTCTAGGTCTTCTATCTATTACGCAATCTTTGTAAAGCTTCATAATCTGAAAATATTTGTAATAAAATCAATTACAAGTATTGAAAAAATTGATATGTTTATTGATCCTAAAGTCATAATCTTTTTTCACTGTAATAGGGAAGAAGACTTACTTTTTCTCTTCATCTATCAGGTAGATAATCATAAAGTATTGGACATGTATTTTTTCTTTATTCACATAATCAAAATAGACATAAATGTCGTGTGACGTTTTGTTTATTTTTTTACTTAGAAGTGACGTCTCGAGCCCCTCTCCCACACTTTCACGCGCTTAATCTTTGCCATTGTTTGGTTGATGGACAAAAGAAAAATATCTGTCCATTATTTTCTGATAATCTAAACGACTTACTGAATATAATTTGGTTTAACCTGTCATCACCGCTATTATTCTACTCACACATTGTAAATGTTGATCGTTCCACACAAGATGACAGCTGTCAACAATCAAGACGTTTATATTGTCCATGGTCAGTGTCTCTTCGTCCAAGATATGCTTCAGGACGGAAGATGTGCACACCAGAACCTGGATGAAAAAAGCAAAGAGTATTTACACAAACTACAGTTTCATAAACTATCATTTTGATTTTCGTATTGCTATAATATAGCAATAATTCGTAAAGTTTTACGAGCATATTATGCGGAAAACCTTAATTCTTTGACTCTACGTGTAATTCTTAGTGCGCTGTTAGCAATATAGCAGGTACGGACCGCGAGGAAAAGAGACAGCTATATAACTGACCACGCATTTGAATATCACCAATATTTTCTATTACATCAGTTTATAGTAAGTAAGAATAAAATTTGCTTCGAATGCGATACATTAACAAACATTGATTCAATACCTGTCGACAAAAAGAGACAATTTATGTACTATAAATATTTTTCACATTTTTCACAGAGCTCTGTGGCATGTTGACTCTTCCACTGTCCGCGCGTTGTTGTGAACCAAGAAAAGCTTGAGTGGTGTTCAAGAAATTCTTGATTGGGACTGATTTTGGTGAAGGATATTTAATATTGTTGGTCAAAGGCCAATCACAGGCACAGCAACTGGCACCAATTGAACTATTCGTCAACGTAGGTCGACTAATAGGGACTATCTAGAAAGCACGGTGTTGTAAAAGTGTAGTACTTAGTTTATTAATAGTGTGCATTATTATAGAATACAGGGGTTCACACAATCATCTATCTGTAATGTGGACGGAGTGAAAAATTTCAAGAACAATTTTCGTAACCATGATTAAAATAAAAGAACAATAATTTCCTAAACTACATCTTACTCCAAAAAAAAACCCCTCTTACCTCTTTGCTATCCAACTCAGCGTACCAATCGTAAACATCGCCCACCGCGGCCGCCCCCACCACTTTCAGATCTGTCATAATGTTCAGCTCATACGTGACGCAAGGTACCCGTGAACTCCTGGTTACGTAAACTGATCTCTGTTTTCCAGCGAACAGCGAGCTGTAATATATATGACATTTGTTAAAGGAAGTACAAAAAAAAACAATAAAATGCACAACCACTGTAAAAAATAAGCTACTATATTTGCATACATATTTGCTTTTTTTGCTTAAATGCCATTGCATATTTAAATGCATATCCAATCTTAAGTAACTAATCTAATCATATTAAACAAAAGTAAAGGTATAGATGAGCTTGATGGCGCAGGTGGTTAGCATGTTCGGCTGTGATCATTGAAGTTAAGCAACTATCGCAGTGGCTAGTTATTGGATGGGTGACCAAAAATTTACGATCTCGAGCTCCTCCATACTTCAGAAGGCACGTTAAGCCGTTGGTTCTGGCTGCATCTGCAGTAATCAGAACCCACCATTCCACACTAAGCCTACATACTGCCCCAGCAATGGAGACATTAATTTATTAATGATGATGAAAGGCAAATTACCCTCTTATCTTATAAGCATCTTCATGTATAAGCCGTGTCGCTATAAAGGAAGCGTATTCAACAGCCAATATATTTTTATGGTGGGCAGCCATGGCCAAGCGGGCACCACCCTCCGCTGCGGTAAATCGGGACGAAGATGCTTCCATCATCTGCAGTGGAAATTATAAAATTTATGAATATGTTGTCCAGCACACAGAAATTAGCTTTAAAAAAAAGGAGCCACTAAAGTAGGGGTCGGTGGTAGATGGGTGAAAATTTAGGATTATTTATTTTTATTCTTTTTGATAGTATTTATTTTTAATGCCAAATCATAAAAATAATATAATAAAAAATTCCGTTCAAAATAAATTTAAATAAAGTTTTAGAGTGGACCGGACTACCCTTATCACTGAGAGGTATGAATAATTTATAATATTTTATAAGAATCTTTGAAGCCATTTTAGAGGAGATTTGTTACAAATGCTGTGACACGAGATTTTGTTACATTAGATATAAACAGCAATGACTTAGGTACAAATAAATGCCCGTATTCATCATACAAACATTTGTCCCGCTAGAATTTGAAACCAGCACTTATGAGGAGGCAGCACCTTGACCAATGGTGAACATGCTACTGAAACCCTGAGGTCATCACAATTAAAGCAATGTGCATCGGGTTGATACGAAAAAATGAGCTAAACTGTACTTCCAGGGCCCAAATGGTCATACTTCACACTAGGTTAGGTTAGGTTAGTGTTGTGACCATAACGCCAGAAAAAAGAGAGCTTTTCTACAAAAACCAAGAGGTAATACTTGATATTACCTCTTGGGCCCTGGAAGTACAGTTTTAGAAAAAATTTTTGAACTATCACACTTATAATATTGGCATGGCATGTCTTCTCCTGTATTTCAGAAAATTATCAGTAACTTTTAATGCATTGACGTTCTCCCTTTGTAATTCTGTCAATCGCGAATCCCTACTAATCTTTTCAAATTAAAAAGACCTTTCTTCATTCAAATTGGATGCATATAAGAACCCTTTGCATCATTCAAATATATTTTCCTATTACTCGTTATTTGGACTTTAATTACGGAGAAAAACGAACACCACAACATCAAAAATAATAAAATATAGATGGAATACAGATGCAAGAGCAGCAAATTATTATAAATACAACTTGACTCTTAGGTATAGGTTATTTTACATTTGAAAATGTTTAACAACTCACTTCGTCCGGTTCTTCCGCTATCGAGAGTTAACACGATGATCAAATTACTACGTTTTGTAGCGAGTATCCCAAACAAATTGTTAGTAGCATTGTTTAGCTGCTAAACAAAACATTTACAAAACACAAACACTTCACATTCCGATGGAGTATGAAATGGAGATTTACTGCATTAATATCAACTAATATTATATAAGAATATTGATTACACTGTTAATGTAAGCACTTATTAATTGCATATAATAAAAAACTCCAAATGTTTAGTGACTTAAAACTGCATGTATCAAAAACTGCAAATGAACTACGCGAGTTCATTGACATATCAATCAACGTTTCGTTACACTACGTTTTCTAATTAGTTTAACATATTTCAATATTCTTCCTTCTGTAGAAAACATTAAGTACAGATTTGGATGTTGTTCAATTTGTCTTTGTTTTATATAATAGTTTCGGTTTAATAACATTTTATAAAATTTAACATAAGGTAAGGATACTATTTGTTTTTTGGAACTTGAAACAGCAACAAAACGTAATTATAGTGATGTGCATCAACAGAAAGAATCACATTCAATTGAACATTCAATTGATGCTCACACGAAATTATTAATTTGATGGTTTTCGATCGCAGAAGAGCATCCATTTTTTACGTTACCGTTAAAATTTTAGCATACTTATTATTATTTGGTTTCTGTACCTCGAAAGGAAAAAACCGAACCATTATAGGGTCACTTTATTGTCCGTCCATCCGTCTGTTAAGACCCTTTTTCTCAGGAACCGTGGAGTTATCAAGCTGTAATTTATATCAAAAAATCAGATCTACTGTCTCTAGGAGCTGTGAAAAAATCTAACTTCTAAGTCAACGCAATCAAAAGATAGCCGTTTATACCGCAAATTTCCGCATTTTTTCGAAATACGCAAGGGAATCAAAATCTACAGGGTACTTTCTGTGAACTCAAAATCTTGAAATTTGGTACGAAGCAACGTCTTATAGCAAAAATATAGGAAAAATTGAGAAAATCGGAATTTTTTAGTAACATCACATTCTCTTTTAATAATTATTATATACCTACAGGTTTGTACGGAACCCTCGGTGCGCGAATCCGACTCGCACTTGGCCTGTTTTTTTTCTTTGATGATCCTCGTGAACTGAGTTGATAGCTGATTGCAAGGAGGAGTTACTGCCGATGCTGCTTATCGCTGGTTTCAATAGAATCCCTTAACAGTTTTACAAGTTTAGCTATCGAATCCAGTGGCCGTGGTCAGTTTCAAAATCATTAATCAGCACTGCAGCATACGAAGAAATCTAATCTCTTATCTATTAGACAAGTCCGTCCGTCCGTCTGTGGTGCTGTTACAGCGGCCAAACCGTAAGAGATAGATAAAGAGAATATTTAAGTTATAAGTTAGGAATAGTCTGATAAGACTACAAACCGGATTTGAGTAACGTAGCACTTCCGGTTTTCGAGAAATCACGAATTTCAAACGAAACCACACAATTAAATACATTTTTTTTAAATCCGGTTTTGGTGAACATTTTGTTCACTGGTTTGCTAGTCCTAACTAATATTGTAAATGCGAAAGTGAGTTTGTTTGTTTGAACGGATTTAGATGAACTTTGGTTTGAATATTGACGACCTCCGTGGCCGAGTGGTTTGTACGCCGGGTTTCATGGTGTCGCCGACTCGAGAGGTCCCGGGTTCAAATCCCAATGGGAGCAGATGTTTGTGTGATGAATACGAGCATTTGTACTCCAGTCATGGATGTTTAATATGTATTTATATAAAAATATACTTTAATATGTACAGTATTTTATGTATTCTATTCGTTTCCCTAATATCCCATAACACAAGCCTTATAGTGCTTACTTTGGGGCTAGGCTAATTGGTGTGAGTGTTAGAAATATTTATTTATTTTTATTTAATATAATTATGGCCTTTTTTTTTGTGACGCAGGCTAAAACTCTGTTTACAGACCACGGCGCCTTTAAGAGGCACACAGCCGAACGGACCTCACACCTCACTCTTACGGGCGCTTTACGGCATAATATCCGCTAAAAACCCCTGCGAATACCCAGTAAGCTGCTTAGTGCGAAACCGCGCGATCCTCGTTTAGGGATTCTTCTGCGTCAATATATAGTTATTTATGGCCTGGATTGAGACATAGGGTCCTTTATTTCTCGGACCGGAAACGCGGACGAAGTCGCCGCTAGTAAATATTATGCTTTATTATGTCTTAAAACATTAAGATGGCTGTAGTTCGATTACTCTATGCATATAGCCCTACTGAATAAAGAATTTTAAACCAACGAACGATTTTAAAGATAATATACATAATAGGGGTGATGACTGGGTACAGTAAACGAAATTCTATTTAGTCCGTCAGTTAGATGATCATAAAATAATGGACACGTATTTTTTCTTTGGGCAATCAACCAAAAAATGACAAAGTTATAGCGCGTCAAAGTGAGTAGGGGCTCGCGACGTTACTTTTAAGTGAAAATTGTACCAAAACGTAACGTCATGCGACTTTTTAAATCAATATATCTCTGCAATGTTTATATTATGTGAAAAAAAAATACATGTCCAATACTTTTTGATAATCTACCTGATAAACGAAGAAAAAATAAATAGTCATCATCCCTATTCAAAACTTTGCAATCGAAAGTTACGAACAGCGAACATGTTAAACTGTTTGGGGTAAGTCCAATAAAACGAATGGTGGGTAGGGATGCAAAGTCTTTTGAAATATCGATATTTATATCGAAGTCAGGCAAATATCGATATCCGATATATCGACCATTTTAACTCGATATTATCGATATATCGATATTTTTTTCTTTTTTTTGCTTTGTATTAAGTTTGCAAAGCAAAAGCCTAAAATTAAGAAAGCAAAGGTTTCCGAAATATCGATATTTATAATGTGGGCAGGTAAATATCGATATCCGATCAGATATGTCAGCCATTCCAACATTTCCAACACGATATTTTCTATATTTTTTATAGCGCTGTAAGAAGTATCAAATCAAAAGCAATTTCGAATCAAAGATATTTATTTTGTTTAAAATATTTGCACGCAGCCAAAATCAGAATAGATAATCATATGAAAAACAATTGGTTTGAATTAGTAAAACCTACACATCAGGCTTCAGAATAGGGTAAGCCCAAAGCTTCCAAAATTACTATACCTATCTTACTTTCTTGACTTGGCGAGCTTAAAAAAATTACGATTTGTATAAGATTCTTAATTTTATTTTGTGTTATATTACAATGATATTAAATTTCAATTAATCAGTAGTTGACAATTATCTAGAAAGAGAGGCAAGGATTTTATTTAAGTGCATGAGTTACCATTAGGTATACGATTATACCTATATACGTTGGTGTCGATTCTGGCATGATTATCTAAATTTAAAACTAAATTTAACATCAGTCTCTCCTTTTCATTCTGTATAGAGAATGACAAGGATAAACTGTTGTCAAATTTAATTTTAGGTTTAGAGTAACATGCCAGAGTCCACACCAGTTTAGTATATTTCTTGGGGTTCAAGATATTTTTGATACATCTATAAGTTCTTGCAATTTCAAAGCAATAGTTATTTCGATATTATTCAATTTAGATAGTCATAGCAGGTAAATTAATTGATATTATTGTTTTCAAATTAAGTCTACTAAATATCGATATTTTGGAATTTCCGATATCGATATTATCGATATCAGTGAATTTTAAATATCGATATAAATATCGATATTTTGGTCTCGATATTATCGATAATATCGATATTCCGATATATCGTTGCAACCCTAGGTGGGATTAAAGGGACTGTCCCAACATGAGACAATTTGTTTGAGTGCTTTGTTCAATAAACTGTGTTGGTATCTACTGGATAATAAACCCGATATTACTAAAGAGAATTCACATCATATCATTTTCCTTGGTCAATGGTCAAGATGACGATGATAGGTCATATGACATTTCATAGTCGTTACTCAGGGCTACCACTATTGTATCCGATCAAAAATCTGTTTTTTTTTCTTTTTTAACATTCAACTACGTTGATAATTACATGCAATATTAAACGAAAATAAAGGTTTTCCTCAATTAAAAATGTAGTATCGTCAAAGTTTCTATGGAAACTAATTAGCAGCGCCTCTGCCGGACGTAAGAACATACTAGCTTTTTTCGTAGCAACTTTGACATGGTGGTACTAAACTTTCTCGCTACTTGTTCGTGCTTGGAGTACTGAATCATCATGTTTATAGAATTCTTTTAGCCCAGTATCACATATAACAAATACAAGCCTTACATAATAAAATAAATTAATAAATATTTACAAGACTCACACCAATTAGTCTAGCCCCGAGCTAAGCACTATAAGGCTTGTATTAAGGGATACTAGGGTAACGGATAGAATACATATACTTTACATATATAAGTATATGTATATAGAAATACATATTAAACATCCATGACTGGAGTACAAATGCTCGTATTCATCACACAAACATCTGCCCCCACCGGGATTTGAACCCGGGAACTCTCGAGTCGGCGACACCATGAAACCCGGCGTACAAACCACTCGGCCAAGGAGGTCGTCATAATACAGTGATTTCTTTAGGACAAGGCTAGGAGGAATTGGGTTGAGTGTAAAAAGTTGGAGTGCCCTTCTATCGAAGTAACGTTCACAGTAAAATAACACTAGCTTTTTTTGTAGTGTTTTGTTTCTGTTAGTGATTAGGGTCACGGGCTCCACGGGGTAAGAGATATTTTTGGTATTGCAAACGTCTATATGCTATAGTAGCAGCTTACTATCAGGGCCGTGTTTAACCTATTGGAGGCCCTGGGCATATTAGGATAATGGGGCCCCTATGACTTTGATGTGGATTATGACTTGAAATGGGGCGAGTCGTACCGATGAGTGTACTACTGATGATTTTTCTTTAAAATTTGTATATGCTTAATATACCATAATATGTATATATTTAAATTTATCTAAGCATGCTGAATAGTCGGAAAGCCAAATTTTTGGGCGAGAGTAGAATAGCTTCGCTTATGTAAAAGCTGGTATGGTATTGTAGTCAGTAATTTAGGTTCGATTTCATCGAATTATGTAAGTTTTTTGGTAATGAATGTTGGTTATCGTTTGGGGATCTGACAGGAACTAGGAACTTTGAATTTGATCTGAGGGAGGCCCCTACCGATCGCGGGGCCCTGGACATTTGCCCAAAGTGCCCACTGGGAAAGAGGGGTCTTCTTACTATCAAGCGGGTCATATGCTTATTTTTATGTTAAATGGCTGGCAAACTATCATAAGGTAAGCGGCCACTATAGCCTAAATAGGCATGCGATACATAAAATATCACTTGTACTG